ATTTCATCAGCTTCATAATTTCCTCTACTCTGTCTCTTTTATCTGCACTAATAAATCTTACATTAGCGTGACATCGTGGTTCTTCTTCTTCTCTTCTATAGTGAGCAATTCCCTCTAATTCAATTGTTGGCACTACCACTTCAACTCCTTGATCTCTTGTATTATAAATATACATGTAGCCCTTTCCTTCTCGATTTGTAACTACAGCTTCTCCAAAGTATATTCCTGGCTTTATTTCCATTCTTCTTACGTAACCTACCTTCACCTCGGGATTTGTTATCCTTACATAGAATCCATGTTGAGTCCTCGCTGGAACTACTATTGTTTCTTCACGTAGAAAAGGCAAACGACCATTTTCCCATCTTAAACATGCATTTGAATACATTACATCAATACTATTTCTTTTTAGAAAGTCAGACCCTAAAATTCCATCTCTGGCTATTGGAAAATTATCAGGTACCAACTGAAAATCCACTGGGAATTCTTCAAGGGTAGATACTATCTCTCCTGTTGTATCTACATGACTTGACGTAATCCCTCTTAGCTTCAAAATTTTACTTCGATCAATATATACACCATCTTTCACAAGTCCTTCTTTCATTAAATTAATTTCGCATCCCGTATCAATCATAACTTCTAACGGGCGAATAAATTCTTTGCCATTTACTATTATTGTAGGCGCCATATAATCACAGTTTAATTTAACTGTGGCCACAGAGCATAATCTTCTTGAAAATCCTGGGCTGGTGTCTGAGTCTCTGCTGTCTCTTGAATATGCAGAACCGGGCGCACAACTCGCCCCGTGCCCCGCGTCGCGCCGTATCGCGGGAGGGTTTGGCCGTTTCCCTGATTCTGGGGACCATTTCCTCCTCTATAAAAATTTCGACCACTCTCTGGGCCTTTATTCCTATCAAAATTATTTTTATTAAAGTTCTGTGGACCTTGTGGTGTATTTCTAAAATTTTGAGGACTCCCTTGTCCTCCTTTTCGACAATACTTATTTGTATGACCGGTCATTTTACAATTTTCACAATAAAAATTTTGTCTTCTATAATTACTTGCTTCTGTGGTCTTTCCATCAGTAGCTTTGCCTCTGGACGGGCCCTGTCCTTTATTTAAACTGTAGCACTTTGACGCTTCATGTCCTCTTTTGCTACACAACTGGCAAACTACCGGATTTGATTCAACAATATTCACTCTGTTAAATTGTTTTCTGTAGTCTCTTCTATCTCTCCCGCTATTTCCTCCTTGACTATTTTCCCGTAGACTCTCTATAGCTCTCAACTCTTTCTCTGTAGCTATAGCTAAATCTATCGTTTCTGCTAGATTCTTGTCTCGCGGTACTCGCTGCTCATACGGCGGCTTCAATCCCTTAATAAAACACTTAACGAATTCTCTCTGCAAGTTATCAATCGTCGCCCTGTCTATTTCCTGATTTGGATTATTTGCGCGATATATTTCTTCTATCTTACTACTCAACTCTTTCACCTTGTTTGCATATGTCAAAACTCCCTCGTCATCCTTTTGTACTATTCGTCCGAGCTCTCCTTGCAATTCAAATAATGTTTTCGTCGGCATGAACATTTTTTTCAAGTACTTAATTAACTCATCTACATTTGCAAAATCAACTCCTTGAATACACCGTCGCGCTTCCCCTCTAAGTTTATTTCTTAGCACCTGCACTAACCAACGTTCGTTTGCTGGGGGTACCATCCTCTTTGCTTCTTGACACCCTTCAATAAAGTGGCTAACAGGTGTACTCTTTCCATCAAATACAGGTACTGCCTCAAGAGCATATTTTATTGAGACTGAAAGTCCCTGATCCTGCACTGCCATTTCTGCTTGACTATTGTCTTCTATATTCTGTACCTCGTTAACTTCTCTTCTCAACTCTACTTCTAATATCTCTCTTTGCCTTTCTCGTTCCTCTTGCAATTCTGACTCAACCCGCGCACGCTCTAAAGCTTCAAATTCAGGATTTAAATCTCGCGGAATTAAACTTGATCTCCCTTCTCCTGCAGCTTCACTATTTCTCGGTTCAGGAGGTGTTCGCGGTATTATGTCCGGCATTTGTCATCTTATAATAAACGCTGTGCTCTTAACCCCTTAGTCATTACAGACACTCTTGATAAAAAAAATTTCTTCTAATTAGTCAGCTAGCTTTTTCGCGATCCTAATTCTTTCGTGATTCTAATCCTTTCGTGAATCTAACCTTTTCATTGGAATGTCACTTTCCAATTAACAGAATCTTTTATTTTAACATTCTATGTTAATTGTTATCAACTTGCTTTAACTCTTATTCTTTGCTTGGTTACACTATTTTTATCTGTCTAAATACTTATTTGTCTCAGTTTGACTGTTTTCTATGAATTTACTTCACCTAGTATACTAGTCAAACAAGAGAAAGGAAAAACTTAAACAAAAAATCTGCGTTTTGAATCTATCAATGATTTTACGTTATTCAAAATATAAAAGTTTATCAAGTGTGAAATATTGATTGCTCTAAGTTAGCCTCATATGTAATCTCTACTTATTGATTCTATCATTCTTTAACAGCGGCTCGTGTGACTCCCCAATTTTCCGGCTTATCTGATCCAAACGCTTTTAACTCAATTAGTTTCCTCCCCTCGCTATTTAATGTCCAAATTTTGAAATTTTCCTAAATCACGGAACCTTTTCCCCTAAATGAATTTTAATAGCCTAAAAAATCACGCAACCGAATTTTCAGGGGATCCTTGATTAGGATTAAAAGCTTGTTAATAGGTGTTTCCGCCTTAAACTATTCAGATTTCCTTATCTTATTACTCATTGTATTAAACAAAAAATCTTATGCCTTACGCACATGCTATTATGTTACTTAAAATTTTATTTCATTAGTGCCTATCCTATCTTTTTCAACCTTACTCATTGTAATTTTTGTTAGTAAAAAAAAAATAATTATGATTCATCCTAAACAACAAAATTTTTTTTTTCTTTTTAAAGGAAAATTTTACAATGCACACAAAACATAGCGTGAAATTACCTATTATGTCTATTTTTTTTTTTTGGGTTTTTCTTTTAGAGAAAACGAAAACCACTGAAAAAGATATCTTTGAAGAGAATCTCTCTTTTCCCTTAGTTAAATAGAGAAAAAAAAAATTATTTTACTACAGAACTTCCAAATTTCTCTCGGAAGAAAAAAAAAATATTTTACTAATCCTTTTTCTTTATGACCTTTTTGTAAAAATCTTAGCCAGAATTGCTATGACAACTATGTATTCTACAATGAGACGAAAGAAGTTTATTCCAATAATTAATTTATAATAATATTCATTACAACATTCCATGATAGCAAGAAAAATTTCCGTAGAAATCTCCTTGTATCCTTTACACTCCAAGTTGATCAGGTTTCGAGCGTAAAAATTACACAGAATATTGCACTTCAATTCTTACTTCCTCAAAGGAATTTTATGAGTTACGAAAATTTGTTTACAAAAAGGTTTTTAGAGAAATAAAAGATACTTCACCTCTATTTAAGAAAGAATCTAGTAAAGTTCTACCACTGAACAACGATCATATTCGCGCATTTTGTTATTTATTCATTTTTATTCCATCATGACTTATTTATACATTTTTTTTTATTACAGCTGAACTAACACGTTTTGTAATTAACCGAAAATATTATACGTTCTGCTAAATATTCAAGTAAACTATTTGATCAAGTTTAACTCCACTTCTATTTTTTTTATATCATATAAAAGAAATGACAATATTCGTGCTCGGGAAGAGTCCAACGAGATATCATATGAAAGAAGTATTTACAACATTATTTCTTTAATTTCCATCTGGGCTTTTCTCTAATTTATCCCACTTCTGACACCAAAATTTTATTTGTGTTACGTCCCCGTAACAGAACGGTCTCTTTTTTGAGTCAAGACACAATCGCCTTCTACTCCACTCGGGTGCGGAGACCTCGCAGAGTTTATTTTAGATGGAAAATTAAAGAAATAGGTAAGGTAATCAGTGCTGGCAAACCACTATGGTGCAACAAATGAAGAAGAGAGTTGTTCCTTTTTATTATAGATAATCTTTATTAGCCTTTACTCACTTTAGTTGAACAGAAATTGTTTTACAAGGGTGAAACTGATAGGTAGCAGAAAGATGAAGCGCTGTTCAGCAGGTCGGTGCGTAGCAGGTTGTGGTGCTGCCTGAAGATACTCGGCTAGGCTCCCTGGTTGGTTGATTTACAGCCGCTTGGGCTCCCTCGCCGTACCGCACCTCTCTCTCTTACTCGTAGACTTCGACTTCGCTCGTTCGCTCACGTATATATACTTTCTCAAAGATTTTTCTTCACAAAATCTTTCCCGACGAGTTGAGAAAAATGTTTTTATTACTTTAAAGAAAAAATATTTCTTTGGTCGAGTTGAGTTTTAAAAATATACTGGTTTGAGTAAATAGAAGAATTATTTTCTTCAAGAAGAAAATTCTAAAAGAATTGTTTCTCTTGAATGATTATAGATTGAAGGAAATCTTTAAAGTTACCGAGAATAAATTTCTCTTAAAAAATATCAAATCGAAGTAGACTACAGTTCAAAAATTTGCACCAAGCCCAACAAAAATTCAGCAGAGACTGAAGTTCCTTGGGAAAATCTGGACTATTTATCCAGGGTTCCAACCCCTCTGAAAAGCTGGAGGTGGTAGCTTTATTGCTCTTTCTGCCAATCCGGTAGATTTGAATATCCAAATTTCCTTCAGTCAGGCTATCCACGTGCGGGCCTCTTGAGCTGCCTCTACGCCCGCTTTCTCTTCTTTCCTCACCTGTCTGTCCACCTAGCGTCCTTGAGTTTCCCCTTGGTGCCTTCAAGTCTGACTTCACTCATTGATTTTTCTTTACCTGACTTTTCCTCTGCTTACTGATTCTTTTTCTTTTTAACTTTAATACATTTTATTTTATTTTAACAAAAATGTTGTGTACTCTGGTACATAACAGTTGTAAGAAATGAATTTATTTTTATTTACAGATATAAATGCTATTTCATGTTTACCTTTAAAGCCAGTAAAGAAAGGATCATTAGTATGTTCTCGTCCAAATGCTCATCCTGTGTGGTCAGTGCTTAGAACCATCAATCGTCCTGGTTCTAAATGTTATTTGAAGTGTCCACAAGGTTACCAACTCCTTGGAGGGTATGAGATAACATGTCAACAGAATGGAAATTGGGAAGGAATTAAAAATGGAGAGTGTATTAGTGAGTTAAAGCATTAATTTAATTCTTCAAATATAATTAAATTTTTTTTCAGTCGTCAAAAAAATTTGTGTGAAAAAATGTTTTGTTATACCCCCACGTAAACTTCGATTTTATTCTCAGTTCAGAGGTTAGTAAAGCCCGACGTTTCTTCCTTGCATAAAATGACAAAATTTGTTTGTGCGCATGTCCACACGCATGTTGTCCTTGTCTGCAAGGCAGAACGTCTCGCTTTACTAACCTCTGAACTGAGAATAAAATCGAAATTTTCGTGACGATATGACAAAAAGATGTATTCACACCATTAGAATAAAAATACAGTGAAAAAATACTATATTTCACTCCCTTGATACGGAATATATTATTTTTCCAAAATAACATTTGTAAAATGACTAAAAATCATAATCAAAGTATCATCATATTAAAAAGTATTGACCTACCACTACCCTCTATGAGTTTAATATTATAAAATTTGAACTTTTTAAAAAATAAAATTAAAAATTTTAATTATTTAAAATGTGTAATTTAAAAATTACTCTTGTATTTGTTTTGTTAGAATCTAATGAGCCTCGCATTAACTGTCCAAAAGATATAATTGCTGAAGTACCACCAGCAAATAATGAAGCCTTTGTTAGATTTGATCAACCTTCAACGGACATTGATTGGTTTCGATATGTTCGATCGAATCCTTCTTGGGGAATGAGATTAGAAGCAAGCCTAAAGCCTGGTTACCATGTTCTCACTTTTTTTGTGAAACATTCCACTTCAAAAATACAGTCAAGCTGTAATTTACACATAACAGTTAAAGGTATCATAATTACTTTGATTTTTTGGTAATTTTATACTATCGCAGTCCCCTCGTTATTTGGCTCTAGAAAATCAAAAAATCGAAATTTTGGAGTGATTTTTTTTCTACAATCTTCGTTTTTACGGCGGATTTTCAAAAAAAAATATGGAAATGGCAAAAAATGAAAATTTATATGGTTTTAGGGCTTTAAATGTTCATGTAAATGCACTTATTCACGTATAACTGTTGATAACTTTCTTACAAGTTATCGTATAGAGTTGTTGTATTTTTTTCATAATCTACACAAAAAAACAAACAAATTAAATAAAAAATTTATGCAAAAATGTTGATTTTTTATATTTTTACAATTTAAAATAATAAAAACTTTTTTTTAAATTGACCGTGTTTTACATATCATCGTTTGTGCCTTTTTTATTAAGTAATTATCGAAATAATGTGAACAAAAACATTCTCAAAATTACTAATTAAGTATACAATATTGAAAGTAAACTTCAAAAAGTTCAAAATTATCACCATGAGAAAAAATGGTATCCTACTGACGTTGACTGTTAAAGAGAATTGAAATGGGGAGAGGGGAGGATGTTTAAAAAGCAGACCAAATGTGAACATTTGTTATGAATTTTTAACAACCCCCCCCCTCCCCCGTTCGATATTTTCTCTAATTTAATGTGAACGATTGAAAATACTGAAATGGGTAGTTTTATTTGTTCTAAAAATTGCAATAATAAAAAAATTTTTTTTCAATTCTAATCTAAAATTTGATGAATTAATATTTAATAAAAACTGAATTTTTTTGTTTATTTAAACATTTAACAGTGAACCACACTTATAATTTTGTTGACTCGGATAGTGGAGCTCATACTTAACATATTGAGAGAGTCTGGAGAACAACGCGAGCCAGTATTCTAAGATTCGGATGCAAGGAGAAGAATATGTTAGGATGTGTTGCAGAATTTATGTTTAGATTAAAATATAGCAATCACTGTCAAAGATTGCATAATTTTTTTATTCTGTTACAAGATTTTTTCGAGGATAATACATACATGTAATTGATTCATTTGATTTATTTTTGAACATAATATATAGTTAATTTCCTTTATTTTTGTCATTTTAAGATCATTCATTGAAAATTTTACTTATTTTTTGTTTCAAATACATATATATTATACATTGTTGTTATTAAACACGAAAATAATACAATTTGAAGTCATTAACATTATTTTAAGTTATTAATGAATCATCAGTTGTGTATAATTTTTTTTTTTTTTGTATTCATTTAAGTATTCATTTTTTCGTGTAGACCAAAGAAAAAAGTATAATTGTAAAACATGAATAAATAAATATTTTTGTGTTTTTTTTTCAAAATTTTCGTTTTTTTTAAAATATATTTTGTGAACTTCGTTTGATGCTTTGGACAAAAGTTATGAACGATTATATCTAAAGAAGTGCGTTCATGATCACATTTAAACTCATACAACTATATGAAATCTTCAAGTGATATATTTCCTATATTTTTTTTCTTTAAATTCGCCGTGAAAACGAAGATTTTAAAACAAAAAATCAGTAAAATCGAATAACTTTTCGATTTTCTAGAGCCAAAAAACGAGGGGACCGCGAAAATATAAAATTACACTTATTTGATTGAATGCGATTTATATAGATCTAAGTAGATACAATTTTTGGCTCAATGTTATCTACATAAGTCTACACAGATCTAACAACACGGAGAAAAATGAAACATAAGAATTATAGTCTAGCACTATAAACTGGACGCATTTTGTCAGTTTAGTGATTTTTATAAAGATTTAAATGAAAAATTTTAAGTTTCACTAGGAAAATTGTAGTTTAGCTAATAAATTTTATTGTTCAGCACGGTAATTTTTTCGGACAACGAATGATTGATAGAATTTGAAGAAAATCAGAGGATAAAACATACATTTTACTTGTGCTAGAATTTTTCTATTGCGGCGCAGTAAAATTTCACTTTCTCTCTCACTCAAAGCACACAGGCGATTAAAGGCCCATATTTTACAATTAAAATTTAATTATTAATAATCGGCAGAGAGTTCCGTGAGTCGAGACTTTTTTCTCGAACTTGATTGACGAATCTAATTCAATTGTTCAATTTACAATATCTATAGAATTGATAGATATATTACAGAAAACTTGAAAAAATTTTTAAAAATCATCATACAGCTTTGTGATGACAAAGGTTCAACGTATGCGCGCCGACGTTTGCATACGTGCGTCGTAAAAGTGGTCATACTTTACCATCATTTTTTTAGTATTATTAATATTACTATTATTATTATAAAATTACAGCTGAAATATAAAAGGAAATTTGTAAATAATGTTAATAAAATGTTTTGTTGGCAAATCAATTTTAATATTCAAATTAAATAAAAATGCGAAGTTAGGTTAGTAAAATTTACCGTGCCAGCACAATAATTTTTCTATTGCTGACCGATAGATTATATAAGAGTGACATCTTGCGTCCAGTTTACCACGCCGCACGGTAATTTTTCTTGAAATTTCCAATATTTTCTATTGGAATTTTTTCGCCGTGTAGATCTTATATTTTGTGGCTAAAAAATAATTTTGATCTGATCTAATCCAATATTCCATTGCCATACCAAACTAGATCCAACTTGGTATAATATTTGACGGCTGGAAAAACGGTTTGATACGATCTGATCTAATGTTTCATCTTCATACTAAATCCGATCTAATCAGATTGGAATTAATTTTTTATAAATTTCAGTGGATAAAATTTGATGCATTAAGAGTTTTGTAATGTTAAAAAGTCTGATAGAGTTACAGGAATAATCTAATGTATTTATTAACTTTTTTTACAATATCATCTCAATTAAGTTTGGTTGCAGACAAATGAAATTTTTAACCCTAATAACATGGCGTATACTTTTTATGTTGTCAGCCCTAGGTATCATGAAAAAATTGATTTGTTTAATGGGAATTATAATTAGATCAGATAAAAGTTGATCATTCATGTAAATTTGAAAAGATTTACGTTAAGGATGTAATAAGAATAAATAGCTGTAGTTATACAAATGGATGATTTAAAAGTAGTACCTTAAGTTTTCTGGGTTAGCATAGTCTACGGCTACAAGGATTCCAGGATCGAGTTTACCTAAGTTTCATTTCTTTACCTCAAAAATTATTTTCCGCACTAAAACTACATCATACTCATGACATTAATATATGTATTCAATGATAAAATTCAAATTTAATCAGGTTTATTTGGATTTTATTAGATATCGCCAATTTTTGAATTTAATGATATCCAAAGTTTCTGATCTAATCAAATCTAATTAGATTTATTTTTTTTCCAAGATCTCTCATGTTATAGTATGCTCGTATAAAAATAAAATAAAACTTTGCATAACTTTCATAAAAAAATATTAATAAATGAAATCTGTAAAAGACATACGGATTATATTTTCGTCATTCACTTATAAGAAATAACAATTCTACTCTTATCGTTGCAAAACCCGCTAAAACGATTTCCAATTCTAACTTTATTTTATAAACAATTGACAACATACATTTATTTTATTCTGAATTTCCAATTGTTTAGCTCAATTTATAATCACTTTCACCATAAATTACTGTAATGTAACTACAATATATCCTTAGTTAACGGTTGGCTCAATAATACCACTATTATATTCAAAAGAGAGTTGATATCATAAAAACCCACCTAAAGTTAGTAAATCTCAAATCTACTATACAGATAGGCTAAAACTCATTCTGGAGTACTCTAAGAGCTTAAAACTCTCAGAGGGAAAGCTACAACCTTACCATACCTGATAAATCGCCGAGCTCCAACTCGTCGACGAAGAGCTATCACTTATTTAGGGATACAGTGTAAGCTACAACTCTCCACCCTCCAGTCTAAAGGGCTTGTCTACATTTGGACGAAACACAATTCGTCAACGAAACAGTTATTAACCCTCCCTCAGTGCCGTGTTTTTGTAGGCATAGCTCCGTGCGGTGACGAGTAAAACACTCACGTTTCTTTGACCAACGATTTGAAGTTCGTATATAATATTTATCCGAACTTCAGCCAAACATCGAAATTCGTGCCTTTTCGTTTAGTACGATGACGAGTAAAGTACTCACAGAATTTTTTTAAATCGCTATCTTTATTATTTTATATAAGAAAAATAGCCTTTCAATTAGTTGTAGATACTCAAAATTTCAAAGGGTTTTCTCATTTGAAATTTTGATAATATAGAAGCTAAAAAATGAACGTGAGTAAAATACTGATAGCAACACTGAGGACAAGTTTAAAATTTAATCCAATTTCAGTCATTTGAAGGCAAGTTCGAAATGTAGAAAAAATCATCCAACTTATAAAATTAATTCTTTAAATCACAATATCTTTTTAGAAGTAACATTCTCTCATATGCAATAAAATAAATTTAATCTTATTACTCAAGTTACTCAAAAATCTATTGTAATATTGGTATTCATTTCTTATTCAAGAAAATGTTGAAAAAAAAATTTTTTTTCATAAATTTCGTGCGTTATACCATTTTCTTCCAGTTATCACACAGTAAAAAATTTTGTGTTCTGTGTAAAAAAAAAAAAAATCCAACAAAATTGTTTTTTAGTTATTTGAATTACTTTTATTAATTACCACATTCATTAAGTAAACTTCTACATTCTAAATCAGTTGATTTTACACATCATTGTGTAAAATTATAAGGAATTTATTGTGGCGAATTAACACAAAATTTATGTTAAATTAGTTCTCTTGTGTATGAAATCATTGACACAAATTTTGTGTAAAAATTTGACACATACACTTTGTGTTAAAATGACACAAAAAATTGAGTGGAACGTTTTGGACATGTGAAATGTTAATTTTAACACAAATTTTTTGTCTGTGCATGCTTATATGTAGATTCACTAATTTATTCACTTCATCCTAGAAATAATATAAATAGCAATCACCATTGTCTTTTCATTTCTTTATAGAAATAAATAACAATTTACAGAAAAAAAATTGTATTTTTAAATCTATGCTAGATGGTGAGCCTCCAAAAGCTCTGAACTGTCCGGAAGACATTGTTAAAAATAACAGGACATTAATCATTTGGATTGAGCCAATTTTTACGGATAATGTAAGAGTCACGCGCGTTACCAGTAACGAGGTAAAATATATATTTTCAACGTATCTTATACTCTCTTTTACTAATAGGAAATGTATTTTTACTTTATTATATTTTACTTGAAAATGTAGTCTTTAGAGTTAGAATCTCAAGAAAACTTTAAAGTTGAAATTATAAATAATTTCTTTTAAAGAGAAAAATTTTTTTTTCTGTTTTCTTATATAATATTATAAATACGCAAGTGGTCATTTATCATATAAGCATGAATGATTTTATTTTATGCTACAATGTTTCTTTAATAGGTAAATAACTTTATTAATCATCAAAGCAATATCATAAATATTATCTTCTGTTTCAGCGTCCAGGTCGTTTCTTCAACGTTGGAGAATGGAAAATCATCTATGAAGCTAGCGATGATGCTGGCTGGACGTCAAATTGTACATTTAGTGTTATAATACAATAAAATTAAAACAATATGAAATAACAAAATTGAATAAATTGAAAATTATTTTCATCATTGATTGATAGATCAAATATTGAAAATTTTTATCAAAATTAAGAAAAATCATAATGATTTTTGTGGAATCAGTGATAATTGATAACTTTATCAGAGTAATTAACTCTGACATTGTCAAAATGCATATAATATTAAAATGTAAAAATAAAAATATTCAAACGATATTAATATGTATTTAACTTATTGTAGTTTTTTTGTAATAAAGTTGATTTGATTGATTTTCTCAAAATGCTTTATTAAATAATTAGAATTTCAATGTATAAAATGATAGAAAAAGTTAATATTTAAACAATATAAAATTAATAAAGTAAATTTCTAAAAATTACTGTGAATAAGCCGAGTGTAATTAATAATTGCTTTTATTCTTCTGCATACTTGTTATTTGAAGTGTATTGAATACTTACCCGATCGTGCTTGTAAATATGATTTTTTTTGTCCGGAAATAATTGATTGATTTGTTGGAAAAGGAGAAATTTTAGAAACTGGTTTTGTCTTTGGTATTGTTGGTATTTGATAATTAATTTTAGGTTTTTCAATTGATTTTGAATTCAATTTAGAGTTCCGATTATCTCTAGAAAAATTAAACGAATGTTTCAATTCTAAAGGCAATTCACTGTTTTCGAGTCTCTGCTTAATTTCATCTACTCCCATGGTGGTGAAAGAATCTTGAGTATCAATTGTCACATTACATGTTAAATCTATTATACTTTCAAGAACTGACATAGCAGCTACGGATTTTTTTCTACTGATAGCAGGATTTGCTGACTTAGGTCTGGTGGTTGACGTAGGTTTAGGTTCATTAGAATTTTCAAGGGACCATATCTTTCCAGAATCATCAGGAACTTCCCAAGCAAAACTACTTCCAGAAGATCGAGGCCGTGAGTTTACTTTTGGCATGAAATGCTTAAAAGCTCTTGACGAAGTACCGCTTGAACTGGGCCGCGATCGTCGGCTTTGGGGTCTTGATGAATAACTGTTAGAAGAGTTAAATACATCATTCGCAACACTTGATAAAAACTTTTCCTTTTCAGGCAATACTGTGATTGTTAAAGGTTTATTTATATTTATAGATTCTGTATTATTTTGAAATTTATTGGTTTCTACTTTATTTTCATTAATGCTTTTGCCTTTTGTTAAATTTTTTTCATTATTTAGGTTTTTGTCAAATTCATTTGAAAAATTTTTATTTTCTGTGTCATCTTGTATATTTGTTAATTCACGAGGCTTACGTAAATATGATACTTTCTTAGTTGCTTCGGTAAATACAAACGGGTTACCTCGGGTGAAAGGATTTTTTTTTATCGGTTCTTTCACTTTTGATATTTTTTCTGATATTGACGATTCATTTGAGATGCTTTTAGCTTCTTTGAATGGACTGCTTGGTCGAGAGTTTGATTCAAAATCAATCGTTTTCTTCAACATTTCATTTCCTTTGGAAAATTTATTAAACTTATTATCCGGCTTTGCTTTTGATCCTTTCTGTTTTCGAGAAACTTTAGAAGGTGTTTTCAAACCCGCTTTAGGACTTATCATTTCTGGAAGATGATCTATTTCAATTGTAGAAACGGTGGTATCAATCGCTTTATCAAAAGTATCTGGCCTTTTGTTGATTATTTTCGTTAAAAAGTAATCTCGAGGATGTATTAATGTGATTCCATTATTCATATTTTTATTTTTTTTTCTAAAATAGCTATCTACGCAATCAAAAAAGTTATGCTCATATCTTTTATTTAATCTTATTCCAGTATTTGAATCAATGGAATTGAGATGTAATGAATTAAAGATAACCTCTCCTGGTGCTTGATTAAGACCATATTGTTTAGTCAATTTTTCACCAATTAATTTATAACGATAATAATTGTAATTATAAATATCAAACTTATCTAATGATTTATCAGAATCTGAGTCATCATTATCATCTTTTGGTGGCATTTCGTTTTTTGATTTAGTGATCCAAAACTCACTTTGATTCAAATTTGGAGTTGATCTTATTGCTCTAATAGGTAAACATTTATCACGATACTGGAATTTAGAATTGAGTTCTCTGACTGTAGAAAGTATTTGATTATTATTCCGATTTTCCTAAAAAAAATGAAGAATTTCAATGAAAATTAGTTAAAATTCAGCAATGTTTCTATCAATCGATGTATAAATAAATAAATAAATAAAGAACTAAAAAAAATTTGTCTTACTAATAAATAAAGTAACATACCAAAAATCTATGAATGCGTAAAATTAAAGGTGCAGCCATTAAAATTGCTAGAGCTATTGCCAAAAGATTCTCAACCAAAAATGGCGGTGTAGATTGAAAAGTTAATACAATATTTCTGGATTCTCGAGTATTAAACATTTCATTAGCTTGGGTATTTTTACAAGAAATACGAAAAGTGATTTCTGTAAAATCTTTGCCGTCATGTTATCCATGAGCTGGAACGTGTTAAAACTACGGAATTTTCCATCTACTACGTGATTAAAAGCTCAAAGTCAATATACAAGTCAAACAATCGAGGACACTATTATGTCAAAAAATGAATAACTTCGATCGATTTATTTATTTATATATATATATATACATACGTGAACAACGGTGTTCAATGTGAATTTATCCACATCTTCGGTTCATAATTATATACTCTAGATTTTGTGATAATTTTCACGAGCAAAAAAAACTTTTCAAACTATGTGAAAATTGCTAGCATTTACTAGCGGACTCACTTATAATTTTGAATATCCCGTTAACCTTATTTTCTTAAAATTCTATATATGTATGATCATTGATATAAATATTGATTTTGGATAACAATTACCCTATAAGAAATAATCAAATAATAGAAGCAAGTAAATGATGACTATTTTTATAATATTAGTTTATTTTGACATTTTAGGATGTATGGACAATTATTACATAATTTTATATAATGAGAAATTTGTTTCTTAGTAGTAGTTTGTAAGATTCGACTTGTGTTTAACATTTTTTTGTATCCTTCTCAAATTCTTACACAACACTCTTTCACAAAAAATCAATAATCATTTAACTATAAATGGATAATTAAATACGTGCGCTCTTGGTTATTAATCATCAATTAAACATTTTTATCATTATCAATATTATGATCATTATATTATTATTAATTATTATAATTACGATATAACGCTATAATTCACTTTATTTTTTTCATTATTATTATTATTTAATTTTTTTTTATTTTATACTTTTTTAATTGTTAATTTATTTCATTTATAATGATAGAAAGTACGTTACATCGCAGTGTGTGGCAAAAATAGTTAACAGAATTTTAATATTCCGCTTGCAATTGAACACTGCGTCGTGAGACGTAAGTCTTTGTCGATAATTATAGCAATGTGTGATAAAAAAAATTTTTGATATTTGTTGAATTGTCGAAAAATTATACCAATCCCAATTGTCAATTGGGCTCTTATTTGTTTATATTATGATAAAAAATTGAAAAATGTGAATATATATACTTGTTATAATTTTAAAAGAAAGATAAAATAATTTTTTCAAAATATTTAGCAAAAAAACAAACTTTTTTTTTCTTTTTTTTTGAAGAAAAAATGTAAATAATCAAGTATTTAATAATTAATTATAATTTTCTAATTTTTTTAAGAGTTACAATTCTGATTTTAAATTGTAAAATAAAGAAATGATTTATTTTTAATAAAAAATTACGAAAGCTTTAATCGTTATTTTGGTATTTTTTTTCAGACAACTTTCTATAGAAAAATTGAAATGTTTTCTCGCCCCCTTAAAATGTAAAAGTTATGAAAATCAGCATTTTATTAATATGAATTTTCAAAATTTACGTCATGTATGAATGAAAAGTATTCGTAAACACTTTATTATGTTATTAGTATTTTAATATTATAAAGCATACAATCATGCTCTTTCACACTTGAATTGTCAACACACAATATCACGTTCTGTGAAAGAAAAATATAGAACAAGGAAAAAAGTACGATCGAATAATCTAAGAAAAGTTGTATCGATAGAAAAAATGAACAGATAAGAAAATTTTTTGTTTGCATGCTTATTCAGAGCAATCTGCATGTATAACCGTATGAATATCATTCTTTCAATTATTTATGTGACTAGAGGTATGTATGAATAACAATCAATCAATCAAAATAATAATAGTAATAAAAATCTATTATGACTAAATGTTTATTATTATCGATATCTTTTTAGATTCTAAACAATATTTTTTATGTGATGCCAAGAGTTTCGAGTAGAAATTAAAATTAATAATACTAGTGATAACTTTTATAACTATCTAAATAATTTATATCAATACTTGAATAAAAGATTAATCATTAATAAATTAAAATATGATATCAGAATGTAATAAAAAGTGATTTTTCGTTGATGACTTTTTAAAATTATCATATCTATTGAATAATATTACATGACCAATTACTAAGTAACGAATGATCATTATTAAATTGAATTATCAAATATTAGATTGATTTAATTTTATCCTTGATGGAAAACTTTTTAATGCATTTTTATTTATTTCTATTTTATAATTTTACTTATGTTATATCCAATGGCACATGAAATTAACACGCTTTTAAATGAGACATCAACTTGATTTGCATCAATTTAAAATATTAATTTTCTTTAGTAATACAGATTATTGTTTCTTATTATTTTTGTTTCAACAATAAACTAAACATAAAAGTTAAAACATAAACTGTTAAATACATGAAGGAACTAACTTTCTACAAAATTGAAACCTTGAAAGAAAAGTTTATAATAAACATCAATTATCAAATATTGTTGAATAGATCTGACTTAGAAACAAAAAATCATAAGCTAATGCTTGATTTCATAAAAAATTATTTAAATTACATAAATATATTTTTCAAAATTCCTTTGAAGGTTTTAATCACTGAATATTACGATAGGGAAACAAAAATCTTTTAGACTAGATAGGTATTACGTAGAACGTTGGTATTAACGTCAATCGTGGACCTTAATTATTGTACAAAGGCTTATTCTTGACTCAAAGCTAACACAATTTATAAATTTAGCGACATTCGGCAGACTTACGACTCATGTGATTTATTGAAATTTTTTTTTTTTCTTGATACTTCAATTATCTGTATTCGCAATTAACTATTTCCGTCTTATTTTATTTATTTATTTCATCTTTATATTCCACCGATCTATTAAATGATTCTGACACATCATTTATGTCACTCGCACTCCTAATAGTATTCATTCACTCTTTTCCGTTAACTAGAATATTTATTCAATCATACACAAAATCATCATTTATCTAATTAATTAACCAATTAGTTATTAAATATAGATAATAATGCAATGATCGGTGGATTCTTACAAATATACTTTGAATATTTAATCAAATTTCTTACTTCAAAACAACGTAGTATTTTTTACTTAATAATGACTGCCTGATATCTTTCGAGTTTTCATCATTACATATTTAAACTTGTCTCACACATGAATAATTTTCTTCTACAATTCCATCTTATCCGCGACGTTTGACGCATTCTTTTATGAAAAATCTTTAAAAATAGAAAGCTTAGATATCTTTATTATCTGAATGAATCATTTGTGCAGGCTTTTACTTTTTCTTTTGTCAATTATAAGTTACATAATTCATTTCTTGTTAGGAAGAATTTTATTTAAATAATTTGATTCATTTATTCAAAAGCATGTGGCAGTCGTCTATAAATGCAAAATGGAGATTTAAAAACATGTCTTTACTAGATTTAAATTAGTAAAATTTTTCTTTTTATCTAATATTATAGCCCACACTTTGATTAATGAAAAAAATATATTTCATCAATATTATTGTATTAGTATTCATCAAAATTTTTGCTTCATAAAGCAGAAAAAATCATTAACACCGAGACCATTAATCAATATTTGACAAATTGTAGCAAAACTTTTAATAAAACAAATCAACTTGATAAATTAAAAAAAAAACAACTAAATACTTAAGCTTGTAAAATTATGCTCATTGGCACATATTTGGTCATTTTACTAACATTTCATTCATTTATGAAAAATAATAATCTGCATTATGGTAAATAATTAATTATTTTGTTGTAAATACAATATGTGATTCGTTAATATAATCTTCATTATTTGTGCTTTGTGTGCGTATAAAAATGTATTGTTGCAATAAATGTTGTGAAAAGTATGTAGTAAATTTGTCCAAAAACAAATATTTACAATATAATAATAAATAAAAATAATATGAAATTATATTTTCTTCTTATAACTGTCATCAGCGATCAACTTTAACTGTTACACAGTGAAAATATAAATCTTAATATCAGTTCGAAAAAATTAATGTTAAATAATTTATATCTTATACGTTTTGTATTAGACATTTAAAAAAATCCTAAAATTGTCCAGCGTTTCTTTCATATTGTTGTGCATTGATGATAATAAACATGATAAAAATCATTTCATCAAGTAAGTGAAAAAATACCTCGGTGTCGGTGCTTCCACAGAGAAAAAAGTGATGATGACTTAGCGTTCATTCGACGCGGATAGCGTTCTCATCCACCACGACTGGAACGAAGCGTATTGTATTCAAAATTTTGCACACTTCGGCTCATCTTATACTGAATCAAAGATTTTTAATGTAATAGTCTTGTACATAAATATGTAGCATCAATTATCTTCATAATTTCTCCACATTTTGCTAATTTTTTATTTTCAATAGTATTTCAGTTATCATAGCTTGAAAGATTTATGTAAAGAACTTAAAGACAAGGAAGAAGAAAGCAATCAGCTCAGAGTTCACTTTTTAATATGTTGTGACTTGACGACGTCCTGAGAATGAGCCGAAGCGATTGAATGATCGACATGGAGAAACCACGTTCGTCACAATAATATTGGAATTGATGATGGTGTTTACCAAATATTAAGAAATTTTAATAGAGACCGCAACCGCGAAGATTATTAGCAATGATCACGTCTGTAACTGCGTCAAATACGAATTGAATATTATTTGTATCTGTAGCACAGGTCATGTGGCAGTAAATCTCTTTTGTGGTCGACTTATTTTTTGCTTCAAATTGTGCCTGAATATACGCAGCAGCTTCACTATACTCCTGAGCACCTAAAATAATATATTTATTATTGAATTACGATTATTATTGCAACATAATATACAGTATTATTGTTTTGACCAAATACTTTACCATTGTATTCAGGAAAACAAATGGTGAGTGCAGATCTACGAATCTTCTCTTCAAATAAATCTTTTTTATTCAAGAATAGAATTATCGAAGTATCCGTAAACCATTTGTTATTACAAATTGAATCAAACAGTTTAAGACTTTCTTGCATACGGTTCTAAAATATAAATTGATTATTATAATTTATTCATTCAATCCTGTTGATTTAAAATTTTTTTCAATTCAAAATAACTAGCAAAATTCAGTAATATAACTTGAAATCAAAAATATGTATGCTACATTATTCATTATTTTATATACTATTATGTAATTCATGTTTATTAAGTAATTTTGATCAATTTTGTTAAAATCAAAAAAGTTCATTTCTACTACAATGATTTATTATCACTTTAAATAATGTTTACAAATGTATCTATTTGTTTCAATATAACTATTGCTATTTGAGGATTTAATGAATTGATCATTTGAAGAAATATACAAAAAAAATTAACACCATATTTTTGATAAAATACAACAGAAAGAGAGCTATGAGTTTATAAAGAAATAGGCATAAAAAGAGTTGAGACAATTTAATTATTTTTGATTGGTCATTTAAATTGATCATGAAAAATAGTTTATAATTTAAAATTTAGTATAATTATTGCGCAAATTTTTGATTTGTTTTTAAAGGCATCTATTATTACTTGAAGCATATTAATGTAATTTTTTATAGATTAACAACTCTTCATCTAATATTGTAAATTCATTAACTATTCGTTTATATTAAATCTTTAACCTTTTCTCAAGCTTTTAACGATCTCATAAACGTGAATGAAAACTACCTAACTATCGTGAGACTGCTGTCAATTGATACATTGACACTGTAGGATAGCGCGACATGCATTTTATGTGATATGAACATTGAATGGAAGCTTCCCACATGTAATGACCTCACTAATTGATCTCTTTTTTTCGATTCTCTCGAGTCATTTAAATTCTACGTCTTACAAGAATGTATCTTATCCATTTATTTTACCCGATGTTAAATTTGAAAATTTTTGTAAAAGAAAATTATTAAAAAAGAAAAAAAATTGATTTAGTTAACCTCAATTAAATAAAATAAAAATGCATTTGATAACAGCTCGTTAGAATGATGAAATTATGCATTATTTATGAAATGCTTTTTTTTAAACTAACATATCAAAGAAAATCTGATTGTAAATGCTAAAAATCTGATGAAAAAAATTTTCACTCAATGAACAAATGTAAATCATTAACTTTTAATTATTACCGTGGTTTCATCCTCATGAAGAACTTGATCATATTCCGACATTGCAACACAAAAGATAATTGCTGTAACATCTTCGAAACAATGTATCCATTTTTTACGTTCACTCCGTTGTCCTCCCACATCAAATAATCTGCATGAAATAATTCAGTGAGTATATTCATTTGTGTCTCAACAATTTTATTTAAACTAATTCAATTACTTTACTTACTTGAAATTAAGATTTTTAAATGAAAAGTGTACTTCTACGATTCCAGTAGTTTTTACTCGGGTCCTCAAAATATCTTGCTCTGTAGGTTGATAATTTTTTGCACCTAATCGATCCAAATCATCCAGAAAGCTGAAAAATAATTTATCTTGTTATAGACATTTTTATTCAATTGAATAATTTATATCAAGCATATGAATATCGATTACTCTCGATAAATCTATTTAATACTTTACAATTTTCATTCATTTTTTTTTTTTTATTCCTTTGCAGTACATTCTCAAGCTCTATCATCGCTCATTTCAATTATTTCTATTTTACAATACAATACTTATTTTAGATTATTTTTTGAAGCATTTTTTTTCTAATTTTACTATCCAATATTCAAGATATTATGAGGAATAAAAATGATTATGCTATATTGTTTATTTGTTAAATATACATAATAAAGTCCTTTATATTAAGTAAAATTAAATTATTTATACAGAAAAATAAAAGGTCAACTTTTTCATTTTAAATAATATTAACCAAAAAACCAATATATATATATATAGGTTGATGTATAAATTAACAAATGTGTAGTAGCAACCCTTAATTCACGCAAGCTCAGAAAGTCTTCAGTAGCTTTACCACGTGATACGGGCGTGGCGTGACGTCATTCCAGATCAATACAACAAACTCTACGCTCTATATTTCTATTCTTCATATTCTTTTTATTATTGCTCTTAGCTCGCCCATTTCTTTTTGTTTATATTCAAAAAAATTTTACTCCAAAAAAACTTGTCGATTTATAATATATAAAAATAATTCAACTACTTTGGTAGCTAATAAACTCAAACTACTGCAGTTTTTTAATCGTTCAACTGATCTTTTCATCACGTTAAGAGCATAAAAAATCATGGACCAAGATATCATCGTAACTACTCATGACCTTTATGCTACGACCTCGATTGTCAAAATAGCATAGTGTGCTAGAAAAAATTAAATTAATATTGTTAGAAGAAAAGTCCTTACTATTTGGCAGAATCATTGAGCTGATATTCGTTACTTCTTCCGAAACATTCTTGAACACCATGATCAGCCCACAGCCTTTTCATAGCAGCCAGAAGTTCTTCACTGAATGGCTCTGTATCTTCCATCCGTTGAATTACGTCAAACACCATCTTTGCATCAGTCTGAAAAAAGCAATATGATAAACTCAGTCAACAGACTTAAGACTTTATTTTTATATATTATCTTTGTCTTGTTGCCTTAATATTTTTCGTAGTAATTCGTTTTTCAAAGTATAATGAATCCTAGATTTTTTCTAATACTTGAACGATTATCAACTTTTTAACAATTATATTGAATGTAAAAAAATTGATTAATTATTTAAAAAACTATTTTTTATGTAAAAATGAATGAATATATAAATGTTTTCGGACCAACTGCAATAGATGGCTTCTTAACCGATCATACAAATGGTCCATATATAATGCGCTCCACACTGAATACTTCATTCATGAGATAATTATTGAAGCGTGGAAAACCACATCCACCACGGTACTCAATGTCTTACCACTTAATATCGCAATGAGTAATCATTGTATGAATAAAACCTATTATAGTTGTACATGATTTTTTTTAGATTCCCGCTATGATCAAATAATGTTCTTTTTTATCTTTTTATTTTTTTACTTAAATTATTTGAAAGAATATATTTCAATTTTATCATTTGTTATTAGTTTGAACGGTCAAAAACCTTACTCGTATATTTCTACAAGTTAATTATTTCTTCACCTGTTGCAGTGCCGCGCTTCACGACACTGTATTATTTAATGTTATCCTAAATTAATTACATTCATTAACTATTTGCATATTGATACATATTTGCAAAAATTTAATTTACTATTAATTCATGGTTCATTTATTATATATTTACATTTATCAATTATGGCGATCTTTTCAGCTTTTTTGCTTACCTGACGTTCATTTGATGAATAACTTATTTCCAAATTGGGCATTGCTCTAAGAATAGCAACTAAAGACTGTATCGTGTTGCTGTAAACGACAGGCCTATACTGTTTAAAATCTTCGGGTGTGAATCCACTCTCGTGAATAATTCTAAAACAAATAGAAATTCCAATGAATGAATCGATGACTACATGAACAATTATGCAAAAAATAAGATTATAAGGAATAATGTGTACTGTATTAACTATTTCATTTTTTTAAAATAATATTTAAGTTGACCTTGATAAAGATACCGATGAGTTTATTCATGGGCAAAAATTGTTATAATAAATGGTATTATTATAATGAACCGATCGTAATTATTCTTATTTTCAAGTAATAATGATTCATTGAAAAACTCAGTTTATTCTTCATAAACTGAGTAATAATTATGTCATATATTTATAAATGTGAGTTAAAGTGGTTCAATAATATCTTAAAATCTTTATATTTTTTGAAGTATAATCTAACTAATTTTACTTATGCATGTCAATAATCTTATTTACAAGAAAAATAAAAAAAGAAGCTAAAAATATATAATGATATATTTTGGTTAAAAAATGTCGCGTGTCGGTAGAAGCATACTTCACAGTTGCCCACTTCAAGTGTCTGTATTTTATCGCAACGTGCAAATATCGATTTTTCAAGTGAAGAAGATGAGCCGGCAACAGTTTGTTCAACCAACTCTGATACAAACGGTTTGAATACAGGGCCAAGGTATACTGAGGTCAACTAAATTGTACATTACATGACTTATCAATGATTTTATTCTTTTTCATAAAATTAAAATTAGTCTTTTTTTTTCAAAGTTTTGTACTTACTTCATTTGTTTTACGATAGTACTTTTCCCAGATTCTCCAGCACCTGAAAATATTAGCAAATTATCTTAATTAAAATATAATAAGTCTTTTTTTAAATTAAATTTGGTAAATAAATAATTTCGTGAACAATAAAAAAAAAATTTTGTTATTATTATATTGGTAAGTGTATTATTTTATAAGCGGACGTGACGTAGGGGCGGAACTTGTTTTCCTGCTTACTGCAAGCATTCCCCTCTTTTAAAAGCTCTCTCAGTTAAGTGACTATCTATAATGGCTATCTGTTTGAAAATTTTTAAATACCGAATATGTACTTATCATAAAATTACCATCTTGAATAAAGAAAAAGTAGCAAGTAAATGATGTAACAAACAAAATCTTGAGCAAATGGGATCTGTTTAATTTGATTTAATAAATGAATTTTTAGAGGGTAATTTTTTTTGTATTTTCATCGCGGCCTCCATCAATGAGATGAAACTAGTTGCAGAATCAGGGTTAAATTTGACGTCATTCTAACAACAATAAGCGACTTAGAATATTTAACAGTTAACTGTAGAATTTTAATGGTATAAAAATAAAGATTCTTATTCAGATTAATGGAAAAAAATAATTAAACATTCAGTAATACGATAACTAGATTAAAATAACAAATTTGTCTATGAGACATGGGAAATTTTTTAAAATGTATATAATTTAAATATAAACTTTAGTTATCAACTTATTGAAAATGAAAGTTTGTCAAAATAAATGATATTTTAATATTTACTATAAAAAAGAATTTATTTCACAATAACAGTTGACAAGAAATTGATCAAAATGGAATTTGTAGAAGCATTTCAAGTTGTACAAGATCTATTGAAAGGAAATTTTAAGATAATTTTAAAGAGCATGAACGGTCAAACAACACATGGCAACAGCATGTTGTACGTTTAGTTACAGTATAAACGTTTCTATTCTAGACAAGTTTAGAATTTTAGATCATTAAAACTTGTACAATTATTATAAATTTAGGCGAATTAAAAGAAATGAAGAAATCAAAAACTTATTCAAAAATTGTGTACATGAAATATTTTATCGAATAAAATAATAATTATTATGATATAAATATGGTTTGATAACTCACCCAATAGCAAAAGTTTAATGTCTTTGGCTGCTTGTAGTCCATCCTCTTTTAAATTTTTTTCAATCTGTTTGCTGCGGGCCAGAGCGGCCCGCTCTTCTGCAGACATAGCACAGCCCATTTTGCTACACGTTGCTTTCACAAACGCCACCCCCGCTTTTTTTTATTCTCACCCCTATCACGGGACGGCAAAGCCCCCGCCACCACGCACACACACAACACCACAAAACACTACTGAGCGCACACGCGCACACCAATTTCTTTTTATTCTATGTGTACACTACACGCGCGCTCTACGCACGCACACACCTGACTACCGCCGCACAAAGTGCCCCCTCAAATAGTCGTCTAACGCCGCCACCCTTATACTGATATCCTAACGACGATTATCTGTAACAAACATTCATCATTAGATACCAATTTTTCCTACCATCTTATATTACAGGAAATAGTAAATTTATTAATTTTTATCGATCAACAACTAGACATTAAGTTTTATATATATTATTATAAATGATTAAAAATATTTAATTTTATATTTCATTTGTAAATTATTTAAAAATAAACTCAAATTGTAATTATTGCAAAAGTTTTTTTATTTAATAAATAAATAAAATTAGCAGATAAAGGTTACCTGTTGCAACTAACGAGTGAAATGCGCATATAACATCAAGAAAAGTTTATAACGTTAAATCTATTTATTTTTTAATATAATAAAACAATATTAGTAAGACGAAGCTCTCTTTAAATGCACATAGGAAATAAATTGATCTTTCATAATTTAAATAAATAGTTTTTAGTGCGCATGTAATAATGAAAGAAAAAAAAAAAAGAGTCGATAAGGATCTAAGAAAATATTAGCTTTAACAAGCTCCATGAAGGAATTAGTAACGAAGAGAAATAAATCAATACCAACAACCGAATAAATACTTCTATAATTTAATTCAACATGTAAAAATTTGAAAAATACTTACTTAAAAAGTATCCCTGATTCAGTTTAGCTTTTGCTAGGTACTAAGATAAATACTGATAACTTTTAGCTGTAACATACACTTAAATCGATGAAGACAAGAAAAAATATAAAAATTTACACTAAACAGCTCTTTGTATGAAGAGAAATTGTACTGCGTAACAGCGTGCTTTTATCACAAAATATTATTCACTGTATTCGAAGGGAACTTTAGACGTAATAGTTAATAATATTGATAAGTTTTCGACACATTTACACTTTTCCCGGTACTTTTCTTCCCCGGGTAGACTTCAGGTATCTGTATTTGATCGATAATTCGGAGGAACCTCCGGACCGCCGGCACAACCCCTCGACACGTCCCAGTCGGGTGAATTATCCGTAAGAGGGGCAAGTTAGAGTTGACGATGATGACAAAAGGGGGCTACGAAGGTTTTTCTTAACCAGGAGAATAACAAGGAAAAAACTCACGATAGACACAATCACAATTCAACTTGTATAAATATTTCGTCACTTACACTTTTATTCCATTTTTCTCACCAGCTTTTGTTCAAACTTATATGAGATAATTTCTAAATAATAAAAAAAATTTTTATGAGTGACCAACACCCTCGCTATTCTCGTGAGCTCGATGGTAATGTTCACGAGTCGTTTTTCAATAAAGAAGAACTAAAGTCTCTTCTACGCTCCAACGAGATGCGGGGAAGCGGATATAAATCGACTCGTGAACTTTTGACAGCAGCAAACTGGACGCGTACTGGAGATGGTCCGACTGCAGCGCCACCATATCTCGCCCCACCCAGTACCACTGACAATACACTAACACATTTTATTGGTCATACTACTATCATTTTAACTTCGTATTCATAGTAGTGTTTGATTGTGTGTCAACGCTATGTTGAAACTCCACAGCATTTATCGATCCCCAGACAACCCCTGTGAATATCAAGTTTACTTCAGATTGGTACACTTTATTCTCAATTTTACCCCTGCTACCTTTGCGCCATCATCCCTTGTTATTTTTTTTTACCAACTCATATACTAACTGTTGATAATTAAGAAATTGTTTGATTTATTTTTCATTAACAGAATTTCTTCGAAAATTGATTTATGTATAAAACTGCTTTTATAAATATTTTCAATAATAATAATAGTAATAATTCACCAATAAGTTAAATCCTGAAGGTCCTCAACAATAACTTTCTGAAAATTATCATTTTTATTTAATATTGTTAATTACTGTAATTGATGTTTGATTGTGGAAAACTTTAATTTTCGATAAATAACAAAATTTAATTATTATATGCCAACTTATTTTCTTACTTGCATTATTAAATAATAATTATTAATATTTATAAATATTGTTCATATAATTGGTGAAAATTAATTATCACATGTGATATGAAATTTGAATAAAAAATTTATGAAATATTACAAACGTTTATTACTAAATAACGGCTGAATCAATTATGAAAAAAATTCTACCGGATTATCTTAGCATAAATAGGTTTCACATCTCATTATTATTAGCAGAAAGAAAACATTTAAATTCGTTTGTTAATTATCACAGGCTAAAAGAATAAGTGTTATAGCAGGACAAAAATATTTTTATTAGAGTTTAAGGTAAGTCAAATGACTTGTATATAAAATTGAAAAATTAAATAACAAATATAGATAAAAAATTTTCAATATTAAAATAAGTTGATAGATATTTTTATTTTTAAAGTGAACCAAAACTTCTAACATTAAAACATATATCTTTAGTTTATTTCTAGCTTATTTCTGTCATCATTTTTATAACTGTACAAGAATTAGTTTATAAATAAACATAGAGAATTTAATAACAATAGTTTTTCATTATTTAATTATGAAATTATGGCATTAAAAATTAATAAATAATTATATATATTGATTTAATTAATTAATAATAAATATAAAAATTTTATAAATAAATAAATTAAATAATTAAATATGTTCACTTATCATCACAATTTGTTAATGTTCATGATTTGCCTAACTGTGTCCGAAGTTTTAATATCAATAAGTTAAGTGCACTCAAAATTTTTCGTTATCAATACAAAATCATGATATTTTAATATCACCTGAGCTGTTTACCACTCATTTGTGGTATTTTTTAAAATATTTCTAGTTTTCGAGTTAATATAAAGCAGTTAACTTTTTCGTTATAATTACACTAAATTATAACAAATTGATATCTACAATTTTTGGAAATAAAACCTATTTTTTACATGACTTTTTTGTTTTCTAGATAAAAGTTTTTCTATTATTTACATTGATGGATTCATCATAAACTCTTGACTTTGAGTATCTTTATCTTTTCCTTTTTCATCATTTATTTGATTATTTTCTTCATTAGTAGCTTCAGTCTCTTCAGCACTCATATTAGAATCTTTTCTAAATCAATCAAATTAATTTATTAGATATATCGATATTTATAGATGATACAAATTGAAAGATCCAAACTTACGAATATCGACTGGTAGATGGTAAAAATAATGATTTAGGGCATCTCTTATAGTAAGGCCAACATTCTCCATGTAACTTGCCACGATTTTCTGCTTCTACATATTCATTCAGCAAATTTGCAAATGGTGATTTACTTGCACTAGAATAATATAAACAAAAGAGTGTTATTTTAAGAATTTCATTAAACTAAATATAAAAAAATAAATAAAAAGTTGACCACATACGTGAAAAACAATTTAAGTACTTCACCGACCAGTCCAAAATTACTTAGAGGATGGCCCTGTACTTCACAGATTGCTCGAAGCAAACAGGCTTTTCCATCTAATCCTAAATTAGTGAGCATATCTTCAGCGGTAACATAAAGAAGTGCACGTTCTCCACCGTGAAAAGCATTCTTTGGAGGAGCGTCATATAAATCACGCTTGTGTAATTTTCTCTTAATCAATGAAGCTATAAAATCTGCCATCATCATTCCGACTTGTCTACTTTCTATTCCTCTTCCAAATACTGGTGGTAATGCTCCATACGGATTTTCATTGTCTGTTAATCCAAGTTTATCAAAGTCAACTGGAAAAAATTATTGTTTGAATTAAAATTTTTTTATATAAAAGAATTTATATAATATATATAAAAATGATCTTACTGGTAAAAGGTAGACTTATGGTCATATTACTAAGAAAACCATGGGGTGGATATCTTACAAATGGAAGTGCAAGTGTGGGTGTGATTGTCATTATTGTACCCGGTGGTAAAGCTATTCTTCCATCATTTGTAAACCAGAATACTCTTTTTTGTCTGTGATGAGACTTAGTTGAACTTTCTGTATTTTTGCAGCTTGATGAATGAAAAAACCCCACCATAAAAAATCCAAATAATAAAAAGAAAGTACTCCACATTATGACTTTCAATCTGAAAAAGATGAAAAATTTAGGAAATTTTGCGCTATAAAACAAATTAATTAACAATGAACATATTTTTAGGTAATTTTTGATAAAGCGACAAACACGGATAAAATGTTTATGAAACAAGTTGCATGTTAGCTCCTTAAACTGGTAGGTCGGGTTGACATGATGGTCCATAGCCAGACCCTACCAGTCGTGTTACTTAGCCGGATGACCAGTTTACTTGCATCGATTCTTCGTAACAGTTTATCAACTGTAAAATCACAGTACGTATAATGTTCAAGTAACCGATTAAGAGGGAATTTATTCTACAAAAACTGGCATTACAATTTTTGATAATGAAAACATCATTTCATAGAAAACATAGTTTGGGTCAAAAGTATTATCAATAAAACACAACCTTTTATTGTAATTTTTCCAAAAGTAAATAATTCAATTTGTAAATTTTAATCATCACAAAATTGAAATTTGTTTGACTATAATTAAACAACTTGTAGCTATTGAATGAAGAAAAAATTAAAATTATATAAGATGGATCAACAGCACACATTTCGCAACGGCACTGTAACTGATGATTTTTCCGATCCGTTACAGACCAGCATTTTCAGAAAATTAGCCATGTGATATAACGTAACCGTTATTTGCCACGACTGGTTATTAGTAGCGCCTTAGGTGATGTGAATATCATGAAGAATTTCATATGACAAGGAACGAACTCTTCTTAATTAATTATTTATATACATATATATATATATTGATAAAACTTATCAAACTAAGTCATAGAATAATAGACACTGAATAAATCAGTTAACAATCCCATAAATAAATAATAAAAATTTGTAGATAATTCAAGTAGTAGACATCAAATAATTCCATGTGAAAAGTATTCATTTGGGTTTCACAAATTATTCTTGATTAAAATAAATTAGAAGCCAGCAAATAACCAACGTAATTATGTAATAAAATCAATAATTATAGAAATCCCGTTCAGTTCATTCAATTAGGTTAGTATTATTTAATTTACTTCCGGTATATTAAAAATATTACTAAATTATAATAATTAAGTTTCATTACAATATAAAGTAGTACATTCATTTGAACTTTTGTTCAAATATTAAAAACTTTTTTCAAATATTAAAAAATGGTTTTGAAAAATGTCTATGTAATCGAAATATTTATGAAACATTTTTGGTTTTTTTTATCTTACATCTGACAGTATTCTATTGACATTGAGTTCAACATATTAAAATTATACATAACAAAATGTCTAATTTATTGAATAATTTAAACTAGTTTTGTACATTAAAATTCTACATTCAAAAAGAAATAAAATTGTAAATTCGGAGATGATGGTGCATATAAATGATTCATGTTATCAAGTCAAACAGTTCAAGTATCCCGTTTGTACACGAATAAAAATTCCTAAAGTTAATTAAAGTAATATCATAAAAAGCTCATATTTATTTAAACGAAAAAAATTTGTCGTTAACCCCAATGATCGTTTCAACCTCTGAATAAGCTTTTAATTAGGGAAATCTTTAATAGACAAAATTAAATACGCATGAAACCCGTTAGGTTTTTAATTTATTCAGAATACTACATTGTACAATTGAAGGTGACATTAAGTATTCATTACAACGATGTCGCTAAGTTGAAAAAAAAAACCAATAAAACAGCACAAGGAATTGAAAAAGCTAAATACTTTGGCTTCGATGATAATAAATGAGGTTACAAAGGAATACGATGCACAATAATGAACCTTATATATACTGTGTCAATCGTTAACAGAATACTGATCATTGTCCTGTTTTATTTACTTTGATCGACACTCTTTGCATAATCGATGAAGGACATATAGAAAAATCAACAGCTACTACTGTTTAATTTATACGTTCATATAGACTTAACATTCTAAGGCGTTTAATAGCAGAATTCGTATACATTTATTGCATTTTTAATTTTCATCTACGCTTAAATCTAGTTTCTTCAATAATTGATTCAGTTTTTCAATAATAAATGTTATAAGAAAAGAATTATTTGAATATCAAAAAATGATAAACCAATTTTTGTGTTGGAAGAATTAATTAAATTACCCTGATAAGATTATTAATGAAAATTTACGATATTAACTAATATAATACATTCACAAATAGATTCAATAGTGGGGAGTATAGAAAGTCATAATCACTTTCAATATCCCTACAATTAATTTGTTATTTCGCACGTGATGACTATTTCAAACTATCATTATATTCTACATTATGAAAACTAAGTCAAAATTTATTATTCAAGTTAAAAATTATATTATAATATTAAAAAATCAAATAATTAATTGCTTCATTAATAATCTAATTATAAATATTTTTTCGAATCATTTCAAAAACTTTAATATAGATTCATATCGTTTTTTGAAAAATAGTTTCTTAAAAATTATACAGTAAAAAGTATTCAAATTTAAAATATTTATCTAACGATTATAAATGTTATACTAAAATTTCATTTAATTTTTAATATCTTCGTTATACTAGAGAACTACCTTTATTAAATATGCTATAATTAATCAATAGCTATCAATTATTGTCACGTAGATTTCAGTTTGTTCTCATTTCTAGCTTTAAAATAGTGTGTTAATGAAATAAAAAAAATTTAACAATATCATTTATTAACTTTTTGACTTATTCTATTTGGTGATTTATTGATTAAGTTTATTAGTTAAGAACAATTAATAAAAACATTGTAAAATTTTCGTATAAATTTTTAGTGATGACCTTAGTTTAGTAAATGGGTCTTCAGTATTATTGAAGCGTGCTCAGGAAATAAATAAGCATCATTATAAACTGGATTACACAGGGCATATTTTTGATTAAAACTGGTTTTTGGCATAACACCTCATTGATTTTTTTTTAAATAAACCTAGCAATATATTTTTGTAATCTAATAAATTATTTCGTGAGTTTTATTACAACTTATTTGTTTTATTTTATTTGTAATGTGCACGTGTATATTACTTGAATGCTCTTAAATTCTTAAAAAAGAGTGTATAAAAGAATGTGTTACATAACGGTTATTGAAATAAATAAATAATGAAAGGTAGAATCTTACTCGAATCATGATTGAAAGCAATAAAATATCTACATGAATTAAAAAAATGATCTAGTGCATAATTAATAGTAGTCAAAAACTTCATTTTTATAATGTTAGCTCAATCATATTTTAACTAAAAATTTGATTATAAATTTGCTATATGATAAATATAAAACCTATGTTATACTTTGTTAATTTTCATTTATGAATGAATAAAGAAGAATAAGCAAATATTTAATTATGCTTTGTAACAGTAGATAATCTACCTATAATCTAAAAACAACATGCCATAAAAAGTGAATAAGTTAAAACTTGATCTGTAATAAACAGCTGTGATAAATTATTAATTTTAATCATTAGTAAACTTACATTAAAATAATTTGTACACTTGAAAGAAATAGAAGAAAATGGTGCAGTAACTACAACAATACGTAAATAATTTCGATGCTGGATGGATAACAAGGTTATAGCATAATTGAACTGCCTACCGGCTTCTTCTTCTTCTTCCTCTTTTTCTTGTCTTTTATTTGATTATCCACTTTGAAAATTATTATTTTTTTTTTAAATTTTATATTCTTGTTACAACTTTAATAATTAATTAGAGCCCACTATTGTTGCTAATAGTATGAACTGTAAAATTCTTCTCAATTAAAAAAATTCAAAACATTTTTTGTTTCACAAAATTATATTATAATTTTTAATTTTTTAAATTCAAAACTTAATAAAATAGGACATTGATTTGTTTCATTTTTTATAGTTTTATTAATTATTATATTATATTATTTTTTATAATAAATTGAATTGATGTTTTATACAAGACGGTAACTTTGAGACTGAACGTATTTTACTCATACGCAGTGTTTTCCATCAGTGAGTTCTTCCCCCTTCTCTTTGTCTCACTCTTTCTCTTTTTTATTTCCATGCTATAGTGTATTTATTAATAAGTCTACTGAAATTATCAAAAACTGATAAAATGGTCAATAATTAATTACATGAATTAGGTTTTGAATGCATTCGATCAATAAATTTAAACATTATTTTATTGAATGAACAAAAAAGTGTAAAGTTCTATAAAATTATCATGTAAAAAAAATGTGTCGCGGTCACGGAAGAATATATTTAAAGTTCAACATTCTCTTGGAAGATATTCATCAAAAGTTAGAATAATTTAGATTGCTTCATTTCATAGAAAAAATTTTTTTATCTCTCCCGTCAAGAACTTTCTCTTTTTTTCTAATGTCATATGTCTCACTTGTTATATTAAACACGAACTCAAGTTTTTAATAACTTGAAATTATTTTGCAAGTGAAAACAAATCGTGGAGGTATGAAATTTTTTACTTAATTAATAGAAATTAAATAATTAAATCATTAATTGTAAAATTCACAAGATATTTTTATTCAAAACTGTGGATCATATAATAAAGGAATATGATACTATTATCGATTCTACTTATTTTAATAAGATATACAAACCTACAATTCAATGACAATAAAAATCGAACAATTATCGTTAACAAAAAATAATTTTTATTCTAACTGAAAATCATCATAGTTAACCAGTATTTATGACATTTTTAAGAGTTAGAATAATGATTGTTACTTAATCAATATTGGCGAAAATTTTTAAAACGCCAGTCATTGAATCAAGGATCGTAAAACTAAATAACAATATTTTGCGAATACAAATGAAGAAAAAAAAATCACAAAAAATCGTATTCAATGTACATATGTTATTATAATGACAGATTTCAAATCTAAAAGTGAATTGAAAATTGCTTATAATTAATAGTTTTTTTTTCTTCAATAGCAGCCACGCAAAAACTTTTTTGTTAGTACGAAATTCGCTTATGGCACCTGTACATACACATTCAATTGAACTCAAAAATTCAACCTATTAAAATTTATTTATAACATTATTGTCTAAATGTATCAAATTTAAACTTTACCGTTTTTTTTATACTATTTTATCAATAATTGAGCGTCGTTCTGTCTTAAAACGCTATCGAATATTTTTGCTTTAATGATTAAATTATTGCATTTAATTACTCTTATATTTTAGTTAACACCACATCATTGTTTACACTGTTATACACTTATATCGAATAAAAATGGTCTTTACTGATAGTGATAAACTTCGTACTACAAACATTCGAAAGGTGTTATTATTCATTAACATTGTATTTTTTTATTTTCTATTCTTAGTTTTGTTTATTAAAAATCATGTATAAAAGTTATCATGTATTCATTTATGAGTTAACTATATATGCGTATATATAATACATACAGTTTATTAAATCATTGAAAAAACATTATTTCATAATTTTATCATTTCACATAATTGTTAAGACTCAATATACAAAAAAATGATATCTCAGTTATAATGTCACTAGTCTTTTGTTTAAAAAAAAAAAAAAGAACTAAAGGCACAGGACATTTTTTAATTTTACTTTCAATCTCTGATTTAAACTACTCAATTTTCTAGTAATTAATATTAATTATCAATTATCAATACAAGAACTGAAATTCCTGTTATATATTGTAAATATACGAGGAAAAATCGGAAGCTCTATTTATTTTTGCATGTTTTAGTTACATTTTATCCTAAAGACTTTAAAAAATTTTAACCGAAATCAGTAGTTTTTATCAACTTCGTTTGTTTTTTAATTCAGACTGTTTAGATTACGAAGAATTTGAAGCATATTGTCCCACTGCTCACGATACTGTCCATTAATACAATTCTCCAGTATTATTTTTCATTAATGGGTAGAATTATCAATTATTTATGAATAGAAATATATTTGTCATTGAGATTTTCTTTTATGTAAATCAGTATATAAAAAAATTTACCCAAAAATGAGCCAAAACAGCTATATAAAACAATTAATTATAGATATTATATTTTTTTTTAGATTTTAGTATATTTTTAGTATGTTTTTGTATAATAATCAAAAAATGATTCCAAAAATATCAATAATAATTATAAATAATAGTATTGATTAATATAATAAACATTAAATTAAAAAAAAAAAAATAAAAATATTTTAATACACTTCGGACTTCTGTGGCAGTGAGTACTGGTTGTTCAAAACACTTAATATTTACTGTACAATAATTTTATTTAAAATTTTTTTCTTCTTTCACTTTTTTGCAAGATTTTATTTTATCATTAAAATATATCCATACTATTTTTTTCATCATTATCAGTAGTTAACAATATTTATTTTATTAGAAAATTTAAACTCGACCAATAATCAACAGTATACTCTAAATATTATATTGAAACTATCCGCATCACATTTAGCAAGATATTTACTACTTTCATTTTTAAACTAAAAACAAAGTTAATTTAAAAAAACTGTTTTCTCAACAAAATCATTTTTAGAGTCACGACTTATCAATTCTCATTATAAAATCATAGCAACGTGATATTTTTCTTCTAAAAAATGAAGACACGTGCAAGTCATTATTTTTCAAATAAATGATGTGGTTATAAAAAATTCAAACGGTCACTTCTTAATGAATAACGATCGATAAAAATTTAAACGAACACATTTTCAGGTACTAATTAATCGAATGAATATTTTTCTTGTAGTCTGAGCTTGAGGCCATTCCTTTGGCGATCTAGTCTTAAACATTAAAATCAAATATTACTTTTTTATCTTTGTTTTATAGAAGAAATGTGATAGTAAGCACCTGATAAATAGTGTTGATTTTGATTAATTTATCGAACGTTAGTAGCGCAATAACAACTGCCAATATAAGCACATGTTTAGAGAAATATTATTAATAATTACATAAAAATATTTTCTTAATTTAACTGTTCGAAATTATTATTGTTTTTTATAACTATTATAATTAATTATTATTACTAATTATAGAATATAATTAGAGTAACAACTAAATTGAGTTTGAATCTAAAACTATATTGATTATTATTGTGAAATAATTTGAATTTGTACATTATCGAATTTTTCGAGTTGCTAACAACTTTTTTACTATTTATTTTAGATGTAAAACTAATACGTTGCTTTAATAGTGAGCATCTGTGTAAAAGAAAAAAAAAATATCTACAAAATTTTTAAATCTAAAGATTATGTATTGTACATTCTTACTATCTTTCAAATTGATGTTAACTGACGAATTTGTACGAATTATTTATTAACTACTAATATTCAAGTCTTTGGTGTTTGTACCAATTTTTTCACAATATATATTGTATTTTCAATAAAGAATAACATTTTTGAATTTTTTTGTTTTTTTTTTGTTTTTATAAAAAAAATATACATAATAACAGTTTTCATCGAAAATGAACTTTAAGATATCAAAGAAAAAAAAAAAATGAAATACATTGTTTACTTCAATACTATTTAACTACGTCGACATTGACTGAATTATTTTTTTCCCAATCATTCATTAGATTTTGAATTGAATGTTTTATTGTAATAATTACTGTCAATTTTGTACATTATGGTTTTTTAAAAAATAATAAGTGATATGACAAAATGAAATTGGACATTACAATCGTCTGGGCATTTTGATAAAAAAAACTTATGATCCATTTATCTACCGCAATTACGAAAAACGAAACTTAAAAAAATTTTATTATTTTGAGAATATGTTCGATCATAATTTCACTCGATTCATTTTTACGAGATTCACATTTTTGATGACTTTATTAGCTATTTTTTGGAAAAAAATAATGATTAATTTATAAAAAAGAAATATTGGTACTGTATTTTTGTGATTTCTACCTATGATTTATCGTTATGATTATTTCTAGTTCTGAAATAATTATTTCTATTTTTATAGTCATTTACATTATTATTATTTTGTTACTATTACTCTTACTGTTATTACTACTACTAATACTAATACTACTCTTATAGTTATTACCACTTATTTTTTTAACCACTGGTTTATTATTATTCTTCTTGATATTTTTTTGCAATAAAAGTTAATATCATGAAAGAAGAATATTACTTAAACTTAATAAACACTGAATTTTTTTAATATTGATGTTCACTTTCAAACTTTTTTTGTAAAACTGAACGAACAAAAAATTTTTTTGTAATCAATTCGAAATGATCAAATTGTTATTAGTCGCAAACTAAAATCGATTATTTTTCAATAGTTGAATGAATAAATATTTAGATAAGATAGGAATCGTAATTTTTTTAATAATTAAATGATTATTTTTTGAATCATTTAAAAAGTTTAGAAAAAATATAAACCCGGGAAGAATACAAATAATTTTAAGAAAGAGGTATTATCTAAATAATTCTTATGAATGTCTACTTATTCTATTTTGTAAACGTTTTCCAACGAAATGCTATTTAATAAAACGCTTGTTAGGAAATTTCTCCACAATTTATGATATTTTTATTATTTTTCTTTAAATACTTTATTTTTAGACTTTTTTGTATAAAAATGTGCGTTCTTATTGTTTTCGAATCTAGCCGAAAATTTATTATTTTTAAATGTATAGTTTTTTTTTTCATTTTTACTGTTTCATTTCAGTAATAATTCCAAACGAGACGAATAAAGTATTTATCACTTGATAGAGCCAATAGTGAGCATTTAAGTATTATTTTCAATCTTAGATCACCTAAATTCACTGAGTTACGTTTTGTTTTTCAACTTAATTGAAATATTAAACCGACACAGTATTTTCACGTTCTTTTTCTTGTTGTCGAACAGCTACAGCTGCCTCAACTAAAAGATAAAGACACTTAAACTTATCTTTGTCTTCATCAGGTGGAGTTGGAGGTGGTGTTTGATCGTTATGATTCCGATTGTGCGTGCCAAAGACCTCAGACTCATGTGATACTCCAGGGGTAGTTAAATGCTGTCGAGGTGCACTCCAATATGCTGCTTCGTTTACGGATGTCTCTTCTTCCCTAAAAGTATAATAAGTCATAAATAAATAACTATTTTATTAATTAAATATGAAAATATAACATACAATTGGGACATGATTCTTGCTAATGTATTATTAACAATTTAAATGAACATGATAGCGTTAATTTTATATTATGATATTCTTTATAAGTATTTTATATTTTCTATAAAAATCTATGTTGATAAATTGATATTGATTGACAGTAAATATACTAACCCTCGTCGAGCAGGGTGATTTATTGCCTCTCCATAATTAAATTCGTTTGATGGTTCTACTTTAGTTTCCGAAAACGGATAAACGATAACACTGGGCCATTGGGTTGATGGCCGTTCTTCTTCACTATGAGAACTGCTTTCATAGTCATTTGGACTATCTTCTTCACTTCTAAAATCAATTAATAAAAACATGATTAGTAGGCTAAAAACTTCGGAACCGAAACCAAAATTGACTTAAAATGAATGTATATTTACCGATAAAGAACATGATCTTCATAATCGTGATCTCGTCGTCTTTTTGCAGGAACATTGTCACTTAAAGTGTCCCAGTCTTGATTGGCATTTGGACTGAGACCTGATGACTGTTGATGGCTTCCACCGGGCATCTTTTTACCCCGACGAGAAATAGTATATTGAAGGGGATCATGGCCCTCTCGACGGATCATTTCTGGCAAAATTCGACGTCTTGCATTTATAAACCAATTACATACCTGCAAAAGAACAATAATAGTAAAAAAATCTAATTCCTATGAGTACACAAAATACTGTTATTAATACTCATTTATATATAATTTAACAAATATTTGTAATTAATTAGAAGCTAATGTACATTCACACATTTATCATTTTTCTAACGAAATATAATTATTTATTATTTATGTTCATTTTTAATGACATTTGTACCTGTAAAACAGTCAAATTGGCTTCTTGGCTCAATGTGAGTTTTTCGCTGTCACTGGGATATGCATTATATCTGTGTTCGTACAGCCATCTCTTAAGAATCTTGACCGAGTGTTTCGGAAGATTACCTCGGCGTTTACGAACTGAATGTGTTCCTGAATGGTGTAAAATACTAGTATGATTTTTACTACGAATTTCAGAATTTTCATGCTCAGCATCCGATCCACTTTGGTCATCATCAGTGCTACTTGTGCACGGAAAACGTTCTCTAGCTGTAACAAATCATAAAAAAGAATAAATTAAATAAAAATGAAAAGTTATAACTTACATTATGACACGGTTATCTAAACGCTTTTTATTTCAGTGATATTCGATGTCAATCATTAATCATGCGGATTCTGTGAGTGGTTGTTGAATCGATGGTGATGTAGAATGAAGCAAGAGCATACCAGTCAGATACTAGGTCAACAAAACTATCTGGTTGATAGTTCAAAGCTTCATATAGATTACAAAATTTACATTAGATATGTTTATGATTTTTAGTTTTTTATTTATTTTTTAAATTATTGCTTCATTAAATAAAAATTTTCAATATTTGGTAATTTTTAATATTGTCTATATTTCAAAATGAACAAAGACCGATCAAAAATTTCAAAAATCTTAGATGGGATTGGAGATAATAAAAATCAAAAACTGTTTGATGTTTGTCCAACTATTCAAATAACACTTGTATATAAAAAATTATCTTGAGTTTTTTAAATTCACCTTGAGAATTAATGCTAGATTAGGTATTATTATTTAATTATATACATAATTCAATGATATTTTATAAAATCTTTGAATAATTTCAAAAATCAATAAAAAAAAATTTAGTAGGTAGAATAGTTAAAAATTGGAATTAAGTTTTTTTGTTGCAAAAAATGAAAAGATAGCGTTGAATATATACTGATTGAAGATAAAATGTACTTCAACCGTCTTCACTTTTCTTTATCAACCTTGAAATTTATCTGATTATTTTTTACTATATATTTTAATAGTGTATTACGTAAATAAATACTAAGAGACTTATGTACATTTATAAAAATAATTTTCGTATAGATGTAAAATTGTAATAATCATATATAAGATGTTGTAGTTAAAGAAAGAAAATTTTCCCTATATTTACTTTCTCCTATATGTACAAAAAAATATCTAATATTCTGCTTATACTTTCTCTTATTTTCATTTAATTTGTTTCTTAATTAGTACTTATGAAAATTATTAGATATCATAACATTCAATTGATAATTGAAAGCAAAATTTGTACATGTTTTTAAAGATTAGAGTTGTGGGATGACTTAACTATAAACGCCTACCGGAAAGACGAGTTCTCGACCTTTGGCTTTATTAAAATTAACAATTTAATTTTTATTTTTTACAAATCAGAATACCATTTGTATTAAAAATAGAAATTTTTCATTCAATTAAATATAATAATAAAACAAAAAAATACATGACTGTAAACAGAATCTGCCAAGTACATAAATTTACATTGAACTCTTTCTCTGAGTTACGTAAAAACAATCATGAAAGAGATGGGTTTAGTATGAATAAGAGACAAGAAGAGCCCTGAGTAACACGCAGGTCTCCCGGAAACTTACATTTCGTCTTTAAACAGAATTGAAAATCGAGGTTATCGTCTTCTAACTTTGTTAATTAAAAAACTAATCAATACCTTTAAGTTATTGATGTTGTCAAAATTAACTGCTTTGTTGTCACATAAAATCAACTCTTCTATTAATTGATTAAAATATTTTCAATCAATAAATCTTGATTTTTATTACAAATGCAAATTAAAGATGTAATCAATTGTAACTAGTAAAATTCCAGCTCTTTAGATATTGTTATCGATAAATCTACTCATTATAAATAAATAATTGATGTGAATGAAGAGTTTGTTTAGTTATATTAGAATCAATTGAGTTACTAAATAGATAGAAATATTTTTTTATTAACTGTATATATTATAATTATTGCATAACAATTGAAATTAAAGACGAAATGATTTCAAATGACAGGAAGTTAGTTGATTTATTAGCCAATCAATAGTGTTACATATATTATATGTATGAATATCTATAAAAATTCAAAATGAAATGATATTCAAGCCAAAATCTCAAAAATATTTGGCAATCCTCCCAGGAGTCATTACACTCATCTCACTATTTTTTTTTTATTTTTTTTGCTTGTCTGTGCATTCAAAAATTCTGTCAAAAAAAAATTGACGTTCACGTGTATGGGAAAATATTGACTAAATAAACATAACTTTTAATAGCAAAAACAAAACAATCTTGAGTGCGAAAATAGTGAGACAGTGTTTTGACTATTTCATGTGCTTCCGGCATATTGTACCTCTACAATCAACCATTTCTTAGACATGAAAGTATATTTAAATACGTGGATAGACAGACAACACGGAGAGTCACGGGGCTAATTTGTATAGGGTAGCTAGTAGTTAGTGACCAACATAGATAGGCAATATCGTGGAGACAGAAGATCAAGATAGAAATTCAACTGTACGTGGCCAAAAATAAACACGCGTTGGCTCGTTGTTCCGTATTTAGTCCGGAACGTATTATATAGTATAGAACGGGCAGCAAATCTTTAACGAAGTAGAGAACTAACAAATATCATTACCATGTGTAGATGACATTTAATACTCTAACTTTAAAGAGTTTCAAAAACTCTCATCTCATGATTAGTTAAAGCTACATTTTTACTCTAACCATTAAAATGCTTTGACTTCATCATTTGTATTTGTTATGAAATAAAAATTTATAATACTGCTAACTCTTTACCGTATAAGAAGTCACAATTTACTTGTAAACTTTTATATTTTTTATCTCCATTTATAATTTTTATGTATGTGCATCTACATTTACTGAGAGGGCATTTAACTAATTATTTTTTCGTTTAAAAAATTATTCATTTTTCCGTCACGTATAAAGAGAAAATATATATTATGTACAGTTACTGAACATCAGGTTATCACAAAGTTAATAGTTCATCTTTTTGAAACTTCTTTTTTTTTTCTTCTTCCTTACTTTTGGTTGCAACTACTATGAAAACGTATTATTAAACCAAAAAAATAGTTCCTCAATAAACTTATTTATCATTAGTGAAAACTATTATATTTTTATTATTAGAAATAATGAAATATTTAGAATTACAATGAAAAGCTTCTATGATTCAAATAATGTCTGAGCTTGCACGAATAATTACGTAAGTTATTAGCATTCTATTACTTTAGAATTAATATTTTAAAAACGAAATGTATTATAATAATAAGATACCTTTTGAAGTAAAATGCAATACTTTTAAAAAGTTTTCATGTTATTAAATTTTCAAATGTTAAAGTATTATTAAATGACACAATTTAAACGTTGCACAATGTGTTGTCATTTTTATTTAAATATTTAATTAATGGTTTAATATTTAATTGTTATAAAGAATGAGAGTATAAAATAATAATACAATTCAGAATTACAAAATAAACAATAATGTATACAAAATAAGTCTATGTATTGTTATTAAAAATAGAACATTCATTTTGTTTATATGAATTGTTGTAAAATGAAAACATTTATTCGTTAAAAACGACTCAATTGTTACTGAAAAGAATAGTGTGTGTATTATGGAGTGTATATTAGAAACTTTACTTCAAGTGAGTTAATATTCAAGACAGGAAGCTTCTACAGACTAAGGCGACGCCTAAGCTTGCGCGAAAAATTACGTAAGGTCCAGTCACCCTCTCTGAAGAAGTAAATTTAGGCTTCAAGCTCGCCGACCGGGCTAACACTCATGACGCCGGCAAAAGCCAGTTACATCCGTCATATTCACAAGTGTCGCATTTCGACTGACCTAAATGTTATGTGGAAACTGTCAACGATCAATAGTCACATGTTTTACACGTCTTCTAATCTTTTAGAAAATACATTTTTTCTTATTTGCAAAAAATGAACAGTCGAAGTAATCATACCTGTATCACCAAAAGTAATTAACAAAAAATTGGATACCACTTATATCTGATTTATTATCTAATTAATCAGAATCAATGATTTGATAAAACCGAATCAAATAAACTTTTGCTTCTCATCTTATTTTTGGATATTTTTTCTCAAGTTTCACGTGATGACAACTTTATCTACACAATACGTAAAATTCACAAGATAAAGTTAAAAAAAATTAAATATTACTAACTTTTAAATAAGCTATGCAAAAAAAAAAATTAAAAATAAATGAAGCATAAGAGAATGACGTTTGAAAATGACAGGGCGATATCGAGCCTCCAGAATTATCATACACTTGCCGTCAAATGTCAAACAAGAGCGAGTCTTTGGGAATGATTTTGTGACGCGATTATATCTGTAATTGCACTTTATGCTGCTCTTATCTCTAACAATAATTTGAATAATAAGTAGAACATGATAAAAATTTTTCTGTTTAGAATACAATAAAATAATCATTATAGAAAACCTTATTTTTAATAAATTATATTCGGAAAAAGTTTTTTAACTTTCTGCAAAAAATATTCAATAATTTTTGATAAAATTAGTCATATTTTCTGGCAAGCTTTTTGATATTCTGTTTCACACGTAAATACTAAATATCACGAGGTTCATGTCTACAAGTCTTTTTCTATCACGAGTCATGAGATGATGTGATTCAGAGTGATGTAATTCATTTTAGTGATTCTGAAAATTCATTATTAAGTAATGGAACACTTAGTGTTATATGAAAATGAAGTATTACTGTCTACATTCAATTACTTTACAAAAGATCTTACCAATCTGTAAAAAATCCTTAATTTTTTTAATCTTTTGATAATATTAATGTATGAATTAAGGTTTATAGGAAGCAAAATATACTGTAGAAAAAATTCAAATCAATCATTTTCGATCATAAATCCTAAAAAAATATCGTTTTCAATAACAAAATCAATAAAGTTTATTTTATTAATTCTATAAAAAATTTAACTGCTTATTTTCTAACACAAAAATTATGGACAATATCGAAAAATAGCATTTATAATACTTTATATTAAAATGACAAATTGTTTGTAATCCTATCGTTAAAACTATTTATCGTTATTTTTATAGAAATCAAACTACAGATACTAGAAATGTGTCAAAAAAATATATGTTACATAAATATATGTAATCTTATGCAATTATATGTTAATTTCATTATACAAAATTATTTCTAGTAAGAAATTGGTTGAGTTAAATGTTTAATATCAATGTTTCTTACAATTAAAATGAAACAATATAAATAAATAAATAAATGGTAATATTAAAAAAAAAAAAAATTAGAAATATCGTTAGGTGAATAGTAATCAATAATATAGTTGTCACTATTGTCTGATAATTTATTAATTAATGTGATAGTTATAAGCAAATATGTATTAATTTATGTAATTTTATGAATTGTGTTTGATAATTACAACACCAAATAATACATAAGGATTTAATAAACCTTCAGCAGTATGTAGGGATTTTTGATAAAATTTTTTCAAAGTCATTAAGAAGAATGCCTCGAAGGCAAACATTATCCATCTGAGACATCGAGAAAGTAATTGAACTCAGTTGACATAATAATCGCTGACTGGTACGCATCTACCAACTATACTCGAACAACTGTATTTCTTTATTCTCATTCCGATTGCTGTGAGAATAAAAATGCTTTTGAAAAATAATCATTTTTACAAACTAATGATAATTTTTATTAAATCCAATGGCTGATAAAAATAGTTTTATCACTATTTATTAACCCGAGGTAAAGATCCAAAATACTTAGACTGATTTTTTTTTTAAGATGAAAAGGGATAAAAGTGAAGAAAAATATTTGAATCAAACGATTTTACTGACACATTATTACTAACCTCCTTGACATCTGCTTGCGCACGCGGTTCGTGTTTTGCATTGAATATAACTCAGCTGACATTACAACCTTAAATGTGAATGGATATGCACTATATACATTAATTATTTCAATAGAAACAAAAAAAATTGTTCAGGAGGTAGCATAAACGAAGGTAGATACCATCAATTGTTATTTGATCAAGCCAATCACTTGGACTACATTTCTTTTGATGATTAAAAGAGACAAATTATCATTATTTATTATAAATTTTGGGAAATTATTTTTTTTTTATAATGATTTAACCTTTATGATATTATAGGTTTCGCGAAAAAATTCCAAAGGATTTTTTAAGACTAAATAACAGTTATATATTAGTGCAATTAATATATACTTAAATCTTTGAAAATGGTAAAAAATGAAAAATTATCCATTGAAAGATGGATTTATGTATAAGGAAATCGAGATATCGAAAGCCTCTTATGAAATGTAGTATAAATTTCAATGAATTGATAACAAAAAAAAATAAATTATATCAAGCATGATCACTTTCAGTATTTTATAATTAATCTTTTTAAATGATTTTAATTACTAAGAAATAATTAAAAAGATTGATATTATAAAAATAATTCAAATAGTATTTCAATTGAATTTTATCCATTTAAATCATTTATAAAAATATAATTTTTTATATGAAAATCCAAAACTTTATCAATTCAAAACTTACAATATCAATTTTTTATTCTATAAAATCAAAATATATAAGTGCATGATTATCACGGGTTCGGAAAAATTATTTTTTAAAAATTACTCAAAAAACTGAAAAATGTATCAATACATGTAAGATATAATTAACAACATTAAAATCATGACACAAGAAAAGTGAAGTACAACAACTTCACTCTCTATTTTAAGTCAGTATGTGATGATGCATAATAATTAAATCTCAATAAACATTCAACTGGAAAAAGTAATGTCGAATTTCTCAGTTTGCCATCACCACGTGGCGAACGTCTGGATTGCTAGCTTGATACGGGGTCCACACGACTGCCTGCACGGACATAGCGCCTATGCCCCAACGCGCTTTTCACCACGCGGTCACGCGTACTCGCGGCTATTTCTATCATTTTCGTTAAAAGACCTTCTATTTCATAATTAAGTCATCAATTTTTATAATTATTACTATTTTAGCTACTATAAATTTCTATTAAAAATTCAAAGTAATAATTGTATGATAGAATTGTAAACGTCATTTTGACATTTCGATCGACACATTCAATTCACATAAATATATTTTATTAAAATAAATCATTTTTAAAATAAAATTTTCAACTCTAACGCCGTTCGTGGATTGCCGTGATTAATTTTCTTTCGTTTTATCTTCTCTTTGATAAAGATGATAAAAAATTATAATGAATGGAACAAAAATTCTTGAACTTATCCTTTTTTTTTTTTGTCAGGAAGTGACTGCATACAAGTAATCTAACAAAAATAAAAGAAAAACATGTGCTTTCTCGAATAATTTTTTTTTTCATGTCGTGGTATGGATAAGAATTGTCGAGACGTGGTATTTTTTGAATCACAGATGTTATATGCTATGTGTGTTCATGCAACAAAACTCTTTTTAGCTTTCATAGAAACTGTGTGACAGTCAAGTCCAGTCATAGCTAATATGTCGAATAAGAACCTAATTCGACCTCGTGTACGATTAGTTTATTCATCATCGAGGATGCTATTAAGTGTTATATTGGTTTATATGCCACAATCTTCTATATTTTAAAGGAAACATCATTTTGACTATAAGATATTTCGGAATAACTATTATAATTATCTCATGTCAAATTATTTATCGACCTTTTTCTATCATTTCCAATACTTTATAAAATATTTCCATTATCAAATAATAGTTTTTACTTGTATTTAAATTGAAACAGAGTAAAATAAAAAAGACCTCATATACTATCTAACTGAATTTCGGCCATCTGAAATAATTAGCAAATATTGAATATTAATTTAATAAGTTTATAAAAATAAAGAATCTAAATTTTATATAACGCATATCTCGCATTTTTATTGAATTTCAATAATTATGTAAAAATAAATATTATCAAGTAAATTGTTAAATGATGATAGAAAAAAATTGTTGACATGATAATCGTACACTTGAATGTAAAAACGAAATAGACACCCATATTATCACATTGTTTAGTATATACTTTTATCTAATGATAAATCGAAGATAAAAATGGATAATTAGTTAATTGGCAAAGAAGATTAAAATACATTTCTTTCATTAGTTCAGAAACATTTTTTTCTTATTCTTATCCGCGTGACATTTCATGCGAGACAAATAGTTCGCGGTCTTAAGAACCTTCGACTTTGTGCTCGAGGGAGACTCAAAAAAAGAAAAAAAAAAGACGACGACTCATGGCGTTGTCGTATAAGCAGTGTGGTGACTTCCTTCATTAATAAGAGTTGCCTAATCTAGGATACATGAACTTATCTAAACTTGTCACAATTATTTCATTAACTTAAAATAGATTCTGAAGAATCTATGAGCTTTTTTTTTGATTAATCAAAAAATGTTATAATTAAAGTAGAGTACTTTCAAAACTTCTTTGTTTTTTTTCTTATTATTTTGTTCTTTGTTGTGAAAAGAATTTAAAATACGTATCAAATTTTGCTGTAAAAATTCTTCCAACGGAAAATTCGTAGGAAAAAAGACCATGACAGCTGCGCAGAAGGAATGCGCTGTGGAAAGGAAGTGAAAGAGAGAGGGAAGAGAATACCGAGTTTGGCGAGTCGTGATGTACCTGAATATGATTTCAAGACGTAAAGACGTCATATGACAAAGAAAAATGATTTTATCATTTGCTTTTAATCATACAAATTTCAATTTAGATACCAATTGTATGCTTGTCAATAAGTAAAGGTATAATAACAAGCAATTATTCTACAGATAAATATAACTTGAATAAGGTTAGGATTTAAATTATCAATACTAATATATGGATGACTTAAAAATGTGAATTAATTCATGGAATATAATGAAAATGACAGCCAAAGCTTACCTGCCGACAAGACAGGTCTATGCGAATATCTAGAGTCTCTACCGGCATTGACGGATTGTGAACGTCGATCCAAATGATGCGAATGATGATGGTGAGGGTGATGTTGCTGCATACCTGCTCTATCAGCATTAATTCTTTGCTCCATGTGTAGAGCTGCTGGCGGCAACATCGTCGTTGTCTTTGTTAGGCGAGACCCACGAATTTTCGAAATTGCGACCCTCGTTTGTCAGGTAGATTATTTCACAAGCTCAAATTCTCTCAAAGAATTCGTTAAAATAAATTCAATATTCAAGGACGATACATTTAATCGTTTTCATAAATTATGAAATTCTTTATTTCCACTAATCTGCCCACAATAAACCAAAGAGCGCGTGGCGGCAAGCCTCACGTGCATTGACTTCTGTCAAATGACTGTTGGTCCAAAATTAATTGAGTTCCGTAGTACAAAAACGTTGCTTAAATCAATCTTTTTTCGATTTTTAGTCTATTTTTCAAGCACCAGACGATCGACAACTAATTTTTGTACACTGAGAAGTCTCAAAATTCTGAAATTTTAAATTATTATCACACGATATCGTTGGTACGCGGGACATTGACGTCGGCGTCGTACCCGTTTGCTTCCAATGACGCTGCATTTGACGTATTGTCACACTGAAACTTGTCTGTTGTCTTTTTATAACTGTCACTACTTAGTTGATTAACTCTTCATCTGAGAAAATATTTTACAAAAATCGATATTACTTAACTATTAAATGTGCTTTTTACAATATATTTATGATACAGTAAATACGTGTCACAGAGATGCCGAAACGCGACTGAGTAGTAGAGCACGCCGACGCTGGTTGACAGCCGTCCGGGACGCCGGGATTGTTCCCCTCTCCTCGCTATTCCGCAAATTCTCCTTCCCGAGTCTCGCCGAATACTCTCCGACAAAAGTCTTCCCCTCCCATTCATTTAGTCGTTGCCAGTTGGCGGGAAAATGTATCCTATGACAGCTGTACTCGACTAGTTTTATGCCCTACTCCTTCTACTCTAAGACCCGGTTTAACGTCGCACTCATTTCTGAGTATAAAGATTTTTTTTTCATCAAATTCAATATTTTTGATACTATATACATCATACACTATTTATTTAGTCTACTTTGAGATCTTTAACTAAAAAATATTTATTTAGAACTTCATTCTTTTAACTTATATTTTTTTCCTCGTCATTACACTTGACTAGAATTGTATAAAGGAAATGATGAAATAAAAATTATACTGGTTGTAAGTAGTAGTCGCGTCACGAGCACGTGGTCGACAGTGAAATAACTTGTCGATAAACAATTTTTATATTATTAAACTTGATGATGACAAAATGAAAAGATAATGTTGTCAAAATTAGTTGCGACAATATAATCAATGACGTGAGAAAGCGTTATAATTACATAATTTAGTGACGAAGATTATTTTTGATGTATTGAACTATAAAACAATAAGGTATAATTGACTAAAAACATTTGATTATTATTAATTGTAATATTAATCAAATATTTAATCACCCTTTTATTGATAATAAATTTATAAAGTTAATCTGAAAAATTTAGAATAATTTTAATGTTAAAATGATTTTGTAGACAATCAATGTTGTTTTTAATCAAATATTTGAATGAATAAAAAAACAGTAAGGGAGAAGTGATATACTCATGACTATTGTGCAATAGATTTACGTAAGAATTTTGCGATTAGACAGTTGAAACAACCCTTTTAATCTTAAACAAACTGTATGTTCATCTATTATACTACAGGAATGTATGTGACAAACGAGATGTTTTTTTATCAGGTCTCGTAGAGGGTCTGTTTCATTCCCAAGACTTCGGAATTTTCTCGAGATCTCAGTGGGGGTCTCGCCACTCAAAGACTCACATGTTAAAGAAAATTAAAAAGAAAAAAAAATTCCAGAAAAAATTATAAAGATCGTCTTATCCTATTGTCAATTATATCCTTGCGAGTTACGGTGCACAAGCTGTAACGCAATTTACACACAACGTGTAATACGTTTACTTGCATCGTCTGTACGACATCAGTACTATGCGATCTCACTTGCGCTGGAGTATGTGTTTTATGAATGGAATAACGCCCACGAAACGCCGGAAGCCACTTGTTTTCCACGTTAGTTCTCGGTGACGTTTCATGGCGAATACCAACTACTTCTATATAATAGTCTACCCTGATGCAAACACGTTCGCACTTGTCTCATTTATATTTGTATAATAACGTCTTGTTGAGTTTTTGATTGTGAAGAAATCGAGGTTACGAAGGTCAAAAGACTGTGACATCCGGACGTTTTTCGTATCACTTTGCTGTAAAAATTAATTATTTGAAAAAATAATTTAATGTCATCGTAACCATAGTGGATGATGGCTTGATTATCTATCATCATTATCATTTGATTTGTTTATTTTAATAAACAATTTGATTAATAGTCAAAAACAGTCATGCAAATGAATACAGTAAAACATCAGAAATTTACGCTACTAGAAGGGTACAGGTGCGATACGCGTGCTCAGCATTGTATTGTATACGTAAATAAGAAAAAAAAATTAATCTTTTACTTTTAAATTAAAAATCTTTCCCTCCATTACTTCTAATAACCAATTAACACCCGGATAAAACAATGACGGATATGACAACATTATGACGATAGCCGGCCATGCCTTTTTTAACATAGAAGAAGAAAGAGAGAGAAGATTATTCGCTCTTTAATGAAATCTGCTTTCTTCTTTGAACTATAATTATTGATAATATTTTTCAGAAAAAATTTCAAATAAATACATTCTCACGATAGAAATATAAATTTACTGCTCAGTGATGCTATTAAAAATAAAACACTCTTTTACAATCAGATAAAAATAAATTATCATTTCATTCATTGTTTTTCTACTATCAACTTTAATTTTCTAATTAAGTTCAAATGATGAAACCAGTATACACTATGTATGATTTATCAATAATCGGCATTCATTCATACATCAAATATAAAATGAGAGAATTATAAAAAAATATATTTGTATTATAAACGAAAGAGAACGTTGAGAATGTAATGAGAGAATAAGGTTGTGGTTTATCATAGGTCAGCATTAGTGACCTCAAAGAAGCTGATCAAAAAAAGCTTCAACTATTTTAACTTGAACTTTATGATGGCGACTATCTATGACCATAGTAAGTATATTCAAGATTTTTTAATAATTTTTCCCAGGATATTACTGTCCAAATATAGGACAGATATATTGTAGGAACATGAGTGAAATTATTATCTGATAAAATCCGACGACATTAATATCAACATCTGAATGTTCCAGAGTAAATATTTTATGAATCTTGAGACATTCGGATGAATATAAAAATTTTTTGTCATACAAGAGGTCATTACTCTTTAGTATCAGCACTTTATCATTATTTTTTTTTTTTTTTTGACAAGTATGAAAGATGTTACACATATTCGCACGTGTAAATTCAATAATTAGTCAGATTTTAATCATACATCTAGATAAATTATTGAAACTCACCCGATTGGGTTTTTATCCATTTAAAAGCATCACGATGAAAAAAGAAAATTAAAAATTCTATTCTTTATCTTATCAAAATACCGGCTGTTGTCAGATTGTATATTCATATTAATTTAGTTCAAGAGATGGTAAGAACGTGTGCACACTTTGATAAGATTCACCCCAACAAGTTAGCGAATTGAAAATATTTTACTAATACTTTCATATTTTAATACTTAGCATAAATAAAAAATATTAAATAAATAATTTATTTAGATTATTTTTAATTCCTGAAAAATATCTAATAATAAATAATAAAAAACATATCCAAGATAAAGTCAATTTTATTAGCCATGTTTTTAAGTGTATTTTTGATTATTCGAATAGAATAATGTGAGTGACTTGTCAGTTGGAATTGAATATTTTTTTCACCTCCATCAGGCTACATCGTCGTCTAAGTTTAGCATTGAAACATTCGCAAAATACAGTGTGCTATGTACTATTGCACTTTTTTCTTTTTGCATCGTTGGTAACCGCGACCTGCATTACACACTCAAAGAGCGCGCACTAATTTACGAAGTAAAGTACAACACATTGTAGAAACAAAAATAGTTGCAACTTGCAACGTCTTGCCAATACAATTCATCCAAGTGAGTCATGTTTGGTTTGCCAATAAATTTGAACATTTCTCATAATGTAACCAATGTATCGTTTAAAATCTCGTCTTTCAATCAATGAAACATTTTAACAGATTATTTAACAAATGAGATTGCTAAAGAAATACTCTGAAATAATTAGTAAGTAAACACTAATTAGCCTATGTAACCTTAAAAAATTTTTACTCAAGCTTTTAGTAAATTGTCTATCGTAAAAACTTGAAAGAGTTTGCGTGCTTATTAGTTCATTCGCGTCAAGTGGTTTCTTGTCGAGTATTTCATCGTCTATTATGGTAACAAGCGTAGAAATTTTTTCGTACGACCTGAAGTATCATGAAAAATAGTACAATTATATTCTTCATTATGCTAAGTATATTTTTTATAGTAATTCATTTATTATATATTGTTTTATTATCTTTGACTATTTTATGTTGAAAAATTATTTATTAAATTTTTTTATGAATGAACTAATATTGTCAATGAGGTTATCATTAATTCTGGAATATTGTTTGCTCAGTGACAAGAAGCATGATGGCCAAGCAATTCCTTATACTATAAGGCTTGTAATGATAAACTTCGTCGAATATACCTGGAATAGTTTCAGATATCTAAAGTTAGAGAAGAATTTTAAAATACTATTTCTACAAATCTTTCCATAAGATTTCTTTAAAAAATATAAAATGATTAAGAATTTAAAATAAAAACTGCGGATAGTAATGAAAAAATACTTGACGTAAAATTATTGTTCTATTAATAAATGAAAAATATCTTTTAATAAATACAAAAGTTTTTTATAAAAAAAAAGTGAAAGTTAGACTTGAAGACAAAAAGTATCTTCACTAACAACCTAAAGAGGTGCTAAGTTTAGCTAAACATCAAGTGTAAACTAAAAAAGACCCAAGACAAACCGGAAAATGAACTAAAGAGAACGATTTTAGTTTGAGTTAAATTTTTTTTATTAATTTATTTTTTGATAGCCGATAGGAACTTAATTATTTCTCCTAAGAATAGCAAAGTCAATGTGCTAAGTACTTTTAGCAAACATTTTGGATGACAAGATAAAACAATCGGGACACCAATCAAAGGTCATGGCATTCCTGATCGGTCAAAACAATTTTAGCACCGGCCTCTTAGTCATTTGAGTGCCTTCTCAAGAGACAGTACCGACAACCAGAAAATAGATTGCTTTCATACATGACTTTAAATGTTTATGATTTATTATAATTATATATCCATATTGTTGTGCGACAAACATTAAATATAATTCAATATTATCATGAAATTTTCTCAAGAACTTGTATCACATAAACTTATACGTCTCATAATTCTCATCAGCCATCATATTGCCATGTGTCAGCATTTGTCATGTTCTTAGAGAAAAATGAATTCTCAATCTCATCAACTAAATTATATTGTTAGCTCAATGAAAACTAATTTTCAATTATAATCAAAATGTCACTTACCAACACTCAGTTCCATAAATAAGAAAAATTGTTCAAAAACTGGTGTTAAATGATATTTTTACTTGTAGAACCGTCTAAGAAAATGATTTGGTTACTTTCTGGTGCCGAATGACAAGCAGGCTTGTGTTTATATTCCTGATGATGTCTGTAATCACGAAAATGGCGCGAAAATGCCATGTTTAAATGAGCTCTTACAGCGCCACAACTTGAATAACAATAACTAAAACACAATTTAACGTGTGATATTATGTTTATATTATCACCATGGTTATTTTTTTATTAAAGATAAAAACTCGTTATTTCTAATCATTTATGAACAGAATTTGATTTCATAATTTCATTGATTAGTTATTGAAGTTGTTTATTAATTTATAAATTAATAAGATGTCGTATGCCGAGCATGGTTCAAAAATTTTCTCCCTAAATATCAACACCCAACTACAAGTTGATCAAAAAGATGAATTGGGCCATCGATTAAAAATGATTGAATCATGTTCAGATAATCGAGCTTGGAGTTCTGATCCAATAAAAAATATTCAATATTTTAAAGAAACCACAGAAAAAGGAAATAATGTAATACTGCTCAAATTCTAATGCAATTCGTAAAATAATATTTTTTCATAATTATGATTTAGGGTTCCGCAATTATCATGCGTAATATGACCCCAAAAGAAACAAAAAATAATACCGAAAAGGATACAAAGAATTTGGAACAAAAATTGAATAAATACGGAGTACCAAATTTTACACGTAAAGCAAAAAAAAAATTACAACCGGTAAATATTATTTATTAACTATTATTATTATTTTTCTTTTTTTACTAGAGTTATTATTTATAAAATTTTTTATCAACAATTATACTCCATCATTTTTAAGTATAGACTTGCTAATTTTACATTCTGCTTTTTTATTTCTGTTTTAATATTAGAATCGCTACCATGGTGTTCTAATAAATGATTATTGGAATGTAATGGATTACGTTTTTTATCCATTCAATAAATTAATAGCTTATAAACAAAATATTTTTGGAGAATCTGAAACTATTTTGACAGGAATAAAAAAAAATAATAAATATAATTCAAAATTAAATAATAAAAAGAATTGTATTTATCTGAAAAGTATAAGTAAAAATAAAAATAAAAAATTAATCACCAATATTTCCAAGTCAAACACCGATATCTCCTTTTCGTTATCTAGTAGTTCATTTGTAAGTTAAAAAAATTTACTAATTTTTATGGAATAAATAAATCTTTATTTTATAAATATATTTAATATTTGATCAATATTTTTGGTAAATATATATATTTTTAAGCCCTATGAACATACAAAGAGTGAGTTTCTTCCTGAAGAAGTAAAAAGTGAAATAAATAACGTTATGGTCAAGAATAAAAATTACTACAATGACGAAAATAATGATATTAAGAACAGTAAATTATTAGATGCATTTTCAGAATTAGAATATTCAAGTACAGATGTTGAATTATTGCAATTAAAAAAAGAAAATAGCAAACTTAAATTATGTTTAAAAAATTATGATGATAAAATGAAAATTTTGACTTATGATAATCAGGTAAATAAACCATTTTAATAAGAATTATTTATTTAATAATTATTTAATATTTAAAATTTTTTTAGAATATAAATAATTTACAAATATTATTAACTCAAAGGCATGAAGAACTTGATGAATTGAAAAGTGAAGTGATAAATGAAAGAAAAATCATTGATCAATTGGAAAAGAATCTTGAAGAAAAAAAAGAAGAATGTAATACTCAAAATCAACAGTTGAACAATTTGAAACGTGCCGCTATTGATATCATATCAATCAAAAATGAGCGTGATTCATTGGCTGTAAGTACATTTTTTTTAGTAAACGAGTTTTATTATCTTATATTTTTAAATTAATTGCTTTATTTTAGAATATTCTTAAGGATATCACAAAACTTCTAGAAAATGCTGGATATTATAATTACAATTTAGAACAAGACATAAAAAATTTACTTAGTAATCATAAAGAATTGATAATATCAAAGAAAAATTTGGAATCCAATTGCTCAGAAAATGAGGTTGAAATAATTAAAATGTATGATTTAATCGATCAATTATATAAACAAAATCAAAGTCAAACTATAACTATAAATAAATTAAATAAAGATATTGAAGAAAAAACAAATTTATTAAATCAGTATAAAGAGAAGATTACTTTATTGACAAAACAATGTCAAGAAAAGTTAGAAATTGAAAAATCATTATATGAGAATGAATCAAATAATAAAGATTGTGATCAAGCATTTGCAAATTATTTTAAACAATCATTAACAAAATTAAAAGATTTAACTAATGATTTAAAAGGTAATTCATAATATTATAGCAAAAAATACATTAACTAGTTTCTATGAATTAAAGATGCGGGTAATGATGTCCAAAAAAGAAAAAAAGAGATAAATAAATTGAAAATTCAAATAAAAGAAAATATGCAAATTTTTAAGAATCAATATAAAAAGAAAAATAAAGAGAATAATTTTTACCGTTTTCGATATGAAGAATGTCAAAAAATTATCAATCAACAAATGGAGGATATTGAAAATTTAAAAAATGTCATTGATAAACTGGAAAGAAAAATAATTTATAAAATGGAATTGAGGTAATAACATAGGTTAATAAAAATGATTCAATCAATTATCAGTTTTATTTGTAAATTATTTCAGTGTTTCAGAACTGCATCAAGAACATGATAGTCTGACGAGGAAAATTCAAAATTTAACTAACTGTATCCATGAAAGAAATATAAGAATCGAAGAATTAGAGAATGAAAAAGTTCATTTATTGAACCGAATCGATCACACTTCTATACAATTAAACAAACAAAATCAGCAAGTTGAAGTATTAAAAAGAATAAATTCAACATTTCGAGAAAAATTAGACGATCGAAAAAGAAATATTGAATCGATTTTTAGTGCTTTACAATCCATACAATTTCAAATTGAAAAAGTACATCTAGTATCTTCGGAAGACAAAAAAGTTACTACGGATGTAAATTACAAAAAAAAAATAGATATTGCAAATTCTGATTATTTTCTTCAAGAAAATTCAAATGATGTTGTCAGAGATAATATTATAAATACACTCAACTCAACAGAAAGTTTCGAATATCAACTATCATCAATTAAAGATAATATAAATATTCTTTCCAGTGAATTACATGCAAATGTTGATCCAAAAAACAATTCTAAAAATTCATTAGCTCAAATAAAAGAGAAATCCAATGGTTGCGAAAATATACATGAAGAAGAAATGAAGATATCTGAACAAATGAGCGATCAACTAAATGAAAGTAATAAAGGAATAAAAGATGACAAAATGCAAAAATCGAATAATCAATTAAATAAATTTTCTTAATGAAATGAAAATTTGGTATTTTCGTTTGATGAAAAAGATATAATTCATAAAAATGATTTGAAAAAAGAGTCGCGGTATTATAGCAAAATTACAAAATCTCACTACGGAAATAACATATTTTCCAAGAGTTTAGAATAATAATCTTTAGACGATAAAAGCGATCATCTGAATGGAATTACGGATCTTTCCTCAAAAATAAAAAATGTAAAACAATATATTTATTATAATAGAGGTATTATTCTAATACAGAACAATAATGTAGAAAAAAAATCTAATGAAAAGTAGGAGAACTTATAAATTTATTATTCTTATATACAGTTCCAAATAAAATACAGTTTGACAAATCCACTATTCAAGAATCCACAAAATCTAAAAGTTCACCTTTCAAATAATTTATTTTTCACTGCAGTTAACGTTCAAGTAATAAAGAATCTGGTTGAAAAATTAATGAATCATACATTTTAAGTTGAATTGAAACATTAAAATCGAAACTACATTGGAACATTTGAAATAATTCTACGTAAGGTTACTTGTAATCATCATATTGAAAGGCAGTAAGAGTTGATGCTGTCTCGTTGAAATAATCAGAAACTTTTCTGAATATATAAGTTCTTTTTAATAAAATCAATAATTATCGACAGATTTTATAATAATAATAATAATAATAATAATAATAATACTGAGTAACATATTTTTGTAATTTTAGATAGATTTAAAAGCTTCTTATATTTTATTAAATAAATTACGGATCGAAAATTTGAAATAACAATAAATAGCAATCTTAGTCTTCTGAAACTGATCTAGTTCGGATTATAGTTTCTTTAGTGTCAGCACTAGTACTTAAACTTTTTAAATTTGGAGTACTACTAGTTTGAATTATCATTTTCATGGTAGATGGAATATTATCCTCTGTTCTCCTTCGCATTTTTGCTGTTGCCCTATCTAATGATCGCTTCCAATTAGAACATTTTTTTCTCTTACTGCTACTTTCTGGGCCTTGTTGTCTAATAAAAAATCTATGATTTCGAATACTTATAGTATCTTCTTCTTTTTCATCATTTATTACATCTTTACCAAAAATACTTTTTTCAATAGTTTTTTGAAACAATCGAGAATTAAAAAAACCTTGATCTTCTGTACACATAGCATCACCCATATCACAACTAGTATTCTTGTAAGGTAGAGGACTTTGTACTGAAGATGATTTGGACGTTTTTTGAGATGATGGATAATCTTGCAGATTAGTTGCACTCGGCCATGGTTGGATTGTAATTTTATTTATTAATTTCGAAGTAGTGGGTAAAAAACGCTTTCGACGAAGTTCTAACCATTGAGATTTTGAATGTTTTTTGTGTTTTTCTTCACTATGCTGTAGCTGCCTAGTTTGGGATTCTATGGTGTCTTGGACATCCAGTTGAATAACTGTTTCGGGATAGCTTTGAATTTTCTGCGAAGTTGTAGAAGAAGAAGACCCACTGATCTGGCTGAAACAAACGAGTGACTTAATGATTTATTTTAAAAATTCTAGTTCTTTTATTAAATTTAAAATCATACATATTGATCATTTAGATTAAAGTTACAAGTATAATATTAGTTACAACTGTGTTGTTAATAGCAATTCAATTTTGTTGAAAAACTTATTTTATGAAATATTAGGGTCACATGCATGATATAGCTTTTTATTAATCGGCAATATAAAAATTCCATACCGCTTATTTAACGTAAGACTTTCCGGTGAATGGATTTGTAAACTAACAGATGAGGTTTTTGGAGTTCCAGAATTTTCATCCTCTTCTTCAGCAATGTCTGGTAAAAACATAGTTTGCTTTTCCTCTGGAACCCTAAATAATAATTTTTTGTAAAATACATATAAATAAAAATAAACATAAGTCGAAAAACTTTGAACAATTAATATAAGCGTATATAAAAATAAAAATAATAATACATGTACACACATCATATTGGCTACACTTCCACGGTAAGTTTTAACTTTATAAGCAGCTGCAGCTTCAGTATAAGGAAGGATAAGATTTTCTGAATCGAAGTAAATATCTTTAACAAGAGGTGGACACCGATTCATCAAAGTGTCAACACCAAGATAAGATACTTTCGTATGTCTATCTATGAGCCAATTCAACTCAAAATCTTCATCGTCATCACCAAAAGGATTGATTAGCTGCTCTGCAACCTGTAAATATTCGAAATTAATTACATATTATATTATTAGATTATAAATAATTGATGATTAATTCAAATAATAGACAGTAATGAGGAAACGTACTTTTAACAAACCCATATAAAAAAAAAATTGTAAAATTGTGAAAATTGGTAGATAAGCATCGAGTTCCATTTGAAAAGGTTTTTTTGATCCTTCAATATATTGTCTTCCAACCAGAGCAACGACAAAAAAGCTGTAGGTTGCTAGTGTGACTACCTGAGTGTAAACTAAAGGAATAGATACCCAATCATAACTCCAAAGTAATCCGCATTTGGATCTAAAATCATTAAATTCTTCCATAATAATTTTAAGGCCTTGAGCATCAGGAAGTCGATTATTCTTTCGTGCTTCTTTCAATAGATTGATAAACCAAGTACATGGAATCCAATAAGTATTAAATTCTAAACTCGGAACAGATATAAAGAGTTCTAATTCGAGAGAGCTCATAAATCCTGAGTCAACAACATGATCTAGAGTAGGGAAACGACGTTTGACAGCAGAACTGATTGATCTCAACACTAGGATAAGAGATAGGTTGAGATATCGCATAAGAGATCGTCTTAACATGCGTCCATATTCATCGTTGCCAATAACGTACAAAGCAACAGAATGCATTACTCTAAAATAAAGAAAGTTAATGAAAAATTATTATTGTTTTGTAAATTATATGTATAGTACTTTTAAACTTTAAAAATTACTTGTCTGGCCAAGGTATTGCCATATATTGCTGCCACCATCTCGCAGCTACATAAGCAACGTAAAATCCAAGTACAAAGCTTAGAGGAATGAGGCTGATGAATGTATCGCAGTAAATCACGATTCTTTCGAATATCCTAATTAAATTAATAATAATTGAAATTACAACAATAATAGTAAAAGTAACAGTAGCAATAATAATAGCACTAAAATCATAATAAAAGGGCTAATAATTAATGTTTACCTTCTATGAGAAGTAGATAAAACATGTCGATAAATGACGGAAATAATCCCAAAAAAGAATAGAAATAATAACAGTTCTCGATAAATTAATTTATAGAGGGAGCCTCTCCACATAAATAGCAATCGTGTAAACCCTCCACTTGTGGAGCTTGCAACTTCATATTGGTATGAAACTGTCATTTTTGATAGTCACAAATATCAATTAAAATTTTTAAACTAAATCGTAGACGTTGAAATTTATCCCATTTCATGTACGCTTAAAACTAACATTTTTTTTTAAAACACTGACTGTTAATTTCTACTTTATATATTTGTGTGTGCATTTATATAATATACATATATGTACTATAAATTAATGTAATCGTCATTACTATAAAATTGAAAATTAAAATAACTAGTGTTTGCATTTATAGAAATTATTTTTAACGAGAAAAAGTTGTCGAGAGTTATGAATTTCTCAAGCTTTTGTAAAATGAGAAATAAAACAGCAACATATGATATCACGCAATTGTCTTCACACATTTTTCACTCAGTTATATTCAACTAGTACTGAATAACAATTGTATTTATACTTAACAGAGAATTTATATTTGATTGCAAATAAAAAAAATCAATGGATCCCCACAATGACTTGTCACTTCAAACATTTATAATCATAAATATGTTGAAAATGTTTCGTTTTTTAAAATAGTAGTTGAACTAATATCACAAATTTATATTTTTATTTAACTTACAATTAAAATACTAAAAAATTTTAATTCAATAACTTGGCCAAAGTATCGAGAAACGAGTCAAATGACATGGCGACAAAGTCTTATTGTATTAATGAAAATAGTTTTCAAGTTTTTTTAATCCACATTGTATTAAAGAAAATTTTACTAACATGTCATTTAATGTCTGAAATTATTTGTTATTATTATATTTAGACGAAAAACAATGTAATCAATAGACATAAGAAAATTATTAACACCAATGGTTAATTCATCTTTCATTTTATCGCCCATAGATTTAACTTAGTGAGTAATACTTGACTTGGCAATCATATTAGCATTCAAACGACTTTGGTAAATATAGCCAAGCACTCCAAACACTGTCTAGCTAAATAAAACATATATTTGTCATGTAATTTCCGGCTATATAAAATTATAAAATTTTGCAATTTAAAGACAATCATTTTTGTAGCGTCTTAAAAAGTATAAATAGGTTAATCTAATTGATATAACGTCTAAAATTTGAATTTATTCAAAGCAAATAAACTAAAATTAATTTCTCAACATTCGCGAGTTCAATAATAAACACTTGCTTAAATAACTTTGCAGTCTGACAATTGTTTTGGCAGATTTTATCATAATTTCTTCATTTAAATATTTTAATTTCATTTATTTCACTTTTTTAAATTTTTCATTAAATATTATAAAATATTTCGACAGCTTATAAAGTACTGTTTTTTTAGAAACATACTTCTTAATTAAATTTTGATTATCACGTTTTTATCACAGAAAATAATAAATTTTTTTGTAAAACACGAAAAAGTATTTAATTTATATAAAATATGAATAATATACACTCAGATAAAGCCAAATAATTATTGGATTTATTTAGAAAAAGACATTGATGCTAGTACGCGACTTGTCCACTTTACTCTGACTACTCTTCGGCTTTCGATTACTTTCCACCTCTCTCGATCTTTATCTTTATGCTACATCGTTAGACTTTTAGTTTCGTAGTATCTTCAATGTTTTAATGGCAAAATCCCAACGTACAAATGTCAAACTCAATTAGACCTTGCAATTATCTAGAATTAATATAGATTGAATTTTTGATATTATGTAAGTACGAAAGTTATAAATCATGAATGTATTTAATTACAAAATTTTTTTATTTAAGAAAATTTACAATGTCTGTATCATATTTTATGATAATGGAAATAGTAATTTTTTTGTTTTAAATCTTCGAATCTGTAAATAAAATTAGTGTAGTATCATAATTCGTACCAAGGTAATCTATCCTTTTATAGCAATAAAATGGTTAAAAATATAAGTTTATATTTTTTTAAATATTAATTATAGTTTTGATAGAATTTTTAATCTGCATTTAATTTTACGTAAGTAATTGTATCTTTTATTAATGAACGTTAATTCATTATTTTACTGGTCTTAACAACTATTATTATTTATCTATTTTTTTATGTTCAAAAAATTAAAATAATCCGTACATTTTCTTAAATTTGAATTTACCGCTTACATTAGTAAGGCAAAATGTTGGTAGATTACCATTTGAGATGTGTTTGGGTATTTGTCGATAACATTGTAAAATTGTAAATGGCACACATAAAATTTTTCATGATACCTAATAGATAATGATATAATATACACGACGCTTGCCTGTGATTACTAGCAACATATTAGCAACTGATATTAAATTTAATAAAACTAATTTAATATAATAAAACTAAATAGTTCAATAAAGAACTAATTTATTTTTTGTGATTTTATAAAATGGAAAAAAACAAATCTATTATAATACAAAAACAAGTAAAAGATAATGCACACGATTTACAAACAGAATTATTAGCAATGAAAAATTGGGAAGAAAAGATAAAACAAGCCGAATTACAACTGAAACACATGGATTCTAATCATGCCCAAGTAAGTTGAAATAAATGCAAAGAAAATATATTGTTATATAAATACAAATTTTATTCTATACGTATATATATATACATACATAATTTTATTTACATACAGGTACTACCTCCTGTAAGGAAAAAAAAGAATAATACAAGAACGAAACTCAAAACTAAAGAAAATGGAAGCAAAGCAAAAAGAATTAAATCGTATGATTATTCAGCCTGGGATCATTATGATGCAGTAAGTGTTTATTTTAGATATAATTAAATAATTATGCTAGTATACTTAAATAATGATGAATGTCTTCTTGAATTAGTTAACAAATTTTTTAGGAGAAAGCATGTGAAGAAATAGACAAAGAAAATGAATCAGAGGATTCAGGAGAGGAAATTTTAAGTAAAGAAGAGTTAGAGCGCAAACACGAAGAAGCAACAACTCATAAAGTTTTGGGAAATAATTATGTTAAAGAACAAAAATGGGACAAAGCTATGGCATGCTACAATGAAGCAATTAAAATATTTCCCTATGATGCTGTATTTTATGCTAATAGAGCTCTATGTCATCTGAAAATGGATAAGTAAGTCTATTGATTGATTAAATATTATTCTAAAAAGATCCTTGCATTTTAAGTGATGGATTAAAAAACTGTCTTTTATATTATTCTTAGTTTATATTCAGCAGAAGCCGATTGCACATCAGCTATTCAACGAGATGAATGCTATCTTAAAGCATATCATAGAAGAGCAACTGCTCGAATGGCTTTAAAACAATGTAAGGAAGCAGTTCAGGATTTAAAAAAGCTTTTAAGTCTGGAACCGTCAAATAAGGAAGCTCAAAAAATGCTATCAATTGCCCTTAAGAGTTTACATGATTCTAATACAGTGACTATCAATGGTGTAAAAGACTCTGCTATTCAGGATATTCAAGAAAAAAGTTCTAAAGTAAAAAATAAAGAAGAAAGTTCTGTTTCAAAAAAAGAAGATACAAAAAAGGATAATAAATTAATGCCAAATTTACAAAGAAATGTATCTCAAGATATTCAACAAAACAAACAAATTACAAAAAAAAGTTTAAAAAATTATGATTGGTTACCTAAAATTGATGAAGATGTTGATGTAGTACAGCCATTGAAAAAATTACCACATCAGAGAACGAATCACAATACATTAAAATCAATTCCTATAAAGATAGCTGACTTATCTAAACAGATTTCATTGAATCTACATAAAGATGATTTATCTCAAAAAAGTGAATTGAAAAAACCTTTAATAGTTGAAATGCATCGAAAAAGTATAAAAACTGAAAAAGAACATGTATTGAACATTGAAGAGATCAATTTTTCAATTCCATGTACAGCAGTCCAATTTTTCAACGATTGGCGTAAATACCAATCATCTGAGATCCGTTATAAATATTTAAAACAAATACCACCTGAACTTATTCCAAGTATTGTTCAAGATGCGATGGAATTAGACATTTTTAGTGAAATTATTTGGATTCTAAAAACAAAATTTATTTCTAATAAAGATAGAGTATTTCAATATTTGAAAAATCTTAGTGAAATAAAAAGATTTAGTATGTTAATGATGTTCCTCGATAAAAATATAAAAGAAGGTTAGTTGGAGAAAAATTTCATTTTATTATTTTAGTATGATACAATCGGATAGTGCATAGAGTACTAACTTTATTTTTCAAGTCATTTATATCGATTATTGTTATTTGCAGACTTGAAGATTTTATTCGACTTCTGCAATGAATTTGAAGGATATACTGATGAGTCAATTGAGGAATTTCGTAATAAATATGAAATTTAAATTAATTGTCTTAATAATTATATTATTCTCGGCATTTAATATAAAACCTTCATTAAACCAGTTCAATTTTTAATAAATTTTTCAAAAATAATTTATGAATTTTTTAATATAATGTTTTTTTTTGTAGTTGATCAATTCTCTTTAATTGCATAGGAATATAAAAGTATATATAATATACTATAAGCAATGATGAAATTTATTGGATGAAATGAAAGCGCATGTGCAATATGTGGTAAATTAATTTTTTCATGAGTGGCTAGAGTACAGACAAGGAATCGTAAATTACTCTAAAAAATTAATTATCAAAAAAATGTTATTCTGTTAGTTTGATAGCCATTTTGTTTTAATTCAAAACATAAATGAATCACTTTAATCTCTCCCAGTTCATTCTCAAGTTTTATCATGTGGCGGTGGGGCATAACAATTCTCTTACAACTTGTAACACTCATGTATACGTTAGATAGTAAAGCTGTCGTTCGACAATCGAGCAGCTGATATTTGAGATATTTTATAAATAATATTTTATTGACATTTATATTATTTTATTATTTGGTTGATATGAGACATATTCTTGCACTTGATGTGGGAACGACAACTGTTCGGTGTCATGTTTTGAATGAAAGTGTTGAAACACTTTCTACTGCAACAAAAAAGGTTTGGAAATCATATCATTTTTATATCTTATTATTATTCGTTTATATTAGAATTAAAATATAAAATTTACCAATAAGCTTGATACAATTTTCAATAATTTACATACAATATTAAGATATATTTATTTTCATTATTCACTATTTGGAAAATTTAATACAGTTACCCTGTCTAATCAGTTAATTAAAATAATAAAAATTATTTTGAATTTACTAATAACTCTGATGAAAAAATTTTAGCGTGTTTTTATTTATTTAATAACAACTTTATTTTTAATATTTAAGTCATTCAGTAGATTTTTATTATGCGAAGTTGTTTCTGATACAAAACGAATCTAATATCAATTAACAATATTTTGGAATGAAATTTTTTTGCTGGGATTTAAAAGGTTGAACTTCTTTATCCAAAATTTGCTCATGTGGAAATCGATCCTGATCAGCTCTGGAATACCATTCTCAGAGTATTAAAAACAGCTGTGCAGGGTAAGTAATAATTAAATAAATATAATTGATTAATGATTTGAAGTGTTTTTAAAGAATTTTATTTAGTTATTTTCTATTTCTAATTGTAATTCTTCGATTAAAATAAAAGTAAAATAAATATTTAATGTAGTTTCACTCAAATTTTTTATCAATTCCAGAGAGCAAAGTTGATGTCTATTCAATTGCTAGTGTTGGTATTTCAACTCAACGTGGTAGTTTCATTTGCTGGAATTACGAGACAGGCAAAAATTATCACAAGTATGTTTTATACATATATCAATGTATCTAGATATTTATATATATTTATTACTTGAAATTGTTTTTTCAATTATTTTTTAGTGATTACAAAATATTTTGATATATTTTTTTTACAGATTTATAACATGGAAGGATTTAAGAGCGGATTCTTTAGTAAAAGAGTGGAACTCTTCATTAACGATGAAAAGTTTAAGAATGGGTTCTCATATTCTTTATACTTTTTCACGAAATAAGAGATTTTTAGCTGGAAGTGTCTTCAAGCTTATGAATACACAGGTAAATTTTTATTTTATAATTTAGAAAAGTTTTTTTTTCTTTACAGTTTATTATATTTAATTGGTAAATGTTTAAATATTTAATTTGTTTTTGATTTGAAAGCGAAAATCGAAATATAAATATTAACAGTAATATCAAAGTTTCCGAATATGACATTAGTGAATATTAATCAGATGACTGAATACTTACAGATGACCTTGCGTTTAATGTGGGCTTTAGATCACGTACCAGGTTTAAAGGAAGCAGCTGAAAATGGAAAAGCTGTGTTTGGTGGAATTGATAGTTGGATTTTGTATAAATTGACTGGTAAAAATTACATGAGCATTATAAAAGTTTTTAATTACTTTTACGTATAAAAAATAACTTATGTATTTGTATAGGAAAACATATTTCTGATGTCTCTAGTGCATCAGCAACAGGACTATTTGATCCTTTCACGATGAGTTGGGCAAATTGGGCAATTAATCTTTTTAAAATTCCATCTACAATGTTCCCAGAAGTAATAGATTCTGCTGGAAACTTTGGCAATATTCCTAAAGAAATTTTTGGGGTTGAAATTCCTATCACCTGCTGCGTCAGTTGAAAAAATTACATAATATTAGTATCAATATATTAATATTAATTGCTATTAAATTTTTATACATTTTAGATGGCTGATCAAGCAGCTTCTTTATTTGGTTCTGGTTGCTTTGATGTTGGAGATCTCAAAATAACAATGGGTACTGGAACATTTTTAAATGTTAACACTGGTAGTGAGCCACATGCATCTGTTGCTGGTTTGTATCCTCTTGTTGCTTGGAAGATAGGATCAGAACTAGTTTATATGGCAGAAGGAGCTTCTAATGATACTGGAAGTATTATTGAATGGGCAAAATGTTCAGGTTAATATGAAGTTTTTACATTAGCGCAATTACTGTTTAACTGTCTGTGTATTTATTTTATCTCTTGACATGTATTAATAATAAATGCATTCCATTAGGAATGATAAAAAATCCTGAAGAGACAGTATATCTAGCAGAATCTGTAAGAGATTCAGATGGAGTTTTTTTCATACCAGCATTTAGCGGATTACAGGTGATTAGAACATGTAAATAATACTTGTAATTGATCTCTTTAAAAAATTTTTTTAATCTTTATTTCGTCATATTTAAAATAATGTTGCTTGAATATATTTTTTCAATTTATCTTGTTACTATTTTTTATTATTATCTAAACAAATAACTGATTATCGATAATTTTTTATGAAGGCACCAATAAATGATCAAACTGCTACCGCTGGATTTCTCGGATTAAAGCCAACATCAACTAAAGCTCATATGGTTCGTGCTATCTTAGAAAGCCTAGTTTTTAGAATAGTACTTTTGTACGAAACATTACGTAGTGAAATTCGACAAAATTATACAACAATTCGGTAAATTAAAGTTCATAATAATAATAATAATAATAATAATAATAATAATAATAATAATAATAATAATAATAATAATAATAATTAATAATTAAATTTCTGTTAATTAATACATGATTGTAAAAAATGAACATCTATTTTTCGATATCTAGAGTCGATGGAGGTGTTTCTCAAAATGATTTCGTCCTTCAATTATTAGCAGATTTGACTGGGCTTTTGGTAGAACGAGCAGTAAGTTCTGAAATGTCCATTTTGGGAATTACTATCCTTTCTGGTTTACAATCTGGTGAGAACTTGAATCGATCATAAAAATATGCAAGATATATAACGTTGAGCCGATTATTTTTTAAATTTTATATTAATTTTTTCTTTCAGGAATCTGGAATGATAAAAAAGAATTATATAATTTAAGACAAATTAAAACTATCTTTAAACCCAATGAAACTAGAAAAAATGAATATCAATCAGTAATAAATCAGTGGAAACGTGCTGTTGAACGGTTCAAAAACTGGTATTAATTTTTTATATTAAATGTTGACGACTTTTTTAATTATAAAAAATACAAATATTTTTATATTTTGGATGATGCCCATTACAAAAACAATTGTTTATATTATCAATATTATTGCTATCTATGTGCCTTAAAAATACTTTATTAACTTCCCATTAGGAAGTTATTGTAATTGGGTCGATTGCTGAAATTTGAATTTTCATTAAATCTCCACGTTTCAAGATATTTGCAAGCATACTGACATATTTTTAGAATGATGTGTGTGTGTATGTATGTATGTACGGACGTCAACATTTTTTCGTTTTCGATATCTCAAGAACGAATTGAGATATCGACTTCAACCAAAATTAATTCGAAAGATATTATAATAAAGAAGATCTGAGTGAAATTTGAAAGAATTCGGTAGAGCTATTTTTTTTTATAATAAAATAACTAATAAAAAAATGAAAAGATAAGCTATTTAAAATACTTTTAAGCCAAACAATAACAATTTCATTTGAAAATAAAGTCGATGTTGACTAGACATTATTGTTCACAACCAAATATGACTCTTAACAATTACGCATTGTTTATAACAATATGAATTTGTTATAAACAATTACTAATGGGAAGTTCGTCATGTTAGCACAAACAAAGTGTGCTCAGACCTATTTTTTTTTTATTAGTAATGTTATTGTTATCACGTTAAAAATTAAGAAATATAAAATATGAAAAATTAAATATATACTTATTTTTAATATTTATAAATAATGCGAATATTCATGAATGCATTGATTCTTTTTGATACAGTTCTTCTATTAATTAAATTTTCTATACTTGAAATAATAAAAATGTATTATTATTATTATTATTTTTAAAAGGACATAATATTTTTGTATTTTAATAGTATTATTTATTTTCATATTTAATTGTTGAATACAAAAATTAACATTTATCATAAAAAAAATTAAAAACAAATACACATAATACACTCGTTCTATTGTAAAAACTTTTACTAGGGTTCGTAAAAATGAATATTCTTTTTTGATGAATGTAAAATCATACAAATACAAGCTGGTTATGCTAATTTTGGTATCACGATGAAACTGCGCTTTTTATCAAAGATCGTATTATAGCTAGAGTCGAAATCAAACTTATATGGCATTAAAGAGCTAAACGGTTAAACGTAATTATCATTTGGAATATAGTGTCATCATCAATTGAAATAAATTATTGTAGTCGAATAAATCGTTTTCTTTAATCTATATAACATTATTGAGAAAAAAGGAGATCTTTTCTCAACAAGTTATTGAAAGTGGTTGAGTTGGTTGAAGAAATTGTACGTACAAGAAAACATGGTATGTATATTCTACTTTATCTTTACTTTTTAGTTTCATTTATTTTCGGTACACTCTTAACTGGTTTCCATTCGATGACCTTCGAGTAAACCAGTTCATTGAGTTTATTGTAAATCCTTCAAACAAGGAATGCGTGAATAAACATACTACGTTAATAGTTAAGGATTACTCTTTGAATGTAGTGGATTCACTTCCTCTCTTTATAAATGTTCAGTCAGTTTTCTTACAACTTTTATAAATAACAGTTACTTAATGTTGATTCTGATAGTAATAATATTATTTTTGCAGTAAGTCTATGAGATTAGCAATACATTTCTATAACAAACTCATTTTTTTTTTAATTTATTAAAAATTGTATATATACATAAAATATTGAGCTAAAACATACAAAGTAAATGATTGAATTGATTAGTAATTAATTTTATTTTTTAGACTGAAATAATAATAGACATGAACGCTGACAAAGGCGAAAGAAACCAAGCTGCTCACTCAGAAGTTTGTAAAATAAATATAGAACCAGAAGAACAAACATCAAATTCAGGTAAAATTTGAAGTATTAAGTTTAAATTTTACAAAATAATGAACGAACAGATAAATCTATGGAAAACCAACAGTCAATCTCAAGTTATGTAGTTGATACTTTTGTCTTCAATTCAGGATAGGAGACTTATTCATAATTAGAAACAATTTTTCTTTCTTAGGTATTGAAAGTACTATTTTATTTATTTTTTTCTTTAAAATCAATTAATGAATTTTTACGTAATTTAGTATGTCATTCGTTTTATTTATACGATAATCGTTACGTGTAAATATGCTTGGATGAGTAGTTATCAAAATAATTTTAATTCTTTTCAATTTATTATTAAATACGTCAATTTAGTTGAATAAATAATTAAATAATATTTTATACAATGATATTTAATTCGTGTATTGTTTTTCCGTAATAGATTTATATTATTTTTATGTTTTTTTCTTAAAGAAATTGTCTTTTTTTAGTCATTGAATCGAATCAAAAAATTGATTCGAAATTGAGTATAAAATTTATGTCTTAAAAAAGTGATGTCAATTGGGAATTATGCATTAAAAAAAATATTACATTGCATAAATTATAATTTTAAGTGTAAACGAAAAAAAGTACCAGAAAAAGATATATTATAAATTATTATTTACTATCTAAAATATATAATTTTATCATCAAAATGATAACACTGAATAATTTATTTTTATATTTGATAAATATTTACAATTTTTTTCTGCGTTCATTCATAAATACATGTAAATATATAAACATCAAAAATATATAATTTATCATTAATCAACATTATCATTAAACTATCAAGCTATGATTAATTAAAAATGTCTTGAGTATTTTTTTTCAACAAAAAAATTTCAAGGACTCATCTGTGTATTAATTAAATTCATTTATTAATGTAGCTTCTAGCTATCTTATATCCATATTCATCCTTGAGTTTTATTCAATTGTTATGTAAAAAAATTAGTAATAAATTTTGTTATAATGCTTAAAAAATATAATTAATTAAAAAACTAATCAATTAATATGGATATTCTAATTATAAATAAATATCAAATTATTTTAATTATATATGTATATGTATATTTATATATACAAAATGATACTTTTCTTTGTATTTTTCTTTTGATTAATGCTTGCACTAAAGTGAAACTAAATCTATGACGCAAGATAATAGTGAAAAGAAGAAGAAAGTCAAACGTAGTAAGATTATATGTTTTCTTTAAATTGTGAATATTTGAAAAACTGCAATTGGCATTGGAAGAAGCGGGAAAGGGAAAGTAATAGCTACTGATGCTCCCTGCTGGAAATTCAATGAAACAAGTCCTCCAAAAGAAATACGTTTTACATATACGATATAGTAATTTATTAATAATGAGTGGGAGTTGTTTCTTCCTCTCCAAACATAATCTAGTTCCTTATATAAGTTAGCCTTTTTTATTACATTTATAAAACTGGATGAAACATGGTTTTTTATACACTTGTACTTGGAGTTTGAACTCAGAAGATAAAGAAACGACCAGATAAAACTGAGACACAAAATATCTACATTCAGACACAAAGTAATGAATATTTCTCAGTTCTATACTTGTTCTTGACCGATAGCTTTATCTTGTCGGTTTATTATTAAAAAATATACAAAAAAGTGATACGGTCGGCTTTGTGTGATTTCTCTTTTCAAAAACGTATGGTAATGATATTAATTAAATTTACAATATTATTTAACGTCACAACAAATGCAATATTTTAAGACATTTTTTTCAACAAAAATTAACACTGAAAAAAATATTCATATAATTAATCTAAATATGAAAAGATAATATCTTTATCAAATACAAGTTTTACCATTATTTAACCAATACTAATTTTCATTAGCAATATTAAATTCTACTGCATTTTTTATTTTGTAAATAATATATTATTTAATTACTAGTTTTCTGTCTTTGAAATTACAGCTATGATGAACGGAAAATTAGCTATGCAGGATTATGCTGATGTAAGTGTTTTTAATGACTTAATTGCAAATTGAAAATTCAATGAATAAAATATAAATTATTTATTTAATTGAAGTTGGTGCAAAGAACAAGGGATGTTTTTTTAAGTGGAAAAACTAGACCTTTAAAGTGGCGAATTCATCAATTGAAACAATTGAGAAAAATGATTGAAGATAATGTGGACAAATTAAATTCAGCTTTAAAAGCTGATTTAAGACGAGTGAGATTATTTTATTTTTTAATTATATATTTATTCCAATATTCTATTGTAATTTCTACTTTTAACTTTATTCACAAAATTTTTGTCAATGTCTAAATAATATTTTATTATTTGTCATAAATATGTTGATTTGAAAATAGAATCTTTGATGACAATTTTTTTCAGAGCAAATTTGAAAATCATTGTTTAGAAATAGATTTCACTTTGAATGCACTCACAGATATGCTTCAGAACATTGATGAATGGTCTGCGACAGAAAAGGTGAGATCATGTTTTTAAACTAAACAAGGACTTTTATCAGTTATTAACTAAAATGTTTTGGATTACAGCCTTCAAAAGATTTTGCAAATATTTTAGACTCACCTCAAATACATTCTGAACCATATGGTGTGGTATTAGTGATAGGAGCATGGAATTATCCTCTTCAATTATGTATTGTACCAGTGATTGGAGCTATTGCTGCGGGCAATTGCGTGCTTTTAAAACCATCAGAAATTTCATCGACTGTAACCGAAGTTATTTATCAATTATTTCCCAAATATTTAGACCCCGTAAGTTATTGATGGTGAAACAATATTAGTATTAGTAATCTATTTTTTTATTTTTAGTTATCTTAACAGTTAATATTTCTTTAGAGTAATATCTTTTATATGTTATCATTTCCCTCATTCGTTTAACAGTCATTAATGATTGTTTCTTCATATATTCCCTAGTAGTTAAATTAATGTAAAATTAACGGCAGACTTACGTATGTCGGCTTAAGTTTATTATTTACGTATGTATCAGCCATTTTTCTAAAGCAGACAGACGTAAGATTTTCATCAGGAAATTTAATATCAGATATTGAATAGCAATCTAATGTAGAACGGAAACAGACGTACGTAAATCTGACAAAAATTCTCACGTCAGAACTAACTGCTAGGGTTTATTATTTAATCCTTGGTAATTTTCATTTTAACAATAACATAAAAATGAATTTTTTAGGATTGTTATCATGTAGTAGTTGGTGGTGTTCCTGAAACAACTGAACTTTTAAAACAAAAGTTTGACTATATATTTTACACAGGATCATCTCATGTTGGAAAATTAGTTCGTGAAGCATCTAATAAATATCTTACTCCTGTTACATTGGAACTGGGTGGTAAATGGTAAGAATAAAATAATTTTTATTTAAATAATTATTTTCTCACCATACCTTTGCAAAAATTTTATTTTTCTTTGAGACGAGTAAAACTTTTTTATACAAGTATAAAAAAAATTGTTTTAGTACACTCTATTATACAGTGCATGTATGATTTTAACACTTTACCAGTGATTTTAATTTTTTTATTTAAAATGCTAATCGTTTAAGTTATATTTTACCATCAGATTACTAATTCTACCATTTACGTTTTCTCTAATCATGTCTTATTTTACATAATATAAAGAATAATGAATACTACGTCAGTGAATATAACGTTCAATCTGATGTTGTCGTTGACTTGTTATTATAAACGACTTTTTAACTTGCTTCGTGCATAATACAGTCTTTTATTAGCTTCCCATTAGGAAATTGGGTCAATTGGTGAAATTTGAATTTTCATTAAATCTCCACGTTTCAAGATATTTGCAAGCATACTGACATATTTTTAGAATGATGTGTGTGTACGTACGGACATACGTATGTATGTATGTACGGATATCAGCATTTGTTTCGTTTTCGACATCTCAAGAACGGATTGAAATATCGACTTAAACCAAAATTTATTCGAAAATGAAGTCAATATTGACTAGACATTATTGTTCACAACCAAATATGACTTTCACCAATTACAAATTATTTATAACAATAGGAATTTGTTATAAACAATTACTAATGAGAAGTTCCTCGTGTTAACACAGACAAAGTGTGCTCAGACCTATTTTATTTTATTATGTTTTCAGCCCAGTTTGGATTGATAATACTGCAGACATTGAATTAGCGGCAAGACGGGTTCTTTGGGGTAAACTGATAAATGCTGGGCAAACATGTGTTGCACCAGATTATATTTTATGTACAGAGGAAGTTGAAAATAAATTTGTTGCAAAAGCGAAAGAAATAATTAAGGACTTTTATGGAAATAATCCAAAAGAAAGTCCAGATTTATGTCGTATAATTAATCAAACTCAATTTCAGTAAGTTTTTTTCATAGAAATAATAATATTTAAAATTAAAAAAATTTTATATGTCTCTACATTTCCATTAATATCATTGTTTATTAGACGCCTATCGCAATTATTATCCTCAAATGGTAAAATTGCAGTCGGTGGTGAAATAGATGCTCAAGAAAGGTATATTGCTCCTACGATTCTTGTAGATGTTAAACCTACTGATCCGGTAATGTGTCAAGAAATATTCGGACCTATTTTACCAATAATGAGAGTTGCTAATGCATATGAGGCTATTAAATTTATAAATGAACGGTAAGTTAATTCAGGTAACAAATTGAGTTATTATTATTTGATGTAGATTATTTATTTGATTTGCACAATTTTTTCTTAATAAATATTCTTTAACAATTCAACAATCACACACTTTAATGAAACTATAAACATCTAATCAAATTTTTTCATTATCATTTCTATTAATCATTTTGGTTTTTTTTCATTATCATGCGATTATCATCACTTATATATAGTAAACAATTACAACAGAAGTAATATCAATTAACATAAGTTATATTTACTATGGAATAATTATCAATTTAAATAGGTTTTAACGAGATATCTTTAACAGTTATATTTTTTACTATCTGTAGATCCAATTTATTCATTTATTTAATTAAAATAATGAATAAAGCTAAGTTTACAGACTAATTCTTTAAAATTAAAAGTTGTTATAAATAAAATATTCGACTATTATAATATGAAAGAATTTATGACAAAATTTTTGTACTTAGAACTTCTCCTCTCGTATTATATGCATTTACAAAGGATAAAGAAGTGCGTAATCTGCTTCTTAAACAGACACAAAGTGGTTCAATTTGTTACAACGATACAATTTTCCAATTCGCTGGTAAGTTTGGGTTTAGGATGGATAAAAGCTGTACGATGAAGTTCACTAATAATGTTAATACCACTGGTGATAAATAAATTCTCTTATGAGTAGCTTGTATTTTTTGTAAATAGATATTTAGCTTGGTGTCAACTTATTGGATAAAAGTAATTATTTATAATATGTAAATATGTTAAAAATGATGACTAACAATATTTGCGTTGCTGTATATATATCTGATAATTTAATCATTTAACTGTGTTTTATTTAAAAATGTAATTTTATGTTGTACAGTTAACTGTGTATATATATATATATATATATATATATATATATGTACAAGAAGATATATAATTTAAAATTTAAAAAAAATATAAGTCATATGTACAAAAAATCGTGGAGTGAGTGCAATCTTAATTGTTTATATGGTTCATCACTCGTTTTTGACATTTTTTTGAGAAATTGAGCAGTAATTTCGGAGTAATTTAAAATTTTTAGAAAAACAGCTTCATGGATAGTGGTTAAAATTTTATGGATAGTTTTTTGTATACAGTGACATCACGTACATCGATGTACAAACACATACAATTCCTCAAAAATGATTATAAACGACTTGAAAATTTTGAATATTAATTTCGTATTTCAGTAAAATAATAACTTTATATTACTATGTCATTTTCAAATTCAAATAATTTAATCGTACTATAAAATAACTAAAATCATAAGTTTCAATACAGCTTTACATTTAAAGATTTTTTACTAACTCGTTTCAAAGTAGATCTTATTGATTGAATTTACACAACATCCAATAACAAAGTAGTTACTTTATATTATCTTTTAATCGAAAGTATATTGTAGAACAATAGATGATTATTAACATTGATATGATCAAGTAATATAGGAAATTTAATCATTCAAATGAATTTGGCAAATATTATTTTCTGTTATTGAATAAGATCCTTAAAACTCATATTGCTTTTTATTAATATCATCTATAACTATCATTTAGTGTAAAATTGTGGATGGTTTACATCTTACTATTATTGAATATAATATTTTACTAATAGTAATAATTTATTATGGATTGTTTTATTTTATGGTGTAGGGAAAAGCCTTTAGCGCTATATTTATTTGGCCGAAATCTCAAAGATCTATTATTTATAAATGAAAAAACGTCTAGTGGTGGTGTACTTATTAATGACGTTATAATGCATCTTGCAGGTAAAGTGCTCCAGTAGATAATTTATTTTAATCCATAATTTTTCTGCTTTGTATTACACAACAGTAACTAATATTTGTTTAAGTCAAAGATGTTATATTTTATTTAACTTAATTTATTTTTGACATTGTATGATAATAATTATACTTAAATCATTGTTTTTATTGAATTATCAATGTGTTTATTGAAAGTTGATACACTGCCGTTTGGTGGAATTGGAGGTTCCGGTATGGGAGCTTATCATGGTAAATGGACATATGAAACATTCACTCATAGGAAAGGTGTTCTTGTTAGAGATACTAGTAGCTTTGGAGAAATGCTTGCATCGTACGTATTGAATTCGTTTAAATACACAACTTTTTTGAATAAGTTTGTTTATAAGATAAACACGTTAATTATTGATTTCAGATCTAGATATCCACCGTATTCAGATAAAAAGTTAAAGCTATTATCACTTTTATTGATCAAAACGCCAAAAATTCCTGGAATCAAATATTTTCCACATGTTGTAATGTTTGGGTTAGGAATTTTGGCGACTATTGGATTTAATGCAGCGATGAAGGTACACAGAACAACACACGTTTAAAAAATCACACTGCATAAATATCCCTATACACTATTTTGTAAATTTTTATACGATAATAGTTGATTTAGTAATTATTCAAGCTAACGTTATCTAGACGACTTTTGACAGTATTCAGTAGTTCCTTGTTGAAAAAATTGTTGAAATTTTATAAAATATTGATGTAGTTACTTATTTCATGAGTTTGGATTAAATTAAAATACATACATTTATTATCATATTGTAATAAAGAAAATAAATAATTTTAATTAGTGTATCACATCAATACTAACGCTTATGCACTTATTTAAATGCTTTATTATGGGAATTTATTCGTTAATATAACTTATTTGATATAGATAGATTATCCGTATTTTCAGGAATTTGGTACATCAGATGATCAACTATAAAGTGATTTTTTTTATTCTACTCTACAAACTTTTCAACAAATTTCTATTTTAAATAATCGATAATTCTGTATTGTAGTTAGAAATATATGGGACCAGTAATTTGTTGAATATTTTAGAAATATTTTGTTTTTAATATGTTATTGATGTTATTAAATTTATTTTTATTAATACATTCTATAAGAATATTGATCAAATGATCGCACGAACTTTATAATGTAGAAAATCAATTACCATTAAATGATAATAGGTAAACAATAAATAAATGAAATTTTTATTTTTATCTCTTTTTTTTTGTTTTTCTTATTTATTCAAAAATTTCTTATCGACTTGAATGACAAAAATAAAAATTTCACTACTCACTTAAGTTATTATTATGCCTTAATATATGAGGCTAAAAGAAAAATTTAAATTGTTCAATTTTTATTTTACTGTTGTCTTTGGATTTATCAGCAAAATGTCATTACCGTACTCTGAAACAGTTACTAACCAAAACTTACGTGACTGAAGGAAAAATTTTCATCAACAGACGGCACGATCGATGATTACGATAAATGTAAGAGTCCATAAAACTCAAAATTATATTTATTGTTTCTTTAATTATTCAAAATAACTTACTTGACGATAATAATTGAGAGTAATTTAAGTGGGGAAATTAAATACATAAATTGGCGCATCGTTTTAAAATATGTAGTTAATGAAATACTACGGGTTTATCAATTAGGAACGAATAATGAAACACTGGAAGCTGTTATTAACTTTATCATTCAGTTTTTATTATACTATATGTTTCGGCCAACAATATTCTTCAACTCTTTTAAACAATTGGCCGATAGTTGTAAAAAATGAAAGAATTTTTCAACGTTACAAAAAATGTATTTTTGATCAAGGACCATGCACAAATGAAGGACAGAATCTTAAAAGTAAGATATGGACGCCATTTATTTATCACCTAAAATTTAGTAATTTGATAAGTGATAATTTATTTAGTCACATTTTTTTCAGCAATATTAAAGGATTTTTTTGAAAACCAATGTTCTAACTGTAGTACACAAGAAAAAATAATTGCAGGAAAAATATTAAAGTACATAAAAATAAATAAGCCGGATGTCTGGGATCAAATTTTAGATAAATATGGATTGGAAGAACAAATAGAATTTTTGGAATCATTTTTTGCTGATTAAATGTGTACGGAAAGATCAAAGTTTGAAATTTTGATAATGCAAATTTTTATTCATTAATGCCTTAAAAACTTCATTTTACTATAAAAGGAGATATTAGAACCAGCTTTAATTAATAGAAATTTTTTCGGCAACATTCTAGAATAATGTGTACATCAAATTATGTTTTGCATGGTAGTATTTTATACAGTCTCTTGATAATTTTTTTTAATCTAATAACAGTTTTTATATTTACTGTTTGCTTTTATTTGTATATTTTTTTAATGCTGCAGCAACAATAGCATTATATTTGTCTAATTCATGCGTCGTATACCATAGAGTTATTTTGTCGAAGCTTTCAGATTGTTTCTTTGTACATTTTCTACAATTAGTTACTATTGCTTCTGGAAAACGTTCTGTAAAAAAAATCAATAAAGTTAATAAAAGAATTCAACATTTATTATAAAAAATCAACTTCTCTATGAGTTTTTAATTATTTTAATATATTTTCAATGTTACCTTTAAAAAATCTAGCATCAGGTGTGCGACATGGTCCAGTTCCCAAAAAACACTTGTAATAAATTTCTCTTTGTTTTGGATTATTCAAAATTTCATCAACGTTTATATAGTCATACTTATCAGAGTATTTTACTTCTTCTGATGCATAAATAACAATTATACTTAAAATAAGTACCAATAAAACTTTTACATGAAACATAGTGATAAAAAGATATATTATGTTCAGTACAAGGAAACCGATAGTACTCTGAAACTTATGGATGATTTGGGACGTATTTATAGGAGTCTCAGTTATTTCTCTGACGTCAGAAACAGCTTCTGCTGTGTTTATATCTTCGTCTTTAACGGACGTTCCTTGAAGGACAAGTATAGCGAAAAATACAAATCATACAAACTTACCACGACAACATTGGAAACATTTTCATAGCTCATTGTATCAGTTTAATTTTGAAATCACCTTTAAGAAACTATAAATACATAAAAATATGTTATTGTACAAAATGAAAATTTTTAAATTCACATTACAGTTAAAGGTCATTCTTCCAATATGATTAAGTTTTCTATAAAAATATTGTATTCGATATCTCTCTTATGTACCTTGATCAGTAAGTCTTCCAACATTGACCGTGACATTATATGTATTCGGAACGTTTTTTTTTTATTTTTTACCTTATAATAAACGAAATGCTGGTCTTGTTACCTTGAATTTCAATATTTGAAGGATAACGACATAAGTTGAACGTTTTGATTATTACAGGTAGGTATTTTTGACCATTTTAAACTCGGTACTTCAATATTTCTGATAAGCATAAAATAAAATTATAATTGGCAACAAAATTCTTATATAATTATTAATAAAATTTTATAATATTTAAAGATTCAAATTATTTAAGGAATTTTATGTTTAATACAATTACGAATGATTTAACTTTATGTAAAAACTTTTTTTACTTCAAAATAATTAGTTTTTCAATATTTAGTCGATTTAAAAAAAAAAAATGATTTTTGACTAAAAAATTATGCGAATAATAGTAGTTATTACTCACTCATGGGTCTCGGAATATCTTATATGATTATATGTTTGACTCGATACATTTGTAATGTTGCAATCAATATGATAGTAGGAATAAATGATTAAACAATTACTAGTTAGGTTGAAAGTGCATAAAAGTTCTAAATAGTTGGATAGCTTGACATATAGTAGAATTGGTAGTTATTTATAGTGATTAGATGCCTTACCTATTACTTTCAGTTAAGAACACTCAACAATATGTTGTGATACCAAGAGGAATGCTACGTTGTCTATGGTAGACAGTCTTGTTATAAAGTCATTCTGGTTCTAGAAGATATGAGGCTTCTTTTATGCTTTAAACTTTTCATCTTATTGTTTTCGACAGTTACAACAAGCGAAATAACTGCTACATTAATCGGAGATTATTTTGAAAATTTAATCATTAAACATGTCGTTGTGTTTGGCTGCTGGGAAACTTATGGTAATTGTAATAAATTATTATTATTTTTATTTGTCTTTTTCAATATAGATATTAGACAAATTGGAAGTCTCAATTTTTTCTTTTACATTTTGAAACGTATAAGAAGTGTTTACCATGTTCATATTATGGGTGATATCATATTTATACGTTTTTCTCGCGTTAAAATATATAATATATTTTCAAAACAAAGATTTTTAGTATTTTCAATTAATATTAATAAAGAGAAAATCGATGTACTCCACTTAAAAAATTCCACAAAATCATATAAATTTTATTTGTTAGAAGCTATCAAATTATCTCGATTGATTATGAAGAGAAATTGTGAAGTTTCTTACATAAATATTCAAGAAAATTTAGACATAAAAAAAATTTTATACGTTAATTACTACAAATTAGGAATTGTTTTGAACCTAGATTGTTCACAAAGTCAAAGTATCTTTGATCAGGTAAAAATAAAAATAATGTAAGTGAAAGTAAAAATAATTAAATAAAGAGAAATGTTTTGAAAATTTTTTTATCATCCAAATAATAGTTTTCAAAACAGCAATTACGTCATAATGAATCATATTATTGGTTGATGTCAACGGTACAAAATTCAATTCCTGAATATTTTTATCATCTTCCATTGAATATTGCTAGTGAAATGACATTGGCGATGCGAAATAATGATAGTTACATTTTGTATGATGTTTATAATCCTAGCTATCGTCATGGAGGAAAATTAAATGTTACTTATATGGGTAATTGGACAAAAAAAAATGGAAATAAAGGTACAGTTATTTTATTGACAAAATTTTTTATATAATTACACTTGAATATTGATGATGATTACACGATTTTTTTTCATTTGATCATTTAAATTGAATGTAGTTCAATTATTATAATAAAGGAAATCCATGATCAAAACTAATATTTTCCTATAAAAAAATTGAATTAAATACACTTAATTATGAAGAAACAACAATCATTGATTGTTTAACATAAAACTGAGTGAGATATTTTTTATCGGGATCGTATTTATTAGCCAAAGCTTCGAACATATCAGGATGTTTTTTTCTAAAAATTAAATAATGAAATATGTGAAATAATAATTTTAAAAGGGAATTCAAGAAATACAATGAAAATGTTAGAAGCAATCTTACAATAAATGCGTACAAATAGCATCACGTATTGGTCTTTGCCAGTTGCTACTCTTAGCACAATCATTACCAATTATTTTTGGCAAAAGTTCTATAAATTCATCATCTAATTCTACGTATTGCACAATATTTTTTATTTAACGGTTATCAAAAGTAATTATTTTTTAAATACCTTTTACTGCTTCTTCAATAAATTGACATTTTTCTAAATTCATCCAACATTTGTAATAGCTGTTGAAAATTATTTCATTTTCTAATAAAGTTATCATATCAATTGGTTCAAGAAAAAAAGGCCAATTTGTTGTTGCACAACGTTCGATTGATTCTTGGTTATGAATAACATTAAAGCCATCGATTATTTTAAAAAAAGTTTAAAACATCAAAGTAAAAATAAGGAAAGTTTTTTTTAAAACGATAATACATTTTGTTATATTAATTATTCGCTTAATCGATTGTGTAATATGATATTTTTTTTGTTTATTAATAAATTATATTGTAAAAAGCAAATAATACCATGACTAAATCTGATCATTCAAAAAGATTAAAATCACAAATTGACAGCTGTTTAATTATACATTAACGGCTAGCCTTATTTCAATTAATTTAATTTTCGTTTGACTTAAATTAAAATTTCAATAAAATAATAGGTGGTTTAAACATTGTGTTGACACAATACAAATATCAACGACGTGGAAATTTATATGGATTAACACTCAATGCATCAATTGTTGTAAGACTGATCCATTTTTTAACTACATTACTTTTAAAAACTTGAGTCAAACATTACATTTTTAGATCAACTATAATCCTGTTCCGGATTATTGGACATACATTCATAATCCTATAAACCCTCATGTTGACACAATGCATCGGTACAATTATGCTTTAATTCTTCAAATGAGAGATTATTATAATTTCACGTAAGTTATTATTATGTCAGAATATACTTATAAATCACAGCGTATCTTTAACTTTTTACTATTAATAATATTAACAGCATAAATTTAAAAAAAGGAACAACATGGGGATACCTGACAAATGGATCTTTCAATGGAATTATTGGTGATATGATCAAGGGAATAGTTGATTTTGGGGCAACTCCTTTCCAGTTTAAGCCAGAAAGAATTGATGTTTGTGAATTTACAGTACAAACATGGCCAGCTCGAGCTGCTATTATTTTTCGACACCCAAAAACAAATGACCTTAATAATCCCTTTTTAAAGCCATTTGAAATACATGTCTGGTACTGGGTGCTTATTTTCAGTACAGTGAATTGGGCTTTACTGTATTTGGCAACTAAACTAGAAAAAATGATAATAAAAGAATCGACACCAACTTTAAACACTTATTTAGCATCAGAAACTGCTCTCATCACAGTTGCAGCTGTAAGCCAACAAGGTTAGGACCGTAAATTCCATATAACGATAAATTATTTTAATCCAATTAGATACGATCTTTTGTTTTCCGATAATCGATCAAACGATATAAGGTTGTACTTAAGTTTTTCAAATTTTGAAGGAATACCTTCCACAGTCTTTACTGCAAATCTTAGTGTTTTATTTTAATGCAGTAAAGGTGTTTTAAGATGGTGTTGCCTATTTGATTAACATTGTCGTATTTTTAAAACATTCCTAATCGCTCTTAGACGGTCTTAAAACGATTTTGAAACCAAAACCGGATCGAAAGGGTAGCAATTGGACTTCAAAACGATATAAATATAATAATGAAGCTTTGATTAATATAAAGACGATTGTCTGGTATTTTACATGAACAAAATGTGGGGAGTAAAATTTTGGTACGAAATACCCTGTCATATAGAAATATGACAAAGAAAATAACATTTTTTTGTTCATAGTAAATTTTTTTCTCGGAGTATTTAAATTATAACGTTTCAGAAGCTGAGGTAATAATTATTATTTACATTATTTATTTACAAGTCTTGGCCCCAAGAAGAATTATTTAAATAATCAAAACTTTAAGCTTGATTTCGTTTATAACATTGCATACAAATTAACTGACGTTTTCGAGTTCTCACAATTTCAATGGCATCCTTGAATGTTACAAAGAACATAATTATTTAATTGCAATAACAAATAATGGACATCTATATATATATATTCAGTACCGTACATAAATGCTATTCAATTTTTTATTTTCAATATATACATATAAGCGATTTTACACTCACTCACTCATTACGAGATCTCCAAAACTATGCGTCCGATTGACTTTAAATTTGATATACATATACATTTCCCGACATAGACACTCATTAAAAACAGATTTTGACTAAATCCTATCTCAAATATTTTTTTCGCCAATCATTGATAATATATCAATATTAGCTGATACCCTCCTGTCGCTATCGAAAAGTTGCCATAGTAACCGTTACTATGATAAACATTACTATATTAACTTTTTATGCATGAAAAAAAAATTTACGACAAAAGGTGCATCAACCATTTTTATATTTCTTAAAAAAATGTCTGAATTTGGTAGTATCAGGGGAATGAAATGACAAGTATCAATGTGCTTATGAATAACTTGAGAAAATGTCTCATAAAAAATTCAATATTCAAGAAATCGTTATAGTAAATATTTCGTAAATTCTAGAGGTAAAATATTAATGAAAAGAAAATAAATCGACATTATAACATGAAAAACATGATTTAGAGAAGACGAACACAAATTGTGTTCTTCAGAGTAAAAATATGTTTTTTTCCTAAAAAAAAAATTTTTTATCACACCATGAATAATGTTGCAAAATTTTTGATTTTTTTTTTATGCTACATAAGTGTATTTCATACTATTCTAATGACAGATCTACAGACCACCTGACAAATTCACGGAATAAAAAAAATACAAAACATACATACTGACACAATTTTTCTGGATTTACATAAAGACAGTCAATCATGTATCAGGTAAATTATACAGTAATTAGTACATCATAATCTTAAATTTAAGTTAATCGTTAAGAAAAAATCAAGCAATTTATTAACATCTAGGTTCCAAAATCAAATTTTATCGTAAGCCCAGCGAAGCGAACGGGTAACGGCTATTATTGTATGAAAGTAAAAGCAAGACTGTAGAATGTGCAAAATATTTTGTAGTTCAATCCTACAAATGCATGTAATGTAGAAGAGACGAATAATCAAAAGATGTATAAATCCTATCTATTAAAAATCATGACTTAATGCAAGGCAAAGAGATACAATTACAATAACTGTTTGTGTGAATATAATTAAATATTTTTTTTTATAAAATATTAGAGATTACAGTTCAATATTGATAATAACAGAAAAAAATTTTTACATTACTGTAACAAATACCAAAAAACAATAATTAAATAACACAAAATCAAATCGACCCATTAGAAAAACGTAACCATTTTATTCGTGTGTTGATTGATCTATTTTATTTTTTAATTTTCGAAATGAATAAGAATAAAAATCAAATAATTTTTTACATTGTTAACTTGAGACAGCGTGCTCGGAGAGCGAGCGTTATATTTCTAGTGCTTGTTTAACCTGCAACGGTCACTACGTAACCGCTTGTTGATCACTATTTCTTTTCACTCGAAGCACAGTTGGTAAAATTAAAATTTTTTCAAATCACCCTCGCCTTTTTTAAAGTTTGTAAATACACACAATATTTGTCTTCGGTGAAAAAATAGCAGAAAATAGTATTTTTAAAATAACTTTTATTATAAAAAGTTTGACATAACAGATTCAAAGATTCTTTTCTTAAATAGTTCACGATGAATCAGTGAGTTCGCAGTTTTTTTTACTATTTAATAGTATATTAATAGTGCACGAACCTACTGCAAAATGTTGGGCTTATCGAATTACTGCATGAAACATTTTTTGTTGTGAAGTACTCACTATTTTATCTTTAAAAATTAAAGGGCTGCCATCCTAAGTGGTGCACAAAATTTATATGATTTTTTAAATCTTCCAATATAGGTACAGTAATCGTTCCGAAGGAGTTACTGCTACATGGAGAGAAGGATCGAGTTAAATTTACACTGTAAAAGAGGGTAAAAATTGTTCTGTGCAGCGTAATGCTGAGACGGTGATAATTTTTGAATTTCGTTAAGATAAATATTACTCAGTATGCAGGATAAAATTTATCCCTGGTGTCAAATTTGAATACTAAACGAATAACATTCATCAGCTGTAAATTATTTATAAATTGAAAAAGTATAAAAACTTGATATATGAATTTTCATGAAACAAAAAAATATTTGCAATACGTTTTGTTCACCTCAATTATAATGAATAAATTACATAATTAATTAAAATTTCTATTAGATGATTTTTTTCCATTATAATAAAAAAGAAAAATTTTCTTCTATCGAAGAAAAAGGATTAGAAGAAATTGATGAAAAGGCTTTTGTTCAAAAAGGAGAATTTAGATTTAATTCGAAATCATGAATAAGTTATTTAATTTTTATTGATTTACTGTACATAACATCTTAAATATTATGGCCATCTTCTTACATTTTTGGCCTAGAAAATATTTTTGGACTTGAATTGGGCGCGTTGAGAGCCTGAAAAATCATTTGAGCTTGAATTGGGTCTCTTTTAGGCGCGCCCAAAAACTGATCATTTTTACTCGGGATTGACGCGTACTATACGAAGGCTGTTGCACTACTGAAAAAAACAGTATGTCTACGCATACGTATCGCGCATATGGTAATTACGAATACACCCGAAGACGACCGACCGTTGTAATCTTACCGCTTCAAAGTGTGGAAAAATATAACACTCTTGAATAATAAATATTACACTGCAACTCACTAAAAAGTGGTTGAAAAAAAAGAAAAACTGACCAGTTCCAAAGTATTATTTATACAGTTTGTGGAATGGTCCGAGAGCAGAATAAAATTTACCCTGCATCAGGCGAATTTTTAAGGAATGGAGGGATAAAAAAAAGTTAAACTTAGAGGATTTGTTACTACTTCCATGCAGCGTATCACGATTACCCTGCATTGTAGTGTACTTTTTACTCGATCCTTCTCTCAGTGTATAAACTGGGCTTAAATTAAAGTTTAAATATTTTTTCATTTATAAAAAATTTAGTGCCAAGTTTATTTTAAGTCTAAACCTGTGGCAGCAAACGTTAAACATAAGTACCTGACTACTAATTTGCATTACTATTTTTTTTCATTGAATTATTGAATTCATAATAGAAGCCCCCCGAAAATAAAAAAAAAAATTTCTGATAAACATTTTTTTTCTATCGATATAAATAATAGGTTGTCCAAATATAAACCTACCGTCTCGATCAAACTTTTAAGATATTATGAGAATGTTTTGGGAATATTCACACTACGGTTATATGTACATAAGAACAGCAAGCGTGCAATTGTTTGCAGCAAATCCTGCATAACAATAGCGAGTATATCAGTGAGACATAATTATCAATTTGAATTATATAAAAAATAGGTCTGAGCACACTTTGTCTGTGCTAACACGACGAACTTCACATTAGTAATTGTTTATAACAAATTTAAATAGTTGTAATCAATGTTTGTTGAAAACATCCAAATACATGTGATATACACATTACTTATTCAATAAATACAATTTTCAATTGTTTATAACAAATTCGTATTGTTATAAACAATATATAATTTTTACGAGTCACATTTCATCATTAATAATATTATTTTGTTGAAAACATCCAAATCCATGTGATATACGCATCAGTTAATCGATAAATACAATTTTCAATTGTTTATAACAAATTCATTTGATTGTGAACAATAATGTCTAGTCAATATCGACTTAATTTTTAAATGAAATTGTTATTGTTTGGCTTAAAAGTATTTTAGATAGCTAATCTTTTCATTTTTTTATTAGTTATTTTGTTATAAAAAAAAACGGCTCGATCAAATTCGTTCAAATTCCTTTTAGGTCTTCTTTATAATAATATCTTTCGAATTAATTTTGGTTCAAGTTGATATCTTGATCCGTACTTAAGATATCGAAAACGAAAAAAATGCTGACGTCTGTACATACATACATAAAAATCACTGCTGCATAGTGTACGTTTGTTGATTTGCTGTTTCAAAAATAACACTATTCTAATGACCGCCATGTTACCATTAGAAATAGTGAATATTTACTGATTCATTTTTTAATAAAAAACAAATAGCTGTTCAGGAAAGTACTGTTACTATTCTTTTAGGTTTTTTTTTGGATACTCATACGGAGAAAATTTTCGTGTAAAAATTACCCTAAAATCTGATGTAAAATTTACTTTACAGAAGAGTAACCGTGGGACGTAACGACCGTAAGATATTTTTTACTCTAGAGTAGAATAATTTTTACCCTGCTCAAAGGTTAAAAATTTTCTCTGTCGGAAAAAAAAACATCGTTAAAAGAATTCTATTGAAAAAATAAATAAATATCCTTTATTTATAAAAATAAAGTGTATATATAATTGATATGGATCTTGGATAGTTGGGCTCATTAATTAAATAAATGTACCCACTAGATAAAATGAAGATTAGTCTCTTAAGGAGTACAATGTTTATTTGTTTGAAGGAAAATACGAAAATAAATACACATTAAGATTTTTGAACAGCTTTTTGGCCGAAGATGTTCGAAAGAAGTCGAATGTTATTGATCATCTGAAATTCCTTTCAAGTATGAGATAAAAAATACTCCAGAAAGGGGTAATATTCTTCGCCATTCAAGCGTAAATTTTTTGTGTAGTAAAATTTACCACTCGAGAAGAGTAAAAATTATCCTGCAACGGTGTAATTTTTATACTGGGGGGGGTATATTTTTGCTCTCAATTTGCGCTACGTCCCACGGTTACCCTTCATTCTAGGGTAAATTTTGAGCAAAAATTTTCTCCGTGCATGATTGATATGATTATCTTCATGACTATTAAAATAAAATCTGAAAAATTAGAAGTTTGAGATTTTTTTTCCACATTAGCTAGAACTTTATTTCTTTCAACTCTCTAAAAATAACTTCTTAAAAATTCCTGAGTACTGAAAAGTAAAAAATATTCATAAATGAATTATTAGAGAAAACGGTTTTCTAGTCATAACAAAATATTTTCCTTTTACTTTATTGTCAAGATAATTGATCTTTTTTGTTTAATTATTTTTTAAAATCATATAATTATTCATAAACGATTAACTAAATCAGCTAAATAATATTGTTGTGGTTGATTTTATAGGACTTGGTGAGAGCCCAAAATTATTTTCTGGTCGAATCATTTTTTTATCCATACTCTTTTGGGCTTTTCTTCTTTATCAGTTTTACTCTGCTAGTATTGTAGGTTCACTGTTAGCGAAAAAGCCAAGATGGATTAATACATTAAAAGATCTTGTTGAAAGTAATTTAGAAATTGGTATCGAAGATATGGCTTATAACCATGATTTCTTTGCTGTAAGAATTTATTTAATTTAGTATTTTAATGACAATTTTTTAATGAGTTTTTTAAAGAATATTTTTAATTTTTTGTTTAGACAACTACAGATTCTATAGCTCAAAGGTTATATCAAGAAAAAGTAGCAATAACTAAAAAACGTAAAAAAGCTAACTTTTTTCCTTTTGAAGAGGGATTAGAGAAATTGCGAAGAGGAGGATTTGCATTTCAAGTCGACGTAGCTTCTGCATATAAATTAATTGATGTAATATTTAATATTTTTTGAGTGTTCAGAGAGACAACATTGTTACAAAAGTATACTTTTAAAACGTAGGATACATTTACACCTGAAGAAATTTGTGATCTTGTCGAGATACAACTTTTTCCAACAAAACATACAGCAACTGCAACAGCTAAACATTCACCATTCAAAAAAATGGTCACTTACGGGTGTGTATGAACCATTTTCAGGGATAGGCAAAAATATGATTTTTAATAATATTCTTAAGTACAATTATAAATTACTTTAAAAAATCTATTTTTAAACCCAATTGCCAATTGGAATTTTCGGTATTTAAATGGATGAGTACAACAGATAATCAAAATATTTTTCTTATACGCTCATTACCAAACATAAACCAAAACATAAGTGTAATTTTAAATCGTTTTAAGGTTAAAATTTCAATATAATACCAATAACAAAAAAAATTGTTTAAATTAAAGACAAATAAGCATTAAATTTATATTGGAGATTAGGTATCAATATTTATAAAATCAACGTCAGACGTCAGATGCTGCCGCAGAAAGGAAACAGACGTACGTAAATCTGTCAACAATTCTGACGACAGATCTTGGCTACTAGCTATAGCTAGGTATGTCCAGGAAATGAGGGGAGTATTACAGTGTGAGGAGATTACTTTTGATTAAGTCTTTTTAATTAAATATCGTGGTATCCTCCAAGTACATCTTTTTTTTACACCCTGTATATGAAATCTTTTAAATTTATATCAAGTTCAAATCATAATATGAATATACACAAAAACAACATTATGGAATATAAAAAGAAGATTCTCGTTTTAGTACAAAAATTTTTAGCCCTAAAACAGTTCAAAATTACACTTGAAAAGAAATTCCAAATTTTAATTATGAATTTCATCAATCTGTATTTTGGATATTCGAATTGTTGATTATCACATAAATTAATAATTTTTTGTCATTATATGTTTTAAGTTTTCTTATGATTATTGAAAGATAATTAAACAAGAGAATTTTACAATATTTTTTGACAGAATCCTTCAGTATCTGTTACTTTAGGTTAAATTTCAATATAAGTAATGTCTATAATATTTTCTTTCAGTAAAAAAAAAAAAAATGTATTATTATTAATTTTTTTATACTAAAAAATTATTTTTCATATTTTTTATTCCTGGTAGAATGAGACAAATCGTAGAACATGGTATGGCCCAGCGTTTACGACACATATGGATGCCTAGAAAACCTGAGTGTCCAGAAAGTCATAATAGTGAACCTCTACCAGTAACACTTACTGAATTCAGTCCAACGTTGTTTCTCCTTTCATACGGTTGTATCCAATCTTTGATAATCATGATTGGAGAAAAATTTACAAGTCAATGGAGAAGACACAGTTTTATGATAAATCGAATCGCTTTCAATAATAGTGACACTACTGAAGCATCATCCCCAAGTCAATCAGTATTAGATAATTGATGAGATATCAATCTTCAAATGTGCGATGTAATGATTGATTAATTTTGAAGAAAGTATAATAATAAAATAGGTAAATGATGAAAATTAACTTTATTGGTATCATAGTTACTATTACTTTTGGTTATGAAAACGAATTGATGAACTGATTAATGATAAAACAGTAATACATTGATATGACTTGAATATATTTGTTATCACTTTGTGCTAATTTGTGGAATAAAACTATTAATCATTAATTGACTTCATTTTAACTTTGCATTCAAAAGTAATTTTTACTCTAGTATTTAATATTTTGCAAGTTTACCAATACAGTATCGCGATTTTTACGACAAAAATTTTCTCCAAGTATGCTTAATTTTGTACCAACCTTACATTTAAAATATAAATGCTAGGTCATTTTATTATTAGATTCTTAAAATGTCTGAATTGGCTTAATTAAAATTCCTGAATGAAATTTTAGGTAGATTCTTATTAAGTTTTAATTTTTATTTGAAATTTTCTCTGTTTAATAACAAAGGTTATAATTGTAATCAAAATTAGAAAAAAAACTTGACTGTATAAAATATGAAAATAAAAAGATACAGCAAGATTTAGACTGTTCACGATATGGATTATACAAAGGAGTCAGGATCATTGGTTTTAATTAACGAATAGCTAAGAATATTAGTTACTAAAATAACTTGAAGAATTTATTATCAAATAAACCATATTTATGTATCAAACTTTCATTATTTTAAATTCATCAATCTATTAAATTTATTGATAATAAAAAAAAATTAACATATAAATATTATTGATAAAGAAGAAATAAATAATAAAATAACCGGAAAGCAATAAATAAGTAAGGTAACAATGCGTATTATGCAATCAAGTTATAAACAAAGGAAATATCTATTAAAAGATAAAAATTGTGCCTTAAATAAAGATGAAGAGTGTTATAAGGTGGAAGTGTCACAATTGGTTGCAAGGTAACGGCATCTATAAATACCTTTTGGATCATATTTATTTGCCAGTGTTTCAAATTTCTTTGGTTCATATTTTCTGTAATAAAAAAGTAAACCAATGGTTTAGAAAATAATCATGATGCAGACAAATTAATATTTATTACACTTTTTTTCATATATACATCTCTTTTAACTTTTTATGAGAATAAAAATATCTACTTTTTTCGTCTGGTTTAATTCCATATTTTGAGGAATTTTCAACTCACCGTAAATATTTTATTATTTTAATTGCACCTTCTTCTTGGCTTTTTGAACATTTAGCACAAGCATTTCTTAAAGCTTCTGGTAATATTTCTAAGAACGAAATTTTCATTATTAAATTCGTATTTAACTTGAAATTTTCATGGTTTATATGGTATGAGAAACAGTTTGAAAAATTGTGTCAAAAACTTACTTTTAAGCTCACGGCCATCTGGTGGACAAGGTCCCTGACCCATTAGACAAGTGAAGTAATGATGAAGAAGTTTTTTGCAAGCAAGAACTTCATCCAAGTTGACTTTATCCCAAGTAGTCATATAGACATTTGGTGGTGGCCATCGATAAGAATGAGAATCACTCAAAATGTATGAGATAAAGATGAGCAAAGTAACGCGCAACTTGGTATTCATTTCAGAAGCAAGTAGGCTGATGGAAAGGAACGAGCGCGTATTTATAGCTCGTTCTCTCTCCACTTATTCAGCAAGTAAAATTAATTATTATTATTTATTTGCGTAATTTAAAAATATTGTCTACGAATAATTTAGTTACATTTTTTAATAATAGTTGAGTGCTTTGTTTAACGATAGATTATTATTTCTAGAATTTTCTTTCAAACAAACAAACAATTTACATATTTGATAAATTCAATATATCGTACCTATCACATCAGATTGTTATGTAATCTTCTAATCATCTGTACTCAAACCATACAATGGCAATGAATGTTTAAAGATCTTAGTCATTGATGATAACTTTTCTAAACATGAATGTAATTAAACATGATGTGAATTCACCAAGTAAATTACTATTATATTTTATTGAAAGTGAATCATTAGTAGGAAAATAATTTTTCATCATTAACAAGAAAAATTAATTTATTCTATAAAAAAAAAAAGAAATAAAAGTACCAATTGATAAATGATACCGTGGTTTGAAAGAGAAGAATAACAACTAATATGCAAAAGTACCGTTAGAGAGACCTGGATAAGAAAATAGGTGATGATATTTCCAGCCAAGGTACGTCGTAAGATCTGATGCACTTTTGATGGAAAAATCAAATGTCAGAACAGAGTTGAATTTTTTTTAAACCTTTTATTTTAGAATAATCACAGAAATTTGTTAATTTAGCCATAAAAAATTTTCAAGTTATTTGTATTTTAGAAAAAAGTGTTGGCATAAGTTGATTATTTTTAATGGAAGCGATGAAAAAATTGAGCGGGGAAACATTACTTTTTCTTCTTAAATTTATTTAAATGAGTTTTAAATCTTATTAAATAGCTTTAAATTATAAAAATGGGAATTGTTTAATGGAGTAGATATCATTTTTTGAAAGTAATCTGGCACAAAATTATAGTAAAATTTTATTAATCGTAGAACAACTCAATTACTTTCTTTTATATCTTTCAGAGATAATTAAACGCCAAATACACGCTGAATGCACGTAAAATTAAAAAATTTGACTTCAATATCAAATAAACGAAACAGTGGATTATTTTACTATTGAAATACGAATGAAATTTTTAGATAATATTTAACTGAATACCAATAACAAAAGCAAAGTATTACACGATGAAGAAGAACAAGAATCTTTTCCATTGAATTACTAAGAAGAAGAACTCCAATTTTGGGCTAGTCTCAAAACTAATCATTCTATATTTTTTATCAAATAAAAGTAAAGGCGAAGATAGTTATGCACAAAGTTGAAATAGTTTTATAAAATATTGACTCAAGATTGCAATAAAGATAAAAAACTTAGCAAAATAATTGGAAAGAGTAAAATGAAAGTCAAACTCAATAGAAAATAAGTTACTAGAAAAATAGAAAATGTACGAAGAAAAACTTGCATAACAAATTCCATTTTGCGGTGAAAAAAATTATTAATATTTAGTAAATATCAATAAAAATGTTTTTTTTATATCCTGATATATTGACTAAGATGTTCATTCGTAATTTTGCCAATTTTATCAAGCAATTGTCTCAAACTTTTAGTTGATTTTAATTTAATAACTGAATTGAAAAAAATTGCCAGTCCACATGGACATTTTTATACATTGGTTGGTTGTTATCATAAGTTTAAAGCTCATCATTCGGACTTGACTATCAAATAGCACAAGCAGGTAACGAGCAAGTTAGCTAATGCAGAAACGAGAGTCTCTTTCGAATTAAATTAATACACGTCTGCGCTGATACTTGAGTGACTCGATGCACCTTCCATCTGGCTCTTAGCCTTCTGCGTTATATTATAGAAACTGAAAGAGTTACTACATATATTTACAAGAGGGTGCCACTGTACATTTCTTCGATAACACGACATTATACGGTCTCGAAAAAATTTATCGCTTTACCGTGTTAGCCGTAATTTTTGCTGCAAGAAAAAAAAGAGGGAAAATCCGGTAATCAAAAAACTTTTGGAATACATTATTCAATAATCGCTAATAGTAAGAAATTTCATACTACAATTAATTTCGAGTTAAAGCCTTGAACTTGTAAAAAAATAATCTTTAATTTTTAAAAAAGAACGACTCAATAAACAGTCTATTGGCAAATAATATTTTTTTTTTATATATAAATAATATAAATTAGAATTAAAATTTACGACAGTTACATAAATAATAATTCGTGAATTAAAGATCAATTATGAACTGTAATATGATTAAGTCACTCAAATTTCATTTTAAATTTTAAAATTGTTGATCCGGTTATCCCGAGTAAAAATGATCAGTTTTTGGGCGCGCCTAAAGAAGACCCAATTCGAGCCCAAAAATATTTTCTAGGCCTAAAACGCGCCCAATTCAAGTCCATTTTCTAAAATCATATTCGACAATGATGACAATAAATTATTACAAATGTAAATTTGTAGCACCGAAAGTTAATTTGATGATAAGTTTTTATGAGAATGTTTTTTCTTTTCTAGATTTTTAAAATATTTTTGGGCTCGGATTGAGCGCGTTTTAGGCCTAGAAAATATTTTTGGGCTTCAATTGAGCTCTTTCAAAATTTAGGCCTGTAATGGGCTTGTTTTGGGCACTGAAAATTTCTCTAAGTCAAGACTGGGCTTCAATCGGGCCTGTATTGGGCTTATTTTTCATTTTGGGCGTGTTTTGGGCTTCTTTTGGGCCTATTTATTTTTACTCGGATAATATATTGTTATGAACGAGTTTTGTATTGTAGTAATCAACATTTTTTTTAAGTCTTAAATTTATATACTTACGGTCAATATTATTAAGTTTATATACAATTATCGAAGTAAATACTAGTTTAGGCGCATTGCACACAGAAAATGTGACTGTAAATGAATGGGATTGGTACGCCAGATTTCGGAGAAAAGTGAAATGCTGCTTCGGATTGTTTAAGTGTTTTCAAGTGCAACAGAGACAGATGTTTTTATACAAGTAAACTTGAAGGAGCCGAGTTCAACCGAACGAGATAGATTCTCTTTTGTATTGTTTTTATACATAATGAGCTAAATATAACTTAGATCGCTATTTAAGAAAATAATTCCAAAGAAGTCTAAAAAAAGTTCAAATCTTGAAATGTTTCAAATTTAAGAATAAATAAAAGTTTTTCCTTCCTAAATTCTTCCTATTTTAGTGATAGGAATAAACACATGTTTTAAATAACAATGCTTTCATAGTCTACTTACTTCAAAAAACTAAAAGAAAAAATACACTAGGTGGTAGTAGTATTTACTATTTCATTTTTAAAGAGTAGAACGCATCATTTAATAAAGTAATGTGCATGCAATATTCTTTTATTCTTTATTTTATTGAACTTTTCAACAAATCACTCTTTTATATATTGAAACTAAGACTTGTATTGTCACAATACTAAGACGTGGCGTGCCAATTTTAGAACAAATGTTGACTAAGATTTTACAATCTCTATTGGTTTCTTATTCTCTTGAAATGAAACAGTGAAAACCATAAAAACGACTGCTGAATCAATAAATTTTTACATGATAATAATTATTTCACTAATGATAAGAAGAAAATGACAAATACGTATTTTAAATTATTGAAATAGAATATATCAAAACGTATATTTTTCTGGGTTCGGATTTAATTTGATGGTTTTTCTCTATTCGGAAAAGTCAAAAAAAAAATTCTCAACAATTTCCAGAGAAGTACACATTTTTTTAATGCCATCCAATATTACATAAAGAAATTTGAAAATTATTTAATAAATCAATGATAAAATAATATTTTTCTCGAATCCGATCAATGAAAATATATGATTAATAGAAAATCCAAAATAGTTTTGTATCCTTTTGTATTTACCTTATTCGTGTAATTAATTTAAATGTAATAATTATAAAAAAGTTATTTTTCAATTGTATAGTCTTAACCGGCCACAAGTTTTTCCTTTTAATTGATAAAATTGTTTCTTCAACATTCTTTCAAAGTTTTACCAAGTTTCGCAGTTAAAATTTTAATATTATATGTGTAGTTTTCATGAATTTTACAAATGAAGGTAAATTATTATAAAATAAATACGAACGCTGAGTAATATTCATCAAAGTTTATTTTATATTTCAATATCAAGAGTTGTAAATTTTTTTTAAATAGTTTTATTCTCATGATTTAGTGACAAGTTTAATGTTTACTTCTTTCCATATTATAAAAAGCGCAAACATAGAATGTGTCCAATATGATGGAATGATCATTGGATTTATTTCTTGCAGAAAATTCCGTAGAAAACAATAATATTCGCGCTCCAATATAATCTATAAAACAAACAGCACAACAATGTACCATGACCTAGTATAATATGTGACTTAAGAATCAATATTTCCTACACGGTAAGAAATATCTTGTTTCCACAACAGGTTAAAAGTATGCTTTAGCAACAAGTATATTTGTAAAACGTTCAAAGGATATTCGTCAATGAAACACAATAAGTCTGTTATGATCAAGAAAAAAACAAAAAGATAAATAATAATAAATAAATCTGTTGTAAGTACACGATTGAGTAAAAATGTACAAGTTTTCAGCACATCCTACATTTAAAAGTACTCAATTAAGGCCCAATTAATAACTTTTGAATATGGCGAGAGGGAATTGATATGCTTGTAACACATCTCTTTGGCAAAGTAGTGTTTTTTTTACCCTTTCTTCTTGTTAAAGCATTCTTCTTTATTTCCATGATTTGTACAGTTTGTATACTTGAGATAATGTTTAGACAAATTCCAAAAATTTGTTTCTATTTCTGTGTATATTTACAATACTACTATTAATGTATTACTACTAACTTGAAGTATATTAAATTTCAAGTTAACTTATAAATAAAAAATAATTCATTAATTGCTACGTTGCAAATTTATGATTTTTTTTTGAAATTTTTTTAACTGCTCTTTTCATAAAATTTTCTGTATACACACGGAGATAATTTTTCACTAAATCTAAGTGCAAAAAGTGACAAGCCCACGTTTCGAAAGTTATAAGTAAAAAAATATTTCTGCTCAACAGTAAATTTTGAGTTCTTGTAAATAAACTTGTGACTTAAAAAGTATCTTAGTAAAAGAATTACTTAAGATAACTTAAAAATTACTGTTGAACAGAAATATTTTTACTTATGACTTTCGAAATGTAGGCTTGTCATTTTTGCACTTAAATTTAGGGAAAAAATTCTCTCCGTGTACAGTTTTATCCACTGTAAAATATTAATCTTTAGATATAAATGACACTGAAGACAGCTCCAAAATATAAAGAGAAACCAAATATATGCCAAAAATCTTTAAAAGAGCAGTTACAAAAAGATGTAAGAAGTTTGATAATGTTTTAACATAAAAATCCTCCAAAAGATAGGTGGAGTTTTTAAACTTAAAAAATTTCAAACCGTCGATACTAAAGTATTCAGTAATTGTTGTTACATTTTCAAAGTTCAGAGTGTTACCGTATTTAAAAATAAATATCACAAATGAATAATCAAAAAATAAATATAATTTAGGCCATAATTTTCTACTTGAAATATAGTTCATTATATACAGAGTATAAAGTTGATCAAATGTTAATGAGCTTGTGAAAAAAAAGTATTTTTTAATTTTTTTGTTTATTTTTCATCACCCGAGTCGAAAAATTTCGATGGGTTGTACATTGGTTGCATTGCTTTTTAGAAATACAACCAATGTAAAAATAATTTAAATTAAATTTCATTTTCAATGTTTAAGATTACATTGCTTCAACATTTTATCCTTTGTATAATTCCCTTTTCTGTAGTAGCAATGTCAATTCAATGTTATCAAGGAAAAGAAAGAAGCAATGTAAAAATGATAAAAGTAATGTAATCATAATACATTGAGAAAAATAAAAATAAATTTAGATCTACATTGGTATTGACATTGGTTATATTGTTATTTTTGGTGTTCCCTTTCGGTCACCCATCCATCTATTTACCAGCCTAAATGTTGCTTGACTTGAGGATCGCGCGTACCGTTCGATTCCCACTGTGCTACATTGATTTATAATTTATTTTTCTCTTTTCTGTTAATAAACAGTTGAATTCTATGTACAACAGTTAAAATATTGTTAATAATAAATTACCATTGTTACGAAATACTTAATAAAATAAAAATAAAAACAATAATCATCCGTTGACGATGTCCTTTTTTGACATTGCTTATACATATTACTAGAAACTATTATCAATGTAACCAACGTAAACTCAAGATTCACACATGAAATGTTTTATAATTCTTCTTCTACATTGGTAACATTGCTTCATATTTTTTCAATATTAGTTATATTGCTCTAGATGATTAGTAATGTAACCAATGTCAACTCAAGATCTACATATAAAACCTTAATAATCTTACTCTTACATTACTAATATTGCCATATATTAATTTAACATTGCTTATACCATTTTCAATGTAAGAATGATCTTAGCAATGTAAAATAAAATTTTTTAGCAATGTATCCAATGTAAAAGTTATGTTATAACAATGTAATCAATGTAAGACCCATCGAAATTTTTCGACTCGGGGAAAAAAAAACTTTATATTTATAGAAAAAACAGATCATAAGGATATATCCTTGACGTTATCATTTCAAAGAATCAATAATTAATTATATTTTGTTCAAATATGTTTTAAAAATCTCACTTTTGATTATTAGATGAATAATGTTTGTTTACTACAGATGTTATCATTGACCTTAATTAGAAACGGAAAACTTACAAACAATAGTTTTTATACCAATGTCGATGGATTTTTTGTATTTTCTTTCAAATTAGAATTTTTATCACTTATTATTCAAAATATATTCATTTTCAAAGTATTCTATATTCAATAGAAAACCATAAAATAATATTAAAAAACCGTTTTATCTGATAATGGTAAAATGACAGGTCACTGCATTTGAATAAATTACATTAAAATAATTTGAATGAAGTTAATGCATTTCCTATTCGAGCATAATAATAATAAACTTGTAAGATGAATTGTCATAAAAATATATATAATTAAGTTTTCCCTTCTTTTTGAAGCTGATTAAATCAGAGTAAAAGTCATTCAAGTAAAGGGGAGATCTGAACCTGGCGACTTGTTATTATGATTTGTGTTCTTTTTCTGTTTCAAGTATTGAAAATGTAACCACGCGACACAGTCATTTAGCAACGGGTGATTTTATCATTATATAGTTTTTAGGTAAACAACAAGGGAACACTGACTGAATGTTAGATTGAAGTCTCGGTTGAAACACTATCACTAATATCGGTTCAAAATTCAAATAATGGGGTGAAAGAATCACGCTAATCAGTAACTTAACCGATGAGTCAAGAAGTTAGTGGTAAATAGTAAACAGAAGTAAAAAGAGTGAGAAAGAACAAGAGAAAAAACTACATTCCTTTCGATCAATACAACCGACTCCATGACGTGAAGGTGACGTAGTTAAGTTGTATTCGTATAATGTTTATAACACATGTATGTGGGTATGTAAAGAGACTCACTAGATACCGTGGAGGAGAAGCTTTCTAATGTGAATGTTCAGAGAGTTGCGATTAGCCCGTGCGGATTAAATACATGTCACATTGAACACGGCTATTGTCAATTTTCCACTTATTGTATTACATCCCGCATTGAATTGTAGTTGATTTAACAATTGATTTATGCGCGATTCAATTTAACATTCACGATTTTATAACACTATTTTATTTCTATTTTTTTTTACACGCTCCCTAGATGTGAATTCATTTTAACAAATCCTAGAATATACCGAGCATTTGATATGTGAATAATAGCATAAATATAGACTTATTCTCGAGCTTTTTTCTGTGATTCTCAATTAAAAATATGAATTTTCTGTCTACCAGTCAATTACAATATTTAAAATGTAAAATCTTGTTTCTATTTAATTGTTTGAATGATTATAGACAAATGCTTGTTTTTGCAACAAACAATTTAAATTTTTGCATATTGTTATTTATTTAATTGCTAATACAAGGATTCAACTGCTTATACTTTTAACAACATTCCTTACATAAAATACAAATAAATGTGTAAGGTAGATAGAAAACACCTTAATTGTGGCATAATAAAGAAAATATTTATTTTCCCTTGATAAAGATATTTCTAGGAGGAATGAAAGTCAGCCGATTTTTAGCCCGGCATCGGACCGAGAATAGTAACATTGGTACAACATTGGCCTGAGAATGAGCCAGACGTATATCTGTTTTGGTTCTTGCCAAGAATATTTAAAAGTAAGAACTTCAAAATATTCTGTGATCTACTCTCGCTACCATGTAGTGTACCTGTAATTGATTTATCATCGGGGAAGCTTTTTAAGTACAACAATTATTATGCTCACCTGCTGCCTTCTGGTGGTTGGTTTTCTTGTGTGTTTAGAGGAAGGAGGACGACGATGAGAGTCTGGGTAGGGGTGGTGGGTTGGTCGGTCACAAGGGTAAGTTTTGAGAGCTGTGTGCTGGTGGGTGGTGTATGACTCTGATGGTGTTTCCCTCTTGGAGTCGTTCAATACGCGCGCGCGCTTACAAAATCGCCTAGTCGACATCGTTGAACAGTACCGCCAGAGCTCTCGAAAGGGACGCCTGTGATTTTGTACCCCCCCCTCACGCTCTTTGTATCCAATGCAGATGGGGTGTATCTCGCGACAAATGGAAAAATACTGTGCGCCGTTTTAGCTTTCAAAATTACTTAAAAGTAAACTGTGTGATACCTGGAACTTAACAAATCAATCAACTCCCATCATTATATGGTTACAAGATTTAACATTATTTTCTATAGGATAGAGTTATGTGTTAGTAAACTGTGTGCTGATTATCTCGTTTAACGTACAGGGAGATTTAAAAGTGTAAATGGTCACAGAGTTAATTAGAATGAACATAAGAGGGTGAAAAAATACTCTTATAATATTTGAGAAATAAAAGCGAGACAAAGTAAGTGAGTGCGGATACAGTCGATCATGTTGGGGGGGGGGTCAGGGTGTCTCGAAAATTCTGTTATCTTTTTAACTATCTTTTTTCAGGGACTTGGATCTTTCTAATCCCATTCTCAATACATTCGACTATCACCTGTACACTTATGTTCTTTTCCTTTTATTATAACTATTATCTGTGACTAATAATAAGCGTCATTCGTTTATTTACGTATTGACAATCATTTTAATTTTCAACTATAAAGGTAAAGCAAAAACTTAAAATTACAAAAAATATATGAATAAAATTTCGAAATAATGGAAAGTGTGAATTTTTTTAGCTATTTAATATAATAGTTTATAAGGATATACAGTAAATAAGTGAAATTTATTAATGAAATAATACATTTATAGTTTTAAAAAATGAATTAAAGCAAAATAATATATCAATGCTCATCTGATGACTGTGACTAGTTAGAACAGTACTGCTCCAGGGGTAAAATAAATGCATCTACATTCACACAAAAAATTATTTATTCGAAATAATGACCGAAGAAGAAAAACAACAAAATAAGTGGACGAAAGTAAAGAAACGTATATACCTTAATAGATAAAAACCAACGATTCACTTCAATTTAAGTGTAATAGTATTGTTGAATAACAAACATTATTGTGGATGTGCCATAAATTCATTTGTGATCATCAAGTTTCAGAAAAAATAAAAAGTCATGACAGTTATGTGTCAAATGATGTATTGAACCATGAACTGGGATTGGCAATCCTCAATGCAAGGTAAAAAACAATGCTCAATCTCGGTGAGTCTGAGGAGTCTAAATAAAAAAAGTCAAAGATTAGACATTTTCAGACGACCATGACGCCGATGATGATGATGATGATGCGCGTTGCGTCGATGAGGATGTTAAACGCGCGTGGACAAAGCCAATGACATCTCGACGGGTCGAGGGCGAGGGGTCTTCTAGAGCTCCTCCAAGTCCCTCGAGCAGTGAATCTGACGACAATGGCTTCATAAATCGTCCACGAGTGATTGGGCTCTATATGAAGAATTTAAGTCGAGAGGAATTGGATAGTTTAGCAGAAGAGGGTATTTATGGGTCAACAGGTAACCCTAGTACCAGTAAAAAAGGCATAAATACAGATCGAACAGTAAGAACATTGTCATCTTCATCGTCTACAACATCATCAACTTCGTTTTCTGCAGCATTTACATCTTCAAAAGCATCTCAACCCTTCGAGAAACTTAGTCACACTGATAGAAATTTACGGGAAAGCCACAGAGTTCGGGCTGCTGAGCCTGAAGGAAATGATAGGGAGGCCGATAAGAACAGAAGTCAAATGGATGAAAGACGTGAGGAGTCAAGAAGCTCATTGGAGCATGAAGAGAGCCGCAAGCGGTGGAGATCTTCTCAAAATAGTGGTGAAGATGAGTCTTTAACAAAACATTCTGAAGATGACTCTTCTAGGTTTTCACCAAGTGGTTATGAGATATTCGATCAAGAGGAAGAAGATAGTTCAGAAAGGACCATACGGCAATATGGTGAAGATTCTGAGCCGGATGTTGTGGAAAATATTCAAGATACTTTTAATAGAGAAGATGATTATTTGGATGCAGGGCCACAAACATTGCCTGATTCATCTTTGCTTTTTCTCAAGTGTGCACCAAAGTCTCAAGTAGTAGATGATAAATTTACTGATCATGATGTTGATCAGTTTGATAAAAGTGAAGAATTTGGTGTAAGACTACATTTTCGTTCACAAGATAGCACACGACTTCGTCCACCTCTTGTCAGCACAGCTGGTACATCAGCAGATTCAGGGACTGGTGATTCTGCTAGTGCTGAAATCCACCCTGATAGTGTTGAAATTCTTCAACAAAGCTCAACAAATGTTGAAAACCAAATATCTAACTTACGTGAAACAAAAGTACTAGATAGTGCTTCAAGTGTTAGTGTTAGTGGGTCTAAAACTGGTAAACATTCTGTAAAGCCATTTACTAAGGATAGTCTCGATAAACTTGAGAATAGGACCATTCAACTCGTACGGGAGTACGGTTTCCAACCAAGGAGAAAGACATCCGTTGAAGATGGTGCCGTACTTCCTAACAAGTTCGAGCCATTTCCGTCCGAACTCTATGGCAGACCACTCGAAGAGATCGATAATTTTATCTATGACGAGGTTAGCTTTTTATATGTCTTTATTAAAGAATTTCATTAGTCAACTTTGAATATTTTTTGAATGTAAAAGAAATTTGATTAGTTTCTAATTCATAATATCATTAAATTTCATAGCAATTAGTTATTCCTTCTCACTAAACGATTCATTTTATTTCATTTTTTATAGCACTACCCAAAAATGGCTTAATTTTTATTTTAGTCTGACATCCCTTTGAAAGAAAAAGTTTTAAAAACAAAATAGCAATCACAAACGAAAAGACAATCTTTATAAACTTCCAGTCTTCCAATATCATTGTCCCACTTTTTTTATATTCATGTTATTGATTGTGCATTAAATTCACTTTTTTACCATTTACTTTGACTCAAGCTTCCATAAAACTTGCAAAAAACATCTGCATCAGTACTCTTTTTGATTCTTCCTACCACAGTGAGTTCATTTCAACCGTTACAGTTAAGATTCTCATTGTAGGTGTAGAAAAAGCATTGCAATGCCAAACATACCAGGTGGTATGATATTGACAAGAGTAGATAATAGAAATGAGTGTAGAAGGCCTCTAGATGCACATAGAGATGAAACCAATTCGAATTCACACGTGAATTGTGAGACAAATAATGTACCTAATAGTTTGCCGATTGATAATACACACGTGTATGCACGTAACACTTTGTTTTTTGTCTAAAGAAATAATGTACATCGATGTTAATCAGAAAAATTTTTATTCCCAAAAATAATACATTTCTTTCAATCATCAATCAATTAAGCTTTTTTATTATATATTCAAGTGAAATTATTATCAATTTTAGAACAATATGACGGAAAATTTTTTTATATGCTTATTCAATATGAAACAGAGAGTAGCATTTAACATGATATTCTTTTATTTCGACACTTTTTGGAAAATTTGGAAAATTTTACTTAATATTAATACAGAAAAGTAATGACATTAATGATTCTCCATTAATTATCAAATGTACTAAATGTGTATTACAATTGTTCAATGATTCTCGAGTTGATATAATTGTTAAAAAATACGCAATAAACTTAATATACATACATAAATATTGTATATTATATTATATATTGCTTTCCATCAAAAACGTATTTTTTAAATAACGAATAATTGAATTTATAAAAAAAACACTTGACAATAAACTTTCGAGTCTCTATAACAAGTTTGTAAATTAGTAATTTGTCATCTCAAGCTTCAAGAGAGATCTTTCATCATTTATAATTTTTTTCTTTCACGATCTTGACCACAACTATAACTTAGACCACACTTAACAGTTGCAGATGGTCAGTATAACAAAAATGACATTATTTATTATCTGAGAGCTAGCCGCATCGGAAATGTGCCTGGAGAAACGTGCGTGTTACCGCATTGCGTCTACAACACTGATATAAATACACTTGTGGGGATAATGAAACGGAGGAGTAAAAGATTATCATAACTGTAAATAACATAAAAGTAAAAAATTGAAAAAGTGCGATAAGAAAACAGCAAAAGTTGATGTTTATACCAAATATATAATGAATACATGAAAATCAACCTGGTTTAAATCATTCTACACATTGACTGTGTGTGTTTAAGATCCTACGACATCAAATTACTTGGATATGAGTACTTATGAATATTTCACAATGTTTTTGACCTATTTTTCTTTCACTTGCTGATATTAAACCTCACATTAACTTCTTAAACAAGTCCTAATATAACTCTTAACTTGATGACTTGTTGACTATCTATTCAATCCTTTAATATCGAGTTTCGCCTTTGAGATTTCTATTACTATAGTGATTTTCCAACTGGGTCGCTGAGGTATGAGGGAATATCAATTGAGACTAACTGATTAGAATTGATCAGCTTTATGGAGAAATTGGAGAGAATAAGTAAGACTATAACAAAGCTCAATGATGACCTAATAATAGCCGACACAGTTTCCGGAGCATTCGTGCGAGCAAGTGATGGATAGCTAGTATGCTGCAAAGTTTTCTATTTGAAACATTATTGCCGTCTAGAAAATATTTAATATTACTATACACTGATACATAAATATTATTCATTGCTAAATGCCTGTTAATGTACAACCAAATTTTAAAGTTTAAATCAATTGATGTTTCTGAAAAGTGCCTTCATTTTCTTGTTGTGATTGAACTGCGATATTACCATCGGAGGAGTCATCATCACCTACAGACGTCATTAAGTGATAGAAACATTTGAGACATAATTATTTTATCTAGTCCTCAAAAATAATTCTGATGAAAAATACTGATTGTGAAACGAATTAAAAATTTTTCTATTTCTCGTTGAAAATGAATATTATTTCTTTAAGCTGTTTTACAGCTTTTCATTTTTTAGCTATCTTCTACAAGGTTTCTGATGAAAAGATTTTCATTTTATCCATAAGAACAGTTTATAATGTAATATAAAAAGAACAAAAAAATAAGCAAAATGGACAGTTTTAAATCAAGCTGTACCAAATACGCAACCATCTTCCAAATTACTTGCACTTCTGATTCTTGTAATTTATTTGATCATAGAAGTCGGTCGAATCCTGAGGGTACCATAGATTTCACATTGAATATTTATAATATATAGGTTGCTCTATTAAAATTTAAACTTGAAACGAAATTAAAATATCTGCAATCCCATCAAACTTAATACTTATATATCAATCTCTCACTTTTTCTAAGTTGGAAAATATTTTTAGAAACATTTATACATGACCTACAAAACTCATATAGGAGAATCGTCATAAAAATATTCTTGTATTTTTGCAATTCTTTCTTTTAGATATATAATATTGACAAATGAAAAAATAGAATATAAAAAAATGAAAAATCATTAAAATTCTAATCAGGATATCGTTAAAAATAGAGTACATTGCTGCAGTAGTAGAAATGGGGTTAATAGAAAATATTATGATTATGGATTTTAATTACCTTATGCAGTAACACTTCGGGGTCTGAGGTCATGTCGCAGCTTGGTTTAGAAAGAAAAATATCGATGTTTCATAAAAGCAAACATAAGTACGCGTGTGGACATGACGTCACATTATCGTGTACTGCATCAGGCATACTAGGGTAGCTGTAGCATTTAAAATATTTTTGTCCTTGTACCTTGTTCGTATAATACTTTTATCTCAGGTTTTATTAATGTGATTTGGAACAGTGATTTGTTATGAATTTAATGTTAGACAGATTATGGGATTGAATACACGTTTATATTAGGAAAATAACTCTTAAAGATTATTGATATGGTACAGTACTGTTACAAAATTAATGTACTGATGACAAGTATTGTGATGTATATATGTATCAACCAATTTAATTTGTAGACATTTTGTCAACAAACTTGCAATTTTTACTGTTTAATAATAATTACAATAGTTATAATCCCGATGAAAAATAATTTAAAAAAAGATAACTGTTACCTTGGAAATAACAAATCAATATAGAACAGATAAAAAAGTAAGTTTTTGTAAATGTTACTGAAGATAATGGGAAAGTAGTAATGGTCGATCAATGATCAGACATCTTCGCACATCTATGTAAAATCGATTCTTAATGTGATTCAATTTGAAATTATATTTTTTTTTCTATTCTAAAGTATAACTATTTGTAAAAGAAATGATATTATTAAACTGATCCGAATATTGTAGGTTGTACGTAAGCAACTACAAACGTGTAGCTCTCCATCATTAAGTTGTAATTGGTTTTAAGAAACTATTCACTATATTGTTTTCGTGTTTTCTATTATATAATATTATTTACTTATTAATAGTTTCTGCAATTTTCATCATGATTGATTCGTTTCTTTGCTATGAATGTTTGTTTTACGAAAGTTATTAAAGGACAAAAAATATTTTTGAACATGAATATAAGATAAAAAACATCTTTGATGACCTTGAAATTTCAAGTATGTTGTGTCGTTTTTTATTTTGAACAAGAATATATATATATGTATATGTTGGGTGCAGTAAACATATTTTTCGTTATACCCGTGCGGAAAGTTTACTTTTCCATTGGAGAGGGGTTGAACTTTCCACACAGGTATGACGAAAAATCATATTCAGCCGTAGGGAAGAAAATTAGACTAGCTTTAACCACGTGTAAAAATACAACCCGAGCCGAAGGCGAGGGTAGTAAACATGTGGTTTAAGCTAGTCTACTTTTCCTCCCTAGGTGTGAAATGTACTAATTCATATAGGTTTTTAGCTTTGAAAAATTAACAATGTATATCCATCTAAAATAGATAGTATCTTGTAAACACTCAATGTTGGAGAAAATTGAGGATGGAACGGGCGAGGGAAAAAATTTAGCCTAAATGTAAACACTTGTTTCACACCCCCCTTCTCTTTTCCCCTGCTCCATCTTCAATTCTCTCCAACACGAGTATAATTATTTATAGTAACGAATATCATATATTCGACAAATGTGAACACAGGCTACTAAGTTTTCCATAAATCCCTTAGACAATGATGTCATTTTAATTGAAAAAATTTTTTGCAAGAAATATTGCATGCTAGAATTAAAAAAGGTCATTGAAGCTGTTGGAATTAAATGTAGCAATTACTAAATATAATTTATTAAATATGCATTAACACAAATCGCCTGACTGATTCAATATTTAAAAAGTGACCTTGATAAATTGATTATATTACTCACTTATTGCATACTTTTAAATATATTTTGACTTGTTGCTCTTCTTGACTTTTTGCAACAGGTTCCACTCGAGAATTACGATCCGGTCATAGCTTCGTACAAACAACCTCTTGACGTTATCATCGCCTTTATCGACTACTGTAACATATTTAAATTATATTTCAATTTAGCATATTCAACTTCATCGTGGAAATTCTATAATGCTATTATCCACTTCAATGCCTGACCAATAAGTGTATAGAACCAATCATTTCGAGGGTTGAATACTTTTTGTTGTATGAAAGTTTTCACATAATTTTTAAAAAATAATGAAAATAATTCTAAAGTATTAAAACGAA